TTTCTCCCCAGGTGCAATCTTTTTGTCTGCACCGAACGTCATCCTGCAGCCTTCCTGCAACCTGGCATCCCTCTGGATGCTTGGGACTCCGACTCCAAACCTGGCTGGGGCTGCTGGGAGTTTGAGTTGATGCGTTTGGAGAGCCCCAAACTGAGGGCAGTGGGCTCGCCAGGGGCCTGAGGAAATGGCGGCCCTCGCCATCATTCCTGGACCTTCTGCGTGCAAAGCTCGCAGGTGCTTGTAAGCACGGACAGCCGAAGCTGCTGTTCCCCACGGCACAGATGCACCTTCTGCAACAGCCTCTGGGCTTGTTCACACATCATGTGAAGCCCTGGTCTGCCATGCTCGGCAGCTGGCAGCTGACCGCAGGATGCCCGCCTTGCCACATTCCCACTGACAGTCCCCGCTTCGCCTTCCAAATCCCATTCTGCCTTGAATTGCGCTTTGGAAACGTTTCCCGGGAGATCCGCAGCATGCAGCTTCCCCCACCCTTTGGGGAGGAGAATCTGTTCTACTCGGGGGGTAAGAGGGTGCAGAAGGTGAGTCTGGATTGCAGGGAAAGGCTGTGCCTCCGCCCGAGGCTGTGGGCCCCACACCAGCTGGTTTGGACTTGAGAAACCCCTGCGGGCACGGGCAAAGGCCAGCAGCGCTGCAAGCTGATGCCTGGAGGGGGGCTTCTTCCTGCATGCCCCCTTCTATCCCACTGCCCAGGGCATGCTGAAGGGGTGCTTTCTCAGGGCGAGGGAGGGAAGGGCAGGTCATGCCAGCTGAAGTGGCATGGCGTGACCGAGCCGCTGGGTCAAGGGCCTCGGCCTTCTGCCTACTTGGAACGGGTGCGTGGCCAGCGAGCTGGGAAACACTGCTTCCCTCTGCCTGCCCAGCGCCCTGCTGGCTGCCGCTGCATTCAACTGTGCCCCTCCTCTCCACCCCAGAGACCCCCCTTGGTCCTCCCCCCACCCATCCCCTCTCTGCCTTTCCTCCTCTGGCTCCACAGCGACCCCCAGGAGCTCTCTGGCCGCTCTCTCCACACATCTGCCTCCTGACTCGAAAGCCGCCCCCGGCCACTGCCGCCTGCTCCAAGACGACTGGGCATCTCCTCACGGCCCCATCCAAAGGTCCTGGTCGGTGTCCTACAACCCACCGTTGCCACGATACAGTTAATCATTGTCTTCGTGGTGCTTCTGCTGGCCGTCACTGTCCTGGCCGGCTGCAGTCGTTCTTCGCGGAACAACCAGGAGTCGGTCTCCCTCGGCCCCTCCAGGGGCTCTCTGGATGTCTCTGGACCGGCAGCAGGTTCCAAACCTAGTGGCATCAGGGGCTGGAGAACGCTGCCAGTTTTCTGCTTTCTGGCTCTCCCTGGGGGTCCTGCCAGGGAACTGCCCTTGGCCTTCCGCACCCCCTCCCCGCCCCACGCTGGCTTCCCCACCTCGAAGCAGACTGGCCTCCCTTCCCCAGCCCTTCTCTTGCCATGCCTCAGCCCCCTCCTGCCCTCCGCCACTCAGTGCTCCCCCTCTTGCTGTTCAGGCCACCAAATTTGCCCCTTGGGTCCCGCGCCCCATCCAACAGGGCCTGCGCCAAACGTGGCCGACCTGCTGCCGTTGCCGTTCACCCCAAAGGGGTCTAAGAACGATCGTCCCAAACTGGCAAGAAGATCTTTCGGTCTCCACCCAGGGGCACTAGCAAATGCAGCCATGTGTGATGGCTGATGGGACTTGTAGGCCACAAGACTGGAAGGGGGGATGGGTGGCCTGCTCTTGCATGAGGTGCAAGCTCCCCGATCCTGTTTTCGAAGCCGTTGTGGCTTTTCTTCCTCCACCCCGTAAAGACCTGCTCCGTGGGAAGGACCCCCTTCCCACTCCTTCACTGTCTTCTCTTGTGGATCGTGAGATGAGTGGAAGCCCCTTTTCCACCCCGAACGCAAGCATCTTTGTCTTTTTTCTAAACAACAGGCACACGTGTGGAAATGCAGAGCAGATCCGCAGAAGTGTACCTTTGTAAGCGCGCGTGCTTTTGCCTTCCACATAAGGGTGGGCACTTGCAAACCAGAGGCAGAAATTCCTCTTGCACCCTTCCCCGGAGCTCCTTCCGCAGGGCCCTCTGCTCTCAGAAACTCGGGCTCGCTTCCTCCCGCCGTGCTCTGGCTGCCAGCAGCCCCTTCCTTCCAGCTCTCCTGCTCCTTTTCGGGGCTCTGCCAGTTCTCCCTTTCTGCCTCCTCTCACCCTCCGGCTTCCTTGCCATGCTGCTCTGCCATGCTCGGCAAAACAAGCCTTGTTCCACTGCTCACCACGCTCCGGAGCATTGCCAAGACGCGCAGTTCCTTCTCTCCAGCTTGACCTCGATTTCTGGGCAGCGATGTTGAATCAGCAAGCTTTTTTTCCCTGACAGCTTGTCATGTTCTCTTATTTTTTAATGGCATGGTTTGAATGGGTGGAAACTAGTCATTGGCAAAATATATCTGCAAGCAGGGGCTGCAGTAACCATCTGTTGGGCCGTAAACTTCATCATGCAGAGTTGCTGTGTGCAAAGACATTTCCTGCCACCTTGAATGATCTGGAGTGCTCCCTCGTGGCTGCTTATCCCTCCGGAGACAGGTCCCCTTCCTCCATCTTTTCTCCAAATCTGGAGATGTCAAGCCACGTCCTGCCCAGCTGGTCTCTCCCTCGGAGAACTTCAGGTGAACCCCTTCGATAGGTGTGTAGCAGATGCATCCGGTGAGGTGTCATCGGATCTGCAAGGACATGTTTGCACCCGGCTGAGGCTGTTCGCTTGCTTGGAGACCGGCCTTGGGTTCAAGTAGCCACTACATGCATGCACAACAGAGGCTTGGGTTAAGGGCTCTTGACAGGAGGCTGTTGGAAGGGTTCCTGTGCTTCTTGAGGCGTTATGGGGTTTCTCCGCTTCATCCCTTTCTTTGCAAGGGTGCTCTTACTGCAGGGTGCAAATTGAACGTCCACTTGGGAATGGGAAATCTAATTTAATTTACTATGTTGAATGTAATGTGACTTCACCTTCTTCTGCAGCTGCTTCATGCGGAGTTGGCCCACTGGTTCCTTTGAGACTGCTGGTGTTATTGCAACTAGTATTTGCATTCTTCTCCCTACTGAAAAATGTTTAGAGAATTTTATTTTATTAGTCGCCTGATGGGCACGAAACCTTCCCGTTCAGAAGCAGGCTAAGCATGAACTGCAGTTTCCAGATAGGGACGGCGAGCAAGGCCATTCCTGGGTGGTGCAGCTGGATGCTTATCATGGGCAGCCAGCTGTCGCACCGTCTTGGCATTCTGACTTCATTCTTCAGGAGAAAAGCGTCCCGCTGGGCGGTGGTGTCTGTTTTGGAGAGGTGCACAGTGTCCCCTTCCCCCCCCCCCATGAGGTCAGCGTAATTTTTGACTCTGACCAAAGGCAGAAAGGTCACCGAAACCTGTTCTCCTCCAAGGAGTACCCTGCGATCTATTGAAACTCTTGAAGGAGAGAGGCCAATATTTGCCTTAGTAATTAAAACGTGTCTGGGATTGCTCAACAGGTGGAGGCACTCCTGGGGTTAGGGGCAGGAGGAAGGTGCCATCTCCCCCTCTCCTTCCAGCTGGGATCGCCCCCAAGCATCGCCTTTCGCGCTGTTGCACAGACACGGGGAAGGCCCGGTGGTCTTTGCCCATGAGATCTGATCCGGCCGGAGGCTGGCTTTCCGGGAAGCCAGGATGGGGTGGAACAAGTACGTGTCTCTCCCATCGCGTCTGGCCTAGATGGAGAAGAAATTTCCTGCAGAGAAGAAATTCCAGGTGTCTTTGTTAACATGTTTTTTGCAACACACCGCTGCTCGTGCGCAACTGGAGGCTAAGGGATGCGCTCCCGCGGGCGAAGGAAGGTGCGCATCAGGCTGGTCCCCACCACACGCCCTCCAGGTGTCCCAGACGTCCCCAGCCGCTGTGGCCAATGCTCGGATGTGGGGAGCAGTGGCCTGAAACATCTGGGAGGCCACGGGATGGGGAATGCTGGGACACCCGATCGATGGATTGACGGAGTGTGGCGGCCGTGATGGGCACGAGTGTGGCAGGTTGCGCACTGCTCGGCACCTTCGAGGTCAGATGTGTGCGCTGGGCTGCTCACCCATGAATGAGAGGGAGGCTGCCCCACCCTGCTTGGAGGCTAAATTTCGGGAAGCTCTCTGGGGAGGGAGCTGCAGGGGACTTTAACTTTCCCAAGACTTCCTCCAAAGAGCCCGTGGGAGGAGCTTGGATTTTCGGCAGGGATAGGAAAGATGGCAGGTAGGGAGAAGGCAGGCAGGCGCATGGAGGGAGGGGGGCACTGGAGGCCATCTTGCTGCGGGGGAGCCAAACCTGAGGATGGCTCTGCCCGGAAACCTTCCGTTGGTCTTCGACATGTGGGAACCTCGGCTGGCCCCGTCGACTGGAGAGGACGGGCCCTCCAGCACCTCTGTGGTATGCCAGGTTGTGGTGCTCCGTATCCTTGCGCTGTCCCCAAGACTGCACAGGAACTGTCTTTGCCTTGAGTCTGGAAGGTTGCAGGCTAAGGACCCCACTCACTGCAGCCCTCGTGCCTCCACCTGCTCCGCCCCGTCTCGTTTTCCTGGCCCAGCGTGTCTGAGAAAGCGTCCTCTTGCTCGCCTTCCTCTGTGTGGGTCGTGCCGCGGAATGTCCCGGGCACAATGGGCCCAGCTGTCCAGCCCATGCCAAGCAGCGGCCGCGCACCCGCGTTCTGCAGGGCGGGCAGCAGTGCAGGGTGCGCAGAGTGGCCGGGTTTTTGCTTTCCCGCGTCCAAACACCCTGAAGCTGTCGCCCTCTGCTCAGAGATCGGCCTCCGGGAGGCCGGGAGTGAGGGAGGCTGAGAGTGGACCCATCAAAGCGTCGGAAAAGGTAGTGTCCACTGGCACAGAGGTTAAACGGGGAGAGTCATTTATCATCCGGGCTTGTTTCCAGCAAGCGAGGGCCGTTCTTAATCAACAGAGGCATTGTTGTGAAAAGGACAGTTTGAACACAACCGAACTTGTGAATTTTTATATTCTCGCGCCCGCTATGTGGTGCACTTCTGGGTTCTATTGTTAGTTTGGTTGCGGTTGAGGCTTAAAGCATCCTTTGGCAATTTGGGACCCCCGCAGAACTCTCGAGGGCCCTTGCCCGTGCAGCCGGCGGCCCAAGATGTTGGGAACTGCAGTGGCACTCTTTCTGCGTGGCTTTGTGGCATGGGAGCGATGCGGAATGAGACGGACCGCTGCCAGGGCAGGGGGTCCCCAGGGTGACGTGCCACAACCAAGAAGCCCTGGTGCAGCTCAGTTAGAAGACCTGATACAGAGCAAGAACCGCAGCCGGGTTCATAAAGGGAGCGGGCATTTTCTGGTTCTCGTTCTGGTCCTAGAGGCTGAGGCCAGCCGCTTTGAGCCCGTGACTGGAAGCCGGTTGGCATCTGGTCCAACTCTCCAAGTGGTGCCTGGATGGAAGGCAGCAGTGGAACTTGTCGCAAGCCTGGCTTTTCACCGACCGGCCTCATCAGCGGCCTCCGGCTGCGGGTCTGTTGCGGCATGTCCAAGTTTCTCCTCCCATCTGCGGTTGCAGATCTGATGGCTGGCATACAATGCTATGTAGGGACAGGTGGCATGTGAGAAAGGACATCATCATCATCATCATCATCATCATCATCATTATAACATTTCTATGCTGCCCCTTGCCGAAGCCTCGGGGCGGCTTACAACACAATAAGATACATTGAAATACAATAGAACATAATAAATTACCACTAAATACAAAAATACAAAAAATACACTGAGATACAATAATATAAAATTAAAATTAACAGTATAAAATAAGTAAATAAAGAATATAGGAGGAGAAAAGAGAAGGAAGAAGAAGTTGCCCTGGCCAGATCATATATTTTGCGCAGACCCTGCCAGCTAAGCGCTTTGAGACTGATTACCAAAGGCCTACCAAAATGTAGAACAGTCAGACTTTGGTAATGTTCAAAGGTTACCTACCCTGTATAGCTTATGTGGTTACCATTTCTCAGTTTGCATAAGTTATTCAGCTGGTCACAAGGAGATTTCCAGGAATTTTGCAGGGGCAATAAAACTCCCTCACCCCTGACTTCAAGGCACATTCTTCCAAGAGTCAATCAGATATGGCCCACACTCTTCAAAAATCCCCTGAAACCATGAGGACTAGCAACATGGTCCCTAAGATTCTTCGAAAGCTTCTGCCCGATACCACACACCAGACTTCTGTAGACTTGCACCTATGCTCACCTTGATCCGAGCATATGTGCTTCTAACATGTACACCAATAAATAGATTTCCACTCTTCCCTTCCTCCTAAGATTTAATATCCAAAATTCAGACAGTGAGCTCAAAGATGAAAATCAAGCAGTGATCCTAAAGCCAGCGGTTAAGTGCAGCAGAAGGAACAGAGTCAAACAACTTAGACTAAAAACAATGCCCAATTAAAATTAAAAGGTTGCTTTGGGAGCCCGGCGAAGCGAACAGTTTAGCACCGGGCCTGCCTCCCCATGCAAATTGTTCCATAGCCGGCCTCCACTGTTGACTGCGCCTCTTTCCTAGCTGCAGTCAGCGTCTTGTTTTCCCAAACAAGAAAGGTACCCTTTGAAAGGCCAGTGGGACTCCTCTCGAAAGGCCGGCACTCAAATTGCAAGGATTTCTCTGTCCTCCGTTCGTATCTTTAATCTAAAAATGAGACAGGGAAAGCTATTTCAGAGAAAACATACAGGAGTTCAGTGTTCTGCTGCTCTTGCAGTTTTGCTTCGTGTCGATGGAAGAGACGCTTAATGCCCAAATTAAGATCTCCCTGCCCTGGTTCTGGCTGCTATCCTGGCAAACGTTTTGCGAGCAACTGGAAAGACTGCAGGGGGAAATGCAATTCTTGCAGGTTTATTTAGTCTGAGTGTTGGCAGTTCTTCTTTGAGGCTAGTTAGTTAATTAAACCAGGTTCAAAACCTGGAGGGGAGGGGGGGGTTGCAGCAAGAAGTCCACTTCCTGTTTTGATGTGTCCTCACAGACCTCTTCTTTGAAGAAGCGTTTGTTCCTGTGTGAGGGAGAAGGGAAATTGTGAAGTGGTCCTTTCCGTCTGCTCTGGTCATTTGAAGGACTTCTGAGAAAAATGCAAGCCTGCAGTCTGCCCCTGATTCATCAGGGGTTCCTGTTTTTTAGCCCACGGAAAGTGTTTAAGGCACCATGCGAACCGATAGCTCGGCTTGAAAACGCTGCAGCTCTGCTTTCGGGAACGTCTCTGAAAAGTCGGGGGTCCGCTTCCGCCCTCATCGGAAAGCTTCAGGCGCTCAGCTCTGCAGCCCCGGTGGGATCTCTGTTTGCGTTGCCTTGCGTATTTCCGATTTCTGCTGAGCTTGTGGCTGCGAGAACGCCGTTCCTCCGCGGTCTTCGGATTGAATTCTCTTGACAGGCAGGCATGGGGAACTGGGGGATCTTTCCCAGTCCCAATGTGCCTGGCCAGCCTGAAGCATGGAAACAGAGAGCCGCTTTCTGTGTTTATGAGCTCCACTCCTTCCACCTCCGAGCGCCTCGCTGTTTCTCAATTAGGAAGACTTGGACCGCAGCCCAAAGCTTGCCCAGCTGTAAATTTCTTCTCCCGCAACCTCCAAAGCGCTCTCATTCCTTCCTCTGGGCTGGAAAGTCATCTGAGGGAACTGAGCACCCGAGAACGGAGCGGATGGGTTAGATGTCATCCGGCCCAGGCAGAAAATGGTCGAGGCACCTTTTAATGCGGCTGAACCCTCTAAGCTGCTTAATTCCTTTGAGTCGCTGCACCAAGCAAAACGGAACAGATCTAGAAAAGAAAAGCCCTTGTATTTGTAGGTGTGGGGTTGTTACATGACTTTCTCTTGCGAGTGCCTTATTAATTAATTAATTAATTAATTAATTAATTAGAAGCTTTTGTATGCTGTCCTATTATACAAGATCTCAGGACGGCTTACAATTTTGAAAAGGACAATTAAGCAACAATATTAATAATAAAACAGAACAAAACAATAAACCAAACTGAGCGACTAAACTAAAAAAACTATTAGAGTTTAAAATACTGTTTAAATAAAAAGGTTTGGACCTGGCGCCGAAAAGAGTATAAATTTGGCGCCAGGCCTTCCTCTCTGGGGAGTACAGTCCAGAGTCGGGGTGCCACAGCAGAGAAGGCCCTGCTCCGAGTTGATGACCTTTTTACCTCTCTTAGAGGGGGTCCCCGGAGCAGGGCTTCTCCCGCAGATCTTAAGGGGCGTGAGGATGTATAAGGAAGGAGACGTTCCTTCAGGTATCCTGGTCCCAAGCCATTTAGGGCTTTATAGGTCAAAACCAGCACCTTGAATTGGGCCCGGACTTGAACTGGGAGCCAGTGGACCGGCGTTAGGTGCCCGTGATGTATTTAAATGACTTTGGTACCACTGAATGCCCTCACCGGGCACATGGCAGAGACCTACCAAGCCAAGAAAGGCATGCAAATTACTGCACTGAAGGTGCAAGGTTTTGGGTGTTGAGGCAGACTGTCCTCCACCACCACCAAACACACAAATCCCACCACGGAAAAACATACCGGCAAGACTTGACGTCAGCGGGCGTGGTGCTTGCAGTCGGCCACCGTTTCCTCGGCTCAGACCACACTGGTGTGGGGCTTAGGTCAGTAAACCCCATTGACCTGCTGCTGGCCTGAGCGTGCGCATGGCCAGAAATGCCCCCTGGAAGCTCTGTGGGGAATCGGGGAAGGTGGCCAGATGGTTCCAAGTTGTTTAGGCCTCCGAATGTCAGTGACAAATTAAGGCTTGTGTGTGGCTTGGTAGCTAATGACTGTGCTGGAATACAGCTCCCATCATCCCCAGGAAACCTGGCCCATTGGAACCCCAACTTGTTATTTGGAGTGGTCATTCTCCCCTGTTATAGACCTCTCTATAGAATTAGAATAATTTAAATTAGAATAATATAAATTTCCCCCTATGCAAGTTATCTATTATTTGTATTCTCAAGCTGTTTATTTCTATGAGAACACCCTCTGTGTTGTATGTGAAGGAACTTGCTACAGGGAATTTCTTCATGAGGCTTTTACTCCGCTGAATCTATTTTTGATTTTGTCGCAGGGTTGAGATCTGAGTGCCACATGGAGAATATTTCGTGGCCTGTTTGTCTACATCATAACTTCCTCCTTGAACAGCGGTATACAGTGCCCATACATGAGTGGAGAGGGGAGTTGCTTTTGGAAATAATACCTCATTTTTCTTGCTTCTCAAAAGAGAACCCAATAGGTGGGCAATATTTGGAGCCAAGGGCAGTGTAAGCCCACCATTTGTGTGTGCATGTGTATTTCCCCTCTTTCAACAACCCCCCCACCCCGGGAGCCACTGTTCAACAACAAACAGGGTCCTGTTAAGTGGGAGTGGAGGCGCCCAGTCTGCCAACAAACCCTCCTAAAGGAATTGTGGGTGGCATGACAGCAACGCCACGGGAACCGAAGGGCCCATGCCGGGAGGCCAGCGGGTTGGGGAAGGGGCTGAGGTCTCGCCCGTCTGCACTGAGGCCGGGCGACTGGCTTCTTGCCTGAGCTTGTCCGTTTGGTGGTGGTCCGGATGAGGGTCAAGGGCAGAGCTTGTGCGCCGGAGTGGGCGCTGTCGCGTGCCCTCTCGTTCCCGCTCGGCTCTGCTCCAGAGGCCCTCCACTTTGAAACGTGTCTTCTCAGACCGGCCTGCGGTGCACGATATAGGGGTGGCTGGCTGGGTGCGCCCCCCGCCCAGCGCCGCTTCTCATGCCGCTGCCCAAGAACCCCCAGTGCCACCTGCGCTCGCTTCTGCACAGCTCTCGGCGGCAGCCCATTCCCTCCGGCGCAGCGCAAGCTGGGTGTGCTCTGGTTACGGCTGTTGCATCACCAGCCCGAGGAGCAGAGTCCGCTGGCCAACACCTTTGGCCGCTGTGTGGCGCAGAGATTTGGGCTCGCGTGAGCTGGCCTTCCCCTCCTTCCGCCTCTCCCGCTCGTGTGTCCACAGCCTCGCTCTGCACTCCCTCCAGGCACTCTCTTGGGTCAGCGGCCGCCGCAAAAGACCCCCGGGACCGCTGCGCATCGCAGTCCGGATGCTGCTCTTCACACGGCATCGTCTGCCCATTTTGGAGGGACCGGTTTCGCTTCGGGGTGCGGCCGGTTGGATGTCCGTTTGATCCTTGGCTACTAGCCGGCTGGATCCATGGCGTGGCGAACGCACCTTTGCAGGACGGGGTGGTTTCCACTGTCCTCAAAGGTGCCGCGGTGCAGGCTTGGGAATCTTTTGCCTCGAGAAAAGGCAAGCGAGGGGAGATGGGATGGAGGTGCGCAGAATTACGCCGGGTTAAAGCTAGGAAATAGTCAGGGCTGGAGAGGCAAGAACTTGAAGGGCCGCATCAGGACACAGGCGGGTGAGAGATTCGGGATGGAATGGAAGAGGACCTTCTCCACGCAGCACCGAGCTAAACTATGATGGGATGCTTTGAAGGCCACCAATCCAGTTGCCGTTGAAAGGGGATGGACCAATTCATGGAGACGCTGTCTGCAGTGGGGCTATATACACCTATCGCTGGGGAACATGTGCTGGAGGGTGCTGCCACTGCCCACGCATCCTAGTTTATGTTTTCTCATGCTCTGCACCGCTTGGAACACTTCGGTTCTTGTGCAACGGAGAAATGAATTGATGAAATGCCTTGGCACGGAACCAGTTTGCTCCCATTAACTTCATGGTGAAGGTGCTTGAGTGTTTGCTTATTGTACAAAACACCTGAGGAGCTTTCAGGTGGGTTGCGTTGTTAGTGGGATAAAATTCACACCCATCCTACATAGCTGGCGATCCCAACAGATAAGCCAAGCTGTGTTCTCTTTCCCTGGACTGCGAAAGCTTTTTGTCACACTGGATTTTCTCTGATGTTACCTTGTTTTAGTGCTACCCGGGCACAGGAGATCATATCTCCAGTGCATGAGTCATCTTTGTAGAAACAGCAACAAAACACAAAATAACTTCTCCCAGGAGAAATCAAGAGCGTAAACCAACTTCCTCCTCCTTTCTCACTCACTCGCTCACTCGCTCGTTCTTCCTGCTGTGGTCCCAAAAGCACAGCAGCTTCTTGCTTCCTCCTTGACTGAAGGAAAGAGTTTTGTGCATGCCCAGAAGCACGCTGAAAAATTATTCCTGGTGAGCCGGTAGTTTGGAAGAGACACCCAGGTGCATGTCAGTTAACATTCCAAAGGAGCACTTCTGAGCATGTATAAAGAGCCTCTCCTCACTAGGAGCCATGCAGTCCTTCCTGGATGTGGACCTAGGCATTTAGTGCTGCCGCTTCCGGCCTCGTGCATGCCACCTCTGTTGGCGCATGACTCCCAGTGCCAGCCCTGCTGGGATTTCACCACTGGTCCACTTTGCTGGGGACATCCAGCAAGGGAAGTGGTCTTTGCGGGGGGTGGGGGGGGTTGGCACCCCCGTTGGAACAGTCTTCTCAGAAGTGTGTAGAGTTTCATCTTTATACTCCTTCCGGCATCAGATGAAGGCCTTTTACACAAATTCTGTTTCACCAGCTGGGTGCCTGCCTTTTCTGTGCACAATTTAATCTGGTCTTTAAAGATGACAGTGGTTTCTTACCACTGAAAAAGTGGAATTGCAGTGGGTATGTGTTTAGGAGGGGTCTTGAAAATGAAATCCATTTTATTTTTTAATCTTGGCCTTATGCCTGCTTGTTTCCAGTGCGGTGTCCGCCTTGGTTCTTGGCATCCTCTCTACTTTCCATAGACGTTGTGCCGTTCTCTCTCAGAGGCAGGATACTGGGGGCAACTCATTACGGTGATCGTCCCATTCAATTTCTGTGTGTGAGGGTAATCCTCTGAGTACCATGCCCCTTCTGAGCAACTCTTCGATCTGTTTCCTCCCAGCTTTTGGGAGTGTTGACAAGGAAGCTTGCACATTCCCAACTGCGTTTTGTTGGGGAAAACCAGTCGCCCCAACCTTTTAATCCCTTGCATTCATGGGGAAAGCTGGGGAAGGGTGAGAGCGGCTGCCAGGTAGGAATACAGCACGGCCTGTCTAAGCAGAGCCCGTGTCTTATCTCGGCCTTCCGCCCACCTCTCGGTAGCGCCTGCCTACCTGCCCGTCCAGTGCGCTTCCCCTCTCCCTCTGGCATGCTCTTTTCGTTCTCCACCCTCCTCTGCTCTCCTTGCAGACGCACTCGCAACCGTGGGAGCACTCAGATGCCAAAGGTCGGGATATAATCAAGCAGTCTCCCTCTCTGCAGCTCAGGCGCGATTATTCCGCTTAGCCCTGCGTCCCCTGTTCCCCCCGCTCCCCGTGTAGAAGGCGGCGTCCGTGGGTTACCTTTGACTCTGGGGTTGTTGCACCTGTGCTGGGAAGAGCAGAGCCACCGAAATCCGAGGGACTCGGGACGACCTCCGTCTCACTGAATCATTTTGGTGGGTCTCCTCTTAAGGTGGACGGGATCCAAAGTGGCCCCCTGACTTGCGCAGCGGACGGGCCGTCAAGGCAGCGCTTTCGCCTGACCCGCTCTTCGCCTTCTCCGCAGGATGCTGCAGACTCTACATGACTACTTCTGGTGGGACCGCCTCTGGTTGCCAGCCAACCTCACCTGGGCTGACCTCAAAGACCAGGATGGCCGGGCCAGCACCAAGGCCTCCGACCTGTACATCACCATCCCTCTCGCCTTCCTCTTCCTGGTCATCAGACACCTCTTCGAAATGTGAGCATCCTCACACCTGGGGAAGGCAGGGGGGCTGAACAGGTGCCGCACGTGCAGGAACCACGAGGGCGCCTGGCTTCGGTTTCCTTGTTGCACGTCGTTGGGGATTTCGAGAGCTGAGTCAGGGGAGGGGGGCAGACTAGATGGCCTTGGAGGCCCCTTCTGACTCGCTCTGTTTCTGTGAGGTCCTTGTTAAGGCCTCACCCCGGTCTCACTCTGCAGCATCAGTGTGTAGTCTCAAAAAGAGGCTCCTGGTGCCAGGCCGGGAGCCACGTAATTTCTGCCACAGGGAGGCGGGAGCATCCGGCTCAGGGATGGGACTGCAAAAGCCACCCTGGGCAGGGCAGGGCTGGGCTGGGCTGGGCTGGGAGCGTGTGGGAAAGCTGCCACGGGCTGAGACGCGGGTGTCATCCCTGGGTATAATAACACCCTTGTGCTGCTCCCCACCGGGAGCCGGCAACCCGAGTGATGTCAGCAGTGTTTACGGACGGGCCTGGGACAGCGGGCCAGAGCGTTAAAGAGCCATTCTTCACGCGGGCTGACAATCTCTCCCTCCCCGCCAGCATCCCGCCCCCCACGCCGCCCCAGGGGGGAGGCAGACAAGCGGAGCTTTGTTGGGGGCCCGGCAGGCTGTGGGTCCGTGCGCTGGGGAGGCACCTGCGATGGAGAGGGCAAAGGGAGTGGGGAGGAGGGCTTTGCGTTTGAGAGACGTGGGGCTCAGCTCCGGCAGGCACAAACGTGTCTGCAAGAGCCAGTGGGGCTCGGGGGCTCGGAGTGTGGGGCCAGGACATGGGGGAGCTGAGTTCGAGTCCCTACTCAGCCACAAAACTTGTGGGAGTGGCTGACCCTCACAGGGCGGCTGCTGGGCGAACGGGGAAGGAAGGGAGGGTGGAAGAGGCTTTGGGCTCCTTGGGGGGGCGGTGGGGGGGAGGCAGGAAATAAATGTGGAGATAAATCCCGAATGGGGATGAACGGATGCAAAGTCCACCATCTGCCAGCCGGCACCAAGTCCGTTGTCGGCTGATCAGCCCTTCTGCTGGCCCTTCGACAAGGAAATGAAACGGGCGGCTCAGGCACCGTCCCGGCAGGGCCGACGAGTATCTCCGAAGAGCCAAAGGGCAGAGTAGCAAAGTTGGAGAAATCCAGAATTCCTCGGCATCCCGCTGGTGCCTCCTGCGGCAAGCCAGCTTTTCCCACCTTGTGCGGATTCTGCAGCTGTGCAGGAGGCAGAAGGGCAGCATTCGAAATAGCATGTTAAAAGAGCCCCTCCAGGAAGCCCTTGCTCTCTAAGCGCTCGAAGATAGTATTCTCCGGGCAGACACCTGGCTCGTGTGAGATTTAAGCTGGTTGCCAGAGACTGGGCAGCGGTACCTGGCTGAACCAACAGTGAGCGGCCGTGATTTTGGAAGCATCCCTCATTTGAAGGGGAGATTTTAAAGCGACCCGGAGGAGGGCCTTCTCTGTGGTGGCACCCCGACTGTGGAACATGCTCCCCAGAGAGGTCTGCCTGGGGCCAATGCTTCTTTCCTTTCAGTGCCAGGCAAAACCCTTTTTATTCTCCCAATACTTATTTTATTTTATGCCTAATACTGGATGCTGTGCTACCGTCTTTGCTGTTTTTATTCTATTTTTGCATCACTGTTGTGAACCATCCCGAGACATCTGTGATGGGGCAGTGTACAGAAGTTTTAAATAAATAAATGAAGGTCCTTGTGTGCCTTTTGGGGAGGGGGAACGTGTGCTGAGAGGGACCTGGTTCCCCACCAGACGGACGGAGAATCTCTCAAGCTCACTGCCTTCCCCACTGCTCTTCCGACTCTTGGGATGAAGAAAAACAGCAGTCTGTTTTAACACTTCTTTGAAAAACACAGACACCATTGCATGTCAAAGGTGCTTTTGTTAAGTAGGTTTGCATGGCCACCTAGTGGCTGCCTTGGGCTTGGTCTGCCGGAGCGGAGACTCGTTTTGCAGGGTAGGAAAGGTGTTTTGGGGGAATCCCAAAATCCTCCGTACATGTTGACCTGCTTTCAGATGGAGGAGATAAGACATGTTGCAGGGTAGGTTTTGGTGCTGGCATATTAAAGAGGGAGATACCAAGAGGGCTGAGATGGGTCTGGAAGCCAAACCTCCCAGCTTCCTGTGCCCACCCACACACGGCCCCATGATCTCAGGTAAGCAGTAAAGAACCACACTTTGTACATGCTCCAAGAACTCCCCCTCTCCGTTCATGTGTATTTTCCCAATTTCCGTTGGGTGCCAAATGCCTCCTGGGCTAAGCCCTGAGTCAGAGGACGATCCAGTGGCTGCAGAAGTGCAGAGCTTTTTCCAGCACCACCTTAAGCTTCAAACTGCTCTCACAAGATGCCTCCAAGAACTCTTCTGATGCCGTGCCTCCTTTTCTCTCTCCTTCCTTGTGTCCGCCGCTTTGTCCTTCAGCTACGTGGCCACTCCGCTAGCCGGACTTTTGAACGTCAAAGAGAAAGTGCGGTTAAAAGCCACACCGAATCCCGTGCTAGAAAAATTTTACACTTCTTCCTGCAAGCACCCCAAACAGGTAAGCGGGAGCAAGAAGTGGGGAGCGGACCTGGAAAAGAGGGCGCCGTAAGGGGCCGCTGCTCCGCCACTTCTCCCAGAAAGTTCTAGGTTTGGGGCCCCACTCGATCTTCGAGTCAGGCTGGGACTCTTGGGATAGCCAGGCTGAGGAAGGGCAGGAGAGAGCCAAAGCGGCAAGCATGCGCAGCTAAAAGGCGCACATCTCTCCTAGCCTGGCCCAGCCTTCACTGGGATGTGCCCCTTGGGCCAGAAGGCGCTCAGTGCCCGGGTGCAAATCGCTGCCCTGTCTCGTGACGCCGCCGCTGCTCTGATCGCCTCTGCGCGGCTTCTCCCCCTCTGCCCGTGCAGGCCGACGTGGAGGCCCTTGCGAAGAAGAGCGGCTACACCACGCGGCAGGTGGAGCGCTGGTTCCGGCGCCGGCGCAACCAGGACCGGCCGAGCTTGCTGAAGAAGTTCCGGGAGTCCAGGTAGCTAAGAGCGGGCGCCGGCCACACGACTGCGCCTCACGCCGGGGGAGGACGGCAGCCCCTTCCTCTGCCCCCTTTCTGCGTCTCTCCGGCACCGGCTCGCCCCAGGTTTAGAGGGAAGAGCATCCAGGAACGAGCGGGGGACTCGTGGCCCCCCAGATGTTGCCGGCCGACGATTCCAAGCGGCCGGCGTGCTGACCAGGGCTGGTGGGGACTGCAGTGCGTCGACAGCGGGGCAGACACCGACTCCGACCGACTGCAAGCCCGCTGGATGCTGGGCCGGGCAGCCTGGGCCACGCCACCGCCTGCCTCCCAGGGCCAAGCCAGCCCCCTTCTCCGTTTAGGCCCAGTCGGCCACGTCCGAGACGAAGCCCAGGGCTGGTTGCCAAGCACAGAAGATCTTTGCGTGTGCAGAGGCAGGCATCACACTGCGCTTGGGCCCTCGCAGCCGCCCAGAAACGGCTCGCTTCCCGCAATCCCTGCCTGGGAGGGCTTGTGACTTCCCTGGAGAGCAAAGGAGCAGCAGGGTTTGCAGAAGTGCCCCCCACAAAAAAAAAAAAAAACACCTTTGGGGAGAAGCCCCCAAACAAGCTGGGGGTAGAAAGAGCCCTGTGAGGGCCCTGACAACAGCCCTGGCCCACCGACTCGCTGCTGAGGGCGAGAAGGTCAGGGTGGAGGCGTGGAATGGAGCGTCCTGGACAAGGCATGGCTGGCGGTCGGGGGGCCTCGACAAGGCCCTCTGCCCCCACAGCTGTGCTGCACTTCTCTGCCGTTTCCCTACTCGAGAAGTCTGCAAAAATGCGGAGACCCTCCGCCCCAGGCGATCCCCTGACTCTTGGCTCAACTGGAATCTGTTACAAAATGGAAGACTGATGCATGGATGGGGACCAGGTGGAGGTCCCAAGCTGGTGAGGGCAAGGCACTCTGCATGTGCCCAGAGACACTCTGGACATGCTTGACGTGACGTATTTTTCTGTGCTCGGGGGGAAAAAACCACTTTGTGCTTCCTTTTCCAGTTGGAGATTCACCTTTTACCTTCTTGCTTTCATTGCTGGCATGGCCGTCATAACAGACGTAAGTGCGTTCTTCCTTTTTGCCCCCCATCCCCGGCCCCCAGTTTAACCATCCTCTCCAATCATCTTTTTTTCCTCCCCCCCCCCCCCCCGAGCTGTAAAGTTTCCTCCTAAATTGCTCATCTCTCCTTCTTATCTTTGTCTTCTCATCTTGCAGAAACCTTGGTTTTATAATCTCCGGGAAGTCTGGGAAGGGTATCCAGTTCAAGTGAGTATTTTCTTTAAAATACTGTTTTTCTCTAAGAAATTTGTACTGCATTTTGAAGTAGTTTTTAAGAATAAAAGCAACAAAAGTCCCATTGAGGTCATCAAAGACATCCACTAAATTATAGTTCTTCGCCTGCTCCTGAACTAGCTGAAACAGGCTAAGTGGAAGCTTGAAACCAATAAAACGATGAAAATACAAGCTGTACAGCTTATAAACATGTGTCATTTTGTGTGTCTCTGCGTATGAATCAGAACACATATGAGCAACTGTACTTGTCTGGACTTTGATCAAAAGGCCGAAGGGCTTCCACACAGCTCAGAGACAGAATTCCTTGCTTGTAAGCGATTGCTGGCGTAAGCGAAGACACCAACCCAGAGTTTAGGCTGCCTGAATATGGCTCAGCTGGCATTCTGACCCACAAACTATGCAGGAAAAGAACCCGTGGTTTGTTCCGGGGCCGTGAACTCTGAGTTACTTGTAGTTAAGACCTGGTAGGGAATCCAAATGCAAAGTTGGCACATCTTGAGACTTACAGCTCAGCAGGAGCAGGTCACAACTCTGCCGGTACCTGTGAGCACCTGTGGTACCTGAGGGAATCCTGGACAAGATGGACCTGGATTAGCATCGGGCCTCTCCCTGTGGATGAGCAAGGCAGGTCTTCACCTGCCAGAATTTTATTGGGTGTGACCATGTCACATTTTAGAATTTAAAAGCCACCTGTGCACAGGAAAAATGCAAGGTTTCAGTCCCTTTAAGGAGAGGGGTCCCTCCTTTTCCCCTCAAATTAGGTGTCTAAAATGGATTCCCTCAATCCTGGCAGCCCACCTGGCTCACTTTTAAGCATCCCTTGGCACGCAGCTTGGGCTTCACCTGGGTTATTTTGCCTTGGCATCATTCTCAGGACTTGCTGCCGTCTCAGTACTGGTATTACATGATCGAGCTGTCGTTTTACCTGTCTCTGCTGTTCAGTGTTGCCTCGGACGTAAAGCGCAAGGTGAGCTGCCTTTTTCTCCTGTGGGGCGGGGGAGTGGGTTTGCTCAGGAACGCCCTGGCCACCCTACAACACAACCTACGGCCCCCCATGGTAGACAGCGGGGCCACCCAGCCATCCCCTGTGGTTTATCGATGCTCAAACAACCGAAGGTCCAAAACCCGCCACTGGGCGACACCTTGATCCAGGCTGACCAAGCTTCCTTAAAAAAAAGTGCAAGCTTTTTTGGCACTGCAGAACTCTTTGTCAGGGGAGATGTGACTGTGCTGGCCGGGGAAGGTGGGGCTGATCCCGCTTTTCTCCATGGGCTGGAGGGCAGCCCGCAGAGCCCCTTCTGAGATCAGAGGAATCGTGACGCCTGGGGAGCTGGATTAGGCCCGAGACGGGGTTCTGCAGCTCCGCCTTTGCACTCGTTCCCTTCTTCCCTTCCCGATGCTTGGCTGATGCCTCTTTCGTTTCTTCGTGGCCAGGACTTCAGAGAGCAGATCATCCACCACGTGGCCACCATCATCTTGATAAGCTTCTCCTGGTTCACCAACTACATCCGTGCGGGGACGCTGATCATGGCCTTGCACGACTCTTCTGACTACTTGCTGGAGGTGAGTGGCCCGCACGCCAAGCAGCACCCCAGCCTTCGCCTGACTTCATGGCTGAGCTTGCAATTGTTTGGAGATGCCTAGAAGCAGCAGCAGATGCTTCGGAACAGGCTGAAATAGGAGGAATATCTCCAGGAACCAGACGTGCCGTCCAGCTTCGTCCTCTTCCGTGGTGGCCTCCGTGTTGCATATGCGGCAGTGGTGCAGAGTTGGACCCTTTGGGCACGGAGAGGCCAAGTGACGCATGCAGATTCCTTTAACGACCCGCGCCATTGCTTGGGGCCTTGATGGAGACTTTTGGACATTAGAACATGCTCTTCCTGTCTAGGCTCGGATGTGTCCCAAAGTGGAGGCGTTCATATCATTCCTTGATTCTAAAGCAAGGGTGTGGATGCACAGGCTCACTGGGACCCAGAGCCAACTCCCCTGGCTTCCTGACTCAGCCACATACGTTTCTCCTCTGAGGCTCTCCTCAGTTGGCGCTCTCTCATGTTTCATGCCAATTAGTCCCTGTTCTAAAAAGTTGATAGCAACTGGCACAAAGCCGGCGGGGTGAGGGGGGAGTATTCCCGATCTAAGGCAGCCGGCTGGCCAGGGATGATGGAAGTTTTAGTTGAGTACATCTTGAGAGCATCAGCTTGTGGGGGCCAAGACAGATGTCAAGAAATGTGTTAGACCCATCTGTGAAAATTGCCTTTTCTCTTTCTGTCTTGGCAGTCTGCAAAGATGTTTAATTACGCTGGCTGGAAGAACACCTGCAATGGCATCTTCATAATCTTCGCAGTGGTCTTTATAATAACCCGGCTTATCATCCTTCCCTTCTGGTGAGAATTGTTTTTGCACGTTTTTTTAAGGGAAAAAAGTAAATGCATTAAAATGCACAAATGCAAGGAAACCTCAGTATAATCTCATATAATGTTTAGGGAAAAAAGGATTTCTGCGGCATACTAGGAATTCCCGATTGTTTCCCCTCTTGCTGTACTTGCAGATGATATTCTCTTTTTTAATCTTTTCTTTAGTGCTTGCAATGTTTTTAATCTGGACTTCCCCAGCTTGGATAAGTTGGATTGCACTCCCATTGTCCACAACCAGGGGCCATGCTGGCTTGGGAAGGTGAATGCTGTCATGCAACTCATCTGGTTGGGGTGAAAAACACTGCAAGTCATAACGATTAGGAATCGAATCAAGAAGAGAGACTCCCGTCTTTATACCTTGTGTTTTTCAGGAAGGTTGCTAGAGGCTGCTTCAACCAGCGAGATTAACAAACTAAAAAGCATTTTGCTTGGGGGTGCATTGGTTCCTCTTGGCAAATCATGCAACTCTGAACACAGTTCTTGGGAAATGTTTGCAATTTCCTGAACTTTGTTGACATTCAGAAATGTGTGCTTTCACGAAAGCAGATTTGCACAAATTTCCCCTTCCAAAATCCTGCAGATTTTGTAAAATGAACGCTTTTCCTGGGTGAAAAATTCATCAACAGCACACATTCTGGAACGCAAACCAGGCAAAACAAACTCTGAGGAAAAATTCAGAGAATGTTTGCAACTTGGCCACAGCACATTTAACTGTTCATAGTTTTAATTGACAATTGGGTAGCACTTTTTGTTTAAAGGAAGAAGTTTATTTTTATTTTAACCTGCAGTGGACAACTGCCATGTTAAAAGGTTTTCTCTCCAGTGTGGTAAGAGCACGTTGCAAAGGACAAAGAATACATTTTATGGTTCCCCCTGCTGAATTCCTCCCTGTTTTTTCAAGATGTAAGTTTTGTCTGTGCAAACTGTGAAGCACAGAGCTCCAATACTCGGAAATGCCTCACCACAACTTTCTCTCGTCTGTCACCCAGGATGCTGCACTGTACGATGGTCTACCCATTAGCTTTTTATCCACCATTTTTTGGCTACTACTTCTTCAACTTCATGATGGTTATCCTCCAGAGTCTGCACATATTTTGGGCATATCTCATTATACGCATGGCCCAGAAATTCATAACTGGAAAGGCAAGCTTTATCTATCTTTCTCTCCTTGGCTTTTGCTTTGCTTGGCACAACAGGGGAGGGTGTGGTGTGAAAACGAAGGAATGAAGAAATAAAATGGGACTTTCTCCTAAAGTTCATTTCCTTCTGAGGTGGAGAGCATTAAAAGGGAGGGCCTTTGCATGTAAGAGGAGGTGAACTGTGTGACCTCTGTCTTGGGAGTCATGAGGACTAGCAACCTGCTTTTTGTTTCGTCTCCTTTGTTATTTAAATGTAAAGCTGAATCGCTTGGGATCGGCCCTTTCTCATCATTGCAGCCTCCTGCTTGGCTGTGGCGGTTCCTCCTCCCATGTCTGGGCAGAGCAGGATGCATGCAAAGCAGGTTGCGCTGGGGAAGAGCAGCAGTGATGCCAGGGGCCGTCCGTTAGTGGCCCCACCTGTCTCGGCCCCCAGCCCTCTTTCTAGTTCCTGGTTAAAGTCTCAGCTCGTTACTTGGATGCCACTTCTGGTATGCTCAGGAGAGATTTCTGCCCTTTAGCATCGAAATGTGCCATTTCTGCATTTACGGTCTTTGCAGGCTGCCCCGTAACAAAATTCTCAGGGACACGATAACCGCAGGCATCCATGCAAACCATTCCAATGCTTTATTTTCGGTGAAATGTTTTGGCTGCTGCCTTCATTGGCGATTTTAAAATCCCATCGAGACGTAAAGAAAAATCGCTGTCGAAATGGCCGGAACTGCCGAAAGCAAGGCAGCAGCTACTGGCGAACGGACGGTCATTAAAAAACTTGGCTAAATAGAAAGCTTGAGGCATCTGAATTAGTGTGGAAGCTCCGGGGGACCCAAATTGGGCACCCGCCTCTCTTGCTGCGCTTGTCCTGTCCTGGTTTAACCTCTTCCAAATCCCTCCAGGTGGTGGAGGACGAGCGCAGTGACCGAGACGAGACCGACGAGACCGAAGAGGAAGAGCCGAAGACCGGCGCAGGTGCTGGCGCCATGGCAGACACAAAGAACGGCCCTCTCACCAACGGGCATCCCATCTTGAACAATAACCATCGGAAAGCCGAATGAGTCTTCTTTTTCTCTACCTGCCCCTCTTCGGTTTCCGCTCGCCTGTTGTCTGTTGAGAGATACACAAGCCAAGATTTTCTTTTTGAGGCCAAACCAAAAAATTTCTCCAAGGAGAACTTCAGAATTCCATCACTAGTGCAGGAGGTCCTCTCTTTTCCTGATCGTTTGACCTCTTCCTACAAAATTGGCTGAATTGTTGGTTCCACGCCAAGACAGACTCTGAAATTCCCGCCATCTTCCTTTTTTCTTTAGAGAATTAGTGATGCGTATGGCTCACCCTTAGAAATCCTCTTCTGACAGGAGTTGCAATAGCAGAAAATGGGCAAGCTGTTTTTCTTCTCCCCTGCCCCTTTATAGGAAGAGCTGGGGGAGTCAACGGCCTTGTTCTTTTGCCCCCCCCATCACCAAACTGCCTTAAAACGACGTTGGGAAGACAAACTGAAAAGCGGGGGTTCTTTCCTTCCCGAATTCCAAAATATAAATTTGTCAACCTCCAAGAAGCTGCAGGAAGGAAGATAGCGGTGACTTATCCCATGCCATGTGCTCTCTTTACATTAAAAAAAAAAAAAACTATGCCAGGTATGACATAAATTCACCAACTAAATACGCATTTTCAAGTTGCCAGTCCTCATTGAGGCTTTCTCCTTCCTGTGACAAAAGCCTTTGAATTCAGTGGACTGGAAAGCTGGGTTTCTTCTGTTCTCAAGCTCCCTCCGTCCCAGGTTCTCTCCAATCTGCAAAGCTCTTCTGTCGAGAAAGCCGCACCCAGGTCTTTCACAGGGCCAGCTCCTCTGGAGAGGCCACGGGGACCTCTGGAAGAAGCGAGCGCTTTGCCTTTGAGATGGTCTGGAGAGGGAGAGAAGGGCGGGAGGCACACGCCACCCGCCCGTCCCGGAAGTCTGCACTGGCTCTGGCTTCCGGTGTTCTCCTGTCCCTTCATGCTGCAAAACTTGGGGGGAAGAGAGGCGGTGTGTACCGCATGGGAGTGGGCGACGCGCCTCGCTCGGGATGCAGCCCTGGCCAGCCTCGCTTGGGAGGGGAGCTCTCCGGGCAGCCGTGTTCCTCCCTATTGCTGGACTCCAGCCAGGAATGCAGCCTGCCTCCCTTTCGGTCCTGACGCCCCTCGCGACCCCCAGCTCCAGGTCCCCCCACCGAGGGCGGGGTGAGGTCCTGCAGAAGCCAGGCTCGTCTTTCGCAAGGCTCGCCGTACTGTCAGCTGCACCGAACCCAAATGCACGCCACCGGCCCTTCTCCCCCGCATGCACGCATGCTCGGGATGCCTTCGCCCAGCCGCCTGCCTGGGTGCACCGCATCTGTAACGCCACCCCAATCGCCTGCGGATTTAATTCAAGAGTTGCGCGGCTGCGTGTGGCAGAGTGGGGATCGTTTGGAGGGCCGCTGGGTTTCAAGGGTGGATATCCTATTCAGAGCATGTGAGTACAGCGGACCCCGTTGGGGAGGTTTTGGGGGGCACTGCTACAGCAAACGTACCGCTAGGTCAAAGACGGCAGCGGGCTGGCATGCCACTCACGGTCCCTCGGTTGTTTCCAAGCAGCACATGCGTCTGTGTAGAATATATTCCACGCACACCACTTCACTCTCCTTCCACCTCTTTTGACCTGGAAATTAATGCTTTCTCACTTTTCACCTAGCTCCCCTTTTTCATCTTTTTAAAACAAGACACCCAGAATTCTTGTGTACTCGACCCGCTTCTTCCCACCCATTCAGAACACAGTTTTTTAATTTATTAGATAGGATTTTCCAAGTACCAAAGCAGAAGACTTCAAGCAAAGAAGGGTCCAGACAGAACAGAACCACTAGTGGAATTGGAAAGAATATTGGGTGTGTGTGTACGATGAAACGGCAATTTATTTCTCCAGCCTAGCCTGGACGGGTGGAGAGGGGTTTATAAAAGGACCATTAGCCTACCTTCAGACCAAAATGTGTACGGTTTTTTTGTAAAATAAAGATTAAAACCTAAATAAAACTAATAAACATCTGTAAAAAAACAAACCAACCGTGTGCTCTAATGGGCTTTTCCTCAGGAAAACCTTGCTTTTCATGGTGTTCAGACAGCACAGCGATTTTCAGATTCCTCCTGCATCTCTGACAGCCCTGAAGGGTAGGCCAGAAGTGCAAGCCAGCACGGCTGCTTGGTTCCAGCTAGGGAGAGGCGAAAGGCTCACGGGGTGAGTTGCGGTGAGCAGCACTGGGCGCGGCAACGTGGCAACCGACAGCGGCTAGAGCAGATTCCTGCAGACGACGGACATACTAGCTTGACTCCTCACCCTGTGAAAAGTCCATCCTGGCGTCTGTCCTGAATCTCCCAGCATCCACTATGATGGGAGGGTGGCAGCTTTCCTTCCTCGGAATACCAGAACCGGAAGGGCATCCTCCCACGCGACTGAAAGGCGGGACATCCGGGACAGGCCAAAACGAGCCCTTCACACTGCAGAGTTGAAGGATGAAATGCCAGGAGGGAGAGCCACCCATGTGGATGACGCTAAAGGCAGACTCGTTTCAGGCACGGAGGAGCTGACACTCTCGGCCTACAGGTCTTGATGGCCGTTGGCTGCACTTAACAATCCGGCTGCCGCTACCTCCCATGAGCCGCAACAGGCCTGGTGGCTGGAATTTCTCGTGCCCTACCCTCAGGTACTTTCCAGCTGCCGAGAAAAAGGCAAAATATTCCCAATCCTCATTTCATGTCTAGGGAAAAACCAGTCAGATAGTTGATGAGATATTCTTCACGGCCCGTTTACTTTTCTTCTTTCCCTTTCTGAAGTGCTCACGGGTGAACAGATGCGATACTTGGGCTTTTAATCAAGACCCAAATAAGTGTGTTTATTGCTTTACAACAATGGAAAAAGGGGGAGGAAATCCTTTACAAAACACACACAAGCACAATCGCTCTCCAAAATGGTCAGCCTGAAACCGAAACCGAAACCGACAGGTGAGACGGCCAGCAGCCGAAACATAACATGCGAAGTACTTGTGTGAAGGCGGCTCCGAGAATGAGAGCACCATTCCGGAGCAGGGTTTCTTCTCCTAGCCTCTCGGGGCGGAAGGGAAGAGGCCCGTGCCCTGGAAAGAGACGTACGCACATGCATCTTACAGCAGGCGCCCCCGGCACTCGATGGCTCCACAGCAGCACAGCAGCTCCTTGCCTTCCACGCTGCCCACTTCGTAGTTGTAGTCCCACGTGAGCTCCGTGCCGGCCCGGATCCTCCTGCAAAGAGCGCGCAGAGACGGGTCACGCAACTGGCTACAGCCACGCTCAAAACGTCCTTCGGGGTGTTCGAGGAGGAAAGCCACAGCTTCGAACCCCAAAGGGTTCGTGAGAGCCAGTCTGGTGTAGTGGTTAAGAGCCTGGGACTGGGACTCGGACGATCCGGGTTCAAGTCTCCGCTCGGCCATGGAGCCAACTGGGTGACTTTGGGCCAGTCACAGACTCTCGGCCCAACCTACCTCACAGGGTTGTTGTGGGGATAAGATGGAGGAGGAGAATGATGTAAGCTGCCTTGAGCCCTTTGTAGGAAAAAGGCAGGATATAAAGCATAAAGCATAAAAATGTTTTAATAAATAAATAAATAAATAAATAAATAAATAAATAAATTGCAATAAAAATAAATAAATCAAAATAAAGGGTTCGTGACTGGAAGCGAGGCTCACGGCGCTACAGGAGAAAACCAGGTGCCCGTGCAGCGCAAGGGAGAAGAGGAGCGGACTCTGCAACTGAAAATACGTCTGGCCGCGTGAGGCCTTCCGTAAGAACCACATCGTAAAACCCCATGTGGTGATCAAGGTGATGTCTGCAGGACAACACCACACACATGATAAAAATGGCTATGACGACACAACCAGTAGAGAGAGCAGCAGCAGAAAACCCCCAGGAGGCGGCAAGGGGCCGCAACGCAAGGAGAAAACCTGGCCCAGGCCGGCTCCGCCACCGCTCGCCTCCCGAGCCATCCTTGGGAAGGCCAGGCGGGAGCAGCAGCTTCTCGGGGCTGCCCCAGACCCCACCGGAGGTGCCCCGGCTGCCCCGGAGGGCGATTTTCTCCCCCAGGGCAGGCTGCTTCAGAAACGGCCCGCTCTCTTGCGGCCACGACAGGTGGGCAAACGACAAGGACCCCGCTCCTCTCAAGGGTGGGTCCCTGACAGAAACATGAACGTAGCCGGTGAAGCCAGGGCACAGGGAGGAAGGGGCTTTCCTTCGGAAGTCCTTGCGGCCTGGCCCACGACCTGCCAAACTTTGCAGCTACGCAAGACTCTACTGGAGCCGCTCCTCCATTTCCTTTCTTTCTCCCCGTCCCGTCCGGACTATAAGCCTAGACGGTTTTTATATGCTGAATTTTTTATTGTATTTATTTATTTAAAACATTTCTATGCCGCCCCCATCACAACAAAGCCTTGGGGCAGCTCACAAAAAATACAAAAAAAAAAAAAAAAGAATTTAAAACACCCCGGTGCATTCTCGGCTAATTTAAAATCCTAATAAATACAATAATTTAGCAATTAAAATAAGTTTCAAATAAAAAGGTCTTAGCCTGGTGCCGAAAAACAAAACAAAACAAAAAAAAACTTGGGCCGGGGAGCGGGTTCTGGTGGCTGGAGCGCAGGATATAGATGCTCTCGGTAAAGCAGCAGGTGCCTTCAGACCTGTGCCTTTCTCCCTCTGCCAGCTCGACCTGTTCCAGGGGAGCAGGGGGAGCTCCCCCCAGGGAAAGGGGCAGGGCGTGCAGGCCGAGGAACGCGGCGCAGGGAACTCCCCTCCCTGCGGGGCGCGACGCTTACTTGCTGGCGAAGAAGGCGACCCAGGGGAAGCGGAGGTCGTGCGTATCCACAAAGACGTTCTGCACGAAGAGGTTGGGGCTGCAACTGTGCTGCAAGGAAGAACGGCAGCGGGGGGGGGGGCGTTACTCCAGAAAGGGGTCAGGGAGAGCACAGCTGGGCCCAGCCGCAGAGGGGGTCCGGCCGGCCAGGTGGTAACGGGGCCCTCAGGCGGGGGGGGGGGGGGGCTTACGTTGAGGTAGCGGCCCAGGTTCCCCTCCAGCTTGGCGTCGATGATGTAGCAGGACTCCTCGCCGTCATAGAACTGCCGCGTGTTCCGGCGGACGGGCATGTTCTCCCCGGAAGCCAGGTTGGTGGACTTGATGGCGATGCCGTGCGTGGACTTCAGGGCGAACCCGCGCGTGGACTTCACCGCCACCTGCCGCTTGACGGGCCCTGCCGAAGAAGCAGTCGGGACGGTCTGTCGGGCGAACGCGGGTCAAGAGCCCCGGCACGCCTGGGCAGCCCCCGGCTGAGGAAGGCCGCCTTCGGCCGCAGACGCTCAGCCCAGCCAAGGTCGGCGGAAGCCGGCACACCCACGCGGGCGCGGGCGTTCACCTAGTCCGGAAGGCGAATTCTTCTTCCCGTCCGCAGCAGGCTCTTCCTCGGACCCGGAGGAAATGGTCTGGATGTCGTCACTGTCGTTGGCGTTCCCCTGGGCCTGCCCTGACGCAGCCTGCCCGTTGTCGCCCTCGCTGTCCGTGCTGCTCGAGAGCATCAGCACATCCTGCCCAAGGCGGAGAGGGAGAGGGAGAGAAGACTGCTCTGTCTCTCTGCTTCCCCAGCACCCATTTCTCAAGCCGAAAAATCTGCCCCCTGCTCGACCTTGCACTGCCGGAAGGTGCGGCCTTTTCGCCGGTGGCACCAAAATGGTGGAATATCTTCCAGCGGCAGGGGGAATTGCCCGTCTTCCCCTAAACTATTTATTTAAACGAAGGCTTAAGAGGAGTGCGGAAAACGACATCTGGCTGCTCAAGCACACCATTTAAGGCAGGAGTAATCTGCTACCTTCTCTAAAGCATCCAATTATTTTTCTGCCGCCGCTGCCGCAAGAGCTTACGTCTGCAGGGCTGGCGACGTGCTGCTCGGCCTGCCTTCGGCTCTGATGCATGGAGGTCTTGCTGAGCGGCCGACGGATCCCTTCAGGTCTCACCGGATTTGGGTCGTAGCCGTACAGTTTGCTCGTGCCACACGCTCTGGGGAATGACAAGAGGAAAGAGGCAGGGCTAGCCGGGGGGAGGGGGGGTCTCTCCAACGCCTCCCGTGCACTGGAAAACATTCTTTGTTGTGCCGACGGACAGTTTAAACAGCGAGAGGGGACAAAGCACAGGCAAAAACCTCTCAAAAGATCTATTAATACAACACGCAACAATCAAAGGCATTCAATATTTAACTAGGTGCCATGATTGGGCTGGAGCTGGCTCTGTGGTGACGTTCTAGGGACATTGTTTGTGGCTTGGGAAGCAAGACTTGATCCTTCTACAAGAAATGAATCAGAATATTCTTCTATCCATACAGAAGGGGAAAGAAGAGAAGAAACCCTTCTCTCCCGACAGGATACACAAGCAGTTCTTGGCAGTACTTGCTAACTTTTTAGCAGATGAGGCAGGATATAACAGATCATAAAGAAGAATAATTAACTAATAACAAATAAAAGGTGGCTGGACATTCCAAAGTGGAAAAAGATTAGCAGCAGGTTTACACCCAGTTCTCTCCATGGCATAAGCCAGGCCTAATTTTTCTGTAGAAGGGCACAACAGAAGGAAGAGACTTACGACAGGGGTTTGCCATGCTCTTCAGATTCCTGTATGAAAGACAGAAAGAGCAGGAATTTTAAGTGCCTGGTCTTATTTTCCTGCTTCACTCTCCCCACATTTTCCCACCAGTGGATATGACAAATAGGGCTGGCAGACGAAACAATGCAGCACAATTAAATACCCTTTCAAGTCGGCCTGCGTGCATAACACTGTATCATTTCTTTACAAAGCCAAAGTTTGAGGCAGTTTGCAAAGATTAAAACCATAAAAAGATGATAGGGTGACACAATCTAACTCCACTCAGACTTGAAAGAGAGGTCCACTCTGCATGGTTATCACTGTCTCGGAGCGCCCAAGGATCTTTCCTAAACACAAGCGGGTGCTTAACAAAGAGCAACCAATGTGTTTGGAAAGTCTGCTTTCAGCCGGCTTCATTCCCACGGCGAGATCACGTGCACAGCCCTGCGAGCCCGTTCTATCACGCGGGTGCAGAACTTCCCTCAGCGGGAGCAAAATGCCAGCTTGGGCCGCTCCTGGGGGCCGCATGTCCAGTGGTGCCACAGGCAATGGGGGGAACCCCAAACCCCCAAGGCTCCTCCTCCGAGCTGAGAGACTGACCCTCGGAGGAGGGAACGGCCTGAGTCCAGGGCTCCGAGGCCTCTGCAGCCGGGGAAAGGGGCAGGGGAGGCTAGGGAACCCCCGGAAAGTCGGCTGGGGGTGAGAGTCCCAAGGGGCGGCGAAGGCTCTCCCCACAGACCGTACCTCCTTCTTCTTCACCTTCAGGTCCGCGTCCAGGCCGAACGCCTCCTTCCCAGGGCGCCCGCCCTTCTCGCTGTCCGCAGGCTCGGCCTTGGCTGGCTTCCCCTCGGCGCCCTCGTGCATCCGGAAGGAGGAGCGGCTGTCGTTGTCCTGGTAGCCGTCGGCCATGGTGTTGGAGCTCAGCCAGGAGGCCACCTTGTTCTTGGAGGTCTCCTCGGAGAGCGGGGGCTTGCAGGGGGCCACCTCCTCGTGGCTGACCTGCCGCGTCAGGCCCGAGTCCTTGGAGGCCGTCTCCGAGACCCCGTTCTCCCGCTGGCCCCGGGTCTGGCGACGGGTGGCGTAGCTGCGCCACACCGAGCTGGTGCTGAAGTCCTCGTCCTTGCAAAAGTTGTCGTCGGAGCTGTCCTCGTTGGACTCCTCGGGGTCCTCCGAGCCGGAGTTCTCGTCCTCGTCCTCCTTCAGGTTGACGCCGCTGCTGTCCGAGGAGCACTTGGCCTCGCTCTCGTAGCCCTCCTTCGAGTTCTCCACGCTCTCGATGTGGTCCAGGTTGGCGAAGTACTCGTCCCCCATCTCCAAGCCCTCCTTGTCAGCAAAGTCATCTGTCAGGATTTTGCCTGTGGGGTCAAAAAGGGGGCCAGGTTGCAGGAGGCCCGGCGCTGCTCCCAGCTGCGAACCGAGCGGCCGGCTGGCCGCTGCAGGAGAGGAGAGGAGCGCGAGCCGGGAGGCCCAGGGACGAGGTGCGCGGACGTCACCCTCGGGGAGCGCTTGGGCCTGCAGGGCAGAGCCACGGGGGCTGCACCCCTGCCCCCCAGAATGAGCCTCACAACGGGGGCGGGCGGCCTGGCTGTCCACAACGGGCAGAGCAGACAGAGCTGCCAGCTGCTCTGTTGGCCCTTCCCTGTCGGAGGGAACACCCACAAGAAGGCCCGGCGCCTGGTTTTATCCCTTCATTCTTCCTCCCTCCCAATCCCCGTTTCCTTTGGCGCGACTTCTTTCGAACCGTCAGCCGGAGGGCAGGGGCGGCCACGGAAATTTCCGCAGGCGAATCTGGGTGGGGAGCTGGGCGAAGGAGGCGCTCAGCCGCTCAGCCACGATTCCGCCCACAAGCCGGGACCTGCCCCCCCCCCGCCCCAGATGCCGATGCAGGCGAGGGGAAGCTGGCCGGTCGGCCGGCCGCTGGCCCGGGGGCCGCGCACCTGCGTAGATGCAGACGAAGGAGCCCTTGGCGATGTCGTCCAGGCAGCGGATGCCCCAGCCCTTGTTCTGCGTCTTGAAGAGCTGCAGCCGCACCTGCAGGCCGTGCTGCACCAGGCGGTTCGTGCACATGTCCGTGTTGCACCGGCACCGCTTGTTGCACTCGTACACCCTGGGAGGGAGGGGGCGGTGAGGGGGCGGCGGGGGCAACCCGGACCGCCGGCACTCTCCCCGGCCGCCCCCTCCCCGGGCTAGAGCTGCCCGGCCCCGCCAACTGCCCCCCGGGACGGCTCCCGGCCCCCCTCCCCAGACACGCTCGGGGGAAGCTTGTTCCGCGGGCCGAGCGAGGGCCTCCCCTTTCGGCACGTTGAATTCCTGGCCGGCTGCTCTACCCAGAAAATGGCACTCAGAGCCGCCTGCAACTGCCAATCGATAAAGCGGCTGCTGATTAACGCAAGAGGAAGAGCAAACGCATCAAAGACTCCGTTAAAAATAGAGCGGGGCAGGAACCGGGCTCGCTCGCATGTGCCAAACACCAGCTTACAGAGAAGCGTCCCTGCCTGCCTGCCTGCCTGCCCTTCCCAGCACGGCCCCTTCCCCACACAAGGGCTGGGGGAGCAGGCCGAGGCGATGCCACAGAAGCGGCACGGCAGCAGGAGCCAAAGCCACCGTCCTCCCGGGGGTGCCCGGGGCAGGGGGGCTCCATCCCAGGCTCCTGGGCCCCATGGACAAACGGAACCCTGCTGGACCGGAGCCACGTCAGCGGGGCCCCTCCAGTTCAGCCCCCGTGCGCTGCAGCAGCCCAGCAGGGGTGTCCAGGCAGGCTGCCGGCAGGGCACAACGGAAACAGCCCGGGCAATGGGGGGGGCTCTGAACCTCTGCCCCCCCTCATTTCACAGCCACCGGCCAGCCACCGGCAGACAGCACACAAAAGCACCTGGCCTTGTTCAGGCGAGGCAGGGGGATGCCCCCAGGGGTTTTGGACTCCAAGTCCCACCAGCCCCAGCCGGCACGGTCACCGGCCACGGAAGTGGGGTCTGCGCACCGGGAGGGCACCAGACCAGCCAAGCCGCTCACGGCCACGTTTGCAGGCGGGAGTCGGGACGACCCGCACCAGCACCACGCAAACAGCCCTGCTGCCCCCAGCCGTGGGCCTGCCCCCCCCCCCCGGCTTACCCTGTGGGGAGGCACTCCTCCAGCCGCTTGTACTGGTACCCGGAATTGGGGTTGCTCTGCCCCCCGGGGGTGCAGGCCGTGGCCTGGATGGTCAGCTGGTGGCAGGCGCATTTGGACCTTTCGGAGGAAGCGCAACACACGGTTAGGACGGGGGGGGGGGCAGCAGGGCCATGCAGCGCCGCGAGGGGGCCCGGGGGGCTCGCGTCTCCCAGCCCGGCCGTGAGCTCCACTCAGCCCTTCTGAGCACTCGGAGTCGATGAAAGCTGGAGGGCGTGGGGGAGCCCGGAAGAGGTGAGCGCACCACAGGCCGTGGCCGCAGCAGCCGTTCTGCCTAGAGCATGCCACTTGTGCCCCCCCGGGCCCCCCCGCCCAGGCTGAACGCTCCCCTCTCCCCCCAAGGAGAGCCTCGCGCTCATCGCTCCTTCGCCACCACGGCTAGCGGCCAAGAGAGAATTGATCTGCGGCGGCTGGAGAGCCGAGGGCCAAAAGGGCCGTTAGATTAACTACATATTGCCTGGTCTGGGATGCACCTTCCTTGAGCACAGAAGCGATGAGCCCGTCGCCTGCGAGGGGCGGCTGGAGCACAGCGCCCCCCCTTCCGAACCAAGGGCCAGGCTGGTTGGGAAGGACGGAACGGCCGTCGGACAAGCCCGGGGGCCCCAGGGAGGGGAGGCTGGCTGGCTGCCTGCCGGAAGAGCGGGCCGGCCGTGGCCCCCGTGCTCGGCCTGTGCGCGGCGGGGGGGGGGGGGGGGGGGGGGGGGGGGGGGGGGGGGGCGTGCGGCCGGCTCACTTGTCCCTGCAGCCGTCCTCGCAGTCGCAGCCCACCAGGAACTCCCAGCTGGTGTTGATGTAGACGCCCTTGCCGGGGATGCGCTCCTTGCTGTAGGCCACCTGGGGCGGGGGCGTGCTGTCGATCTCGTTGACGCAGGACAGCGGGACGTCCTCCTTGCCCTTGGTGATGTCGACGATGTAGTAGAAGGGCTTGTAGGGCTGGAACTTGCGGTCCACCAGCACGTAGGGGTCCAGGCAGAACATCTCCAGGAAGAGGAAGTTGCAGTCCGTCTCGAAGAGGTAGCGCTCGATCTCCGCCATGCTGCGCAGGCACAGGCCGCAGGGCGTCTTGTAGACCACGTGGAAGCCCGTCTTGCGGTTGATGCGCCGGCGCGCCGTCATGCGCCGGAAGTCGTACAGCAGCGGGACGAGCAGCGGGTTCTTGCTGCGGTACTGGTGCGGGAGATAGGGGCGCACGCGGGAGAGGCAGGCCGCGCTGCAGACGTGGGGCAGGTAGAAGAGCTTCTCCACGGGGGCCCGGTAGGAGGGCTCGCTGGGCACCCGGTCCAGCATGCCGTGGAAGGGCTGGCCAGAGCCCCCCGCCGGCTGCGTCCCCGAGAACCTGTGCGCGGGCGAGACGGGCGGCGGGTGAAGGGGGCGGGACTCGCCGGCACACACGACTGCTGCCGACGGCTCCCCCGAGGCGGCCTCCGCTCCTGCCCCCGGCCTCGGCCGAGGTCCAACGAGACTGCTCGGCGCTGGGTGGACGGGCCTCCCCCTTGAGGGGCCCCTCCTTCAGACTTCCCAAAGTGTGCTGAGACCACCCTCTTGAGGGCGGGCGGGGTCTCGTTTCGGCTCCAGAACCAGCAGCTTGCGGTCCTGGGCATCCAACCAAGAGCAGATGGGCTGTGCGGGGGGGGGGGGGTTCTGCTGGCCGTGCGGCTGGGGGCTGCTGGAGCGCACCCAGAAGTGGCCACTCACCGGAACTGCTGGGTCACCCCTGTCCGCCCGGCGGGAGGCGTTTCGCTCTGGACGGGGGAGGAGGGCGAGGAGGGTCCCGAGCCCGCTGAGCCGGGGCGCAGGAACGACGTGCTCTTCTTGGCCACCTGCTGCTTCTTGGCCTGCGCAAGCTGGCTGTCAGGGCTCCTGCGCAAGGGAAGGAAGCGGGAGGGGCATCAAGCGGGGGCAGCTGGAACTGCCTCGCTGGGAGCAGCTCATTTGCTCGCCTTGCCCTCTGGCCTGGCCAGACAAGGGAGGGGGGAGGGGAGGGGAGGGGAGGGGAGGGGGAGACGCCACGGCTGCCCTTCCCTCCACTCCGGCCCCATGAGCGAGCAGGCGAGTGAGTGCGGGGGCCGCTAGGAGGAAGAGGAGCAGTCCTCTTCAGCGCTCACGGTTGGTGCAGCGAGGGAGAAGGTGCCCCTGAAGGCGTCCTGCCCCAGGGCCCTCTGGACCCCAGCGTCCCACGCCCCGGCCCTCCCCTCGGCAAAGGGCTCCCACGACTCACTCCACGTCCACGAACTGTGGCGAAACGGGCTGGGACGTGGCCGCCGGCGTCGGGGGCTGCTCGGCGGGCTTGAACTGCTGCGGGCTGGCCACCGTCAAGTCGTGAGTGTACTGGACCACCGGCCCTTTGCTGCGCACGGCCCCTGGCGGGAAAGGAGCAGGAAGGTTACATGTGCCCCACGAAAGGACAAGGTGGGTTAACACGGGAGGAGTTTCCAAGCAGGGGGAGCTCGGTGTAACCCCGACACCATCCTCCCAAGGCAGCCGCGGCACGGCCACCCTCCTGCTAGGCCTGGGCTTCCCCCAGGGTGGTTCTGAAGATGAAAGGTGTGGGGGAGAACGCGCCGAAAGGGAGGGCAGAATGGAAAGAGGCACAAGGAGCAACTCCAGCCGGAGCCCTGGGTGCTTGTCGGGCTCCCACAAGGCGACCCGAGGTCGAAGGGCCACACTGCTCCGCGGTGTGGGCTCTGGAGAGCCTGGAACACAGAACTTTTACGGGGAACTTCAGTCGGAGAAAAGAACACCCGTCCGCCCGCTTCAGCCCTCCGAGTGAAGTCTCCCGTGCGCTTCCCCGCCTTCCCAAGGCCTGGCGGTGGGGCCGGCAGCGGAGGGGAGCTACGGCGTACCAACATTGGGCCGAGTCCTCGTCTGCCCCGCTTGTTTCTTCTCCTGGGTGGAGGCCGTGGAGGTCTTCATGCTGAACATGGGCTCCAGGCGGGTGGAGCCCCGGTAGATCCACTCACAGCGCTTGTCGTCCTGGGGAAGCGGCAAGGACGGGCCGACGCTCAGCCGGAGGAAAGGACGGGACGCTGTCCCACGCACGAGCCGTGGAGCAGCAGCCATGCCGGGCTCCTGCTGCCGACCGCCCTCTTCTCGGGGACGCCCGTGCCGCGCAAGTCCCGCGTGGCCAAGCGCCGGCCCCGAGGGCATCGCCAGGCCTTACCAGGAAGAGGATTTTGACGAGGCTCCCGTCCACTTCCTCCACCCGGGACCGCCACCAGGTGCCCTCCCACTCCGTCTTGATTTGCTGGCCGCTCTTGAGCAGGACCATCGGCCGGTTCGGGTAGGCTGTGACGTACTCCTCGATGAAGTCCCGGCACGAGATGTCTTCGATGTCCTCCCAGGACTTCTTGACTGCCCGAAGGAAGCAAGGCGGGGCGTGAGGTCGCCTTCCACGACCCTTTTCCTGGCCAAGGGGCTCCAAACAAGGGCAGTGGACCTTGCTCAGCTGAAAGGCTGGGTCCCACTTTCAGAGCAGCTCCCAGGGACCCATTCCGGCAGAGGGGGGCCGAATGCCAAGCGGCTGGGGCCAGAAGTGCACCCCCATATCCTATTGCAGTCGAAGGCCCCCACGACCATTAATTAAGCATTTAAGCTTCCGACAATGGGGGAACGTGGCACAGAAGCTGGGAAGCCACCAAAACGGGACATAGAAGCACCAACGCCCCAGCTTGGCCCTCCCGGAGAGCAGGGCGTGGCATCCGGGAATCTCTCTCTGCCCCCAGAACCAGCTGCTCTTTCCTGTCGAGATCGAAAAGGGCCGATGGGCAGGCCTGGGGGGGGGGCCAGGAGGCTGAGGGGGACTCACGCGGCCTGCAGATCAGATACAGCTCCGGCTGGACGACGTAGGACGCATAGCCGTCGTCAAAGAAGATGAGGAACCTGGAAGAGATGGTGCGAGTGAGAACACACCGCAGCAGCGGCTTTCCAAGGCATGCTCAGGACACGGCCTGGGGTGAAGCCGGCCCCAAAACACACATCGCACAACAGAGAACGCACCGCGAGGGTACCAACGCAGATGCAGACATCACTGTTCCTCCTGAGAAAAAGAGGGGGAAAGGAGGCCCATTCCACCAGCCCCGCTGACGCGCTCGCTGCTTTCCTCCTCCCTCCCCAGCCATCTTTTCTCTTCCTTCATGTGCTGTACCTTCTTGGACAGCTGACCTGTCGTTTTGCGTGAAGGCGTGTGGCTAGGGCTGCTTTTGGATCAGGACAAAAAGCACTGCAAAAGCATTGGCAAACCAAGGATGGGATTCCCTGAACTCGGTCCCGGAATTCTGAAAGGATCTGAGGGAGAGCCAAGGAGGGGGGGCTTGTGTACAGGCCCCCATGAAATCAGGTGGGGAGCCCTTAACTCTGCTTCACCTCCATCACACGACAGCGATGGCTTAACGTGATGGGGCGGGTTTTCTCCTGGAAAGTCAATTTCTTACGAACAGCATGAACACGGATGCTGGAGGCAGGAGAAGATGGCCGTGCTCTTCCCTTGGCTTTCAGGGTGGCAAATGAATAAGCACCGTTCTCAAAACACAATCTGCGAGCGCAGGAAACCGCGGTGGGAAATCGCGGCCTTTGCCTAAGAAGCACGGCGGAGTTTGCCCAGACCTCATCTTGTTCTTGATGTTCGGCGTCTCGGCCACGATGCCGGCGTACAGCCACACCTGGTTCCCGTCCTTGTACTTGGCCACCACCCGGCTCCCGACGTGGAGCTTCTCCGCCGCCGGGTGGTAGTCATACGCAATGTGGTTGCCGGACAGCAAGCTCTTCCCTTTGTTGTCGAACTTCACCTTGTATTTTTTCCCCGGGCCTGAAAAAGGGACCGCCCGGGAGGGCAGCGGTCAGGGAGCGCCTCCAGGCGAGAAAGGGAGGCGGCCCTCCCACGATTCCCCAGTTTTGGGGCGGTCCATGGGCAGCAGGCAGGCCGGCCGGCCGAGGGTCCCCACACTCACCCACTGTCTGGATGGCTATCAGTGTGCCCTTGTGCCACGTCTTGGTCCGCTTCTTGCCCAGGACGCGGTCCCCCACGGCCAGGTCGCCATCCTGGGTGAGCTCGCAGCCGGGACTCACCTGCTGGGTTCCTGCGGGGGGAAAGCCAGTGAGGCGCACCCCCCAGAAAGGCCCGGCGTTCACGGGGCCGTCCATTTTCAGGGCCGCCATTAACGGGGGGCCAGTTGATGGCACGTAGCATCGAGCACAAGTGGCAATGAGGCCGTTACAAGAGGTGCCGTCGATATTCATGAAAAGGGAAGTCTTCGTGAGGCAGAAGAAGGATGCTAAAGGAGGGCCGAGCATCCCTGCGTAGGTGGGCGCAGCCCGCCTTCTTCCCCCAGGCAAACCTGGCTTGCCAAGCCATTACTGGTCTCGTCTCAGGGAGACCCACCTCGCTGGGAGTCCAGGCTGCTGGACTTTTTGTTAACTGCATCCATGAACTTCTGCACATCCTGGGCGGACTTCCTCATGGCAGCCATGGCTTCTCGGAGCTGCAAGGAGAGAGCGGGCGTTGGAAACTGCCTCAGCAAAAAGGGAAGACAAGAAAAGAAGATTCACGAGCAGAGCTGAACGCTCTAGTTTGCTTCACTGTTCCGAAAGGAAGAGCAGAAGCTGAGCCATGCTATCACGAAGCCTGGAAAAGGGGAGGGAGGACATGATCCACAGCTCCCAAATTCACAGGGGCAGCCGCTTCTCACCAAGGGCCCGACGGCAGGCCAGTCTGCCCGTCCCCACGGCAGCCGCAGAGAGAGCAGCTACGCCAGTGATCAGATGCATGGGGGAGAGAGGACTGGAATTAAGGAGCGCTTGCATCCATATATGCCCAGCCGCCCCTTGAGATCGGCGGGAGAGGCCCTTCTCCGGGAACCCTCCGTGAAAGAAATTAGGAGGGTGGGTACTCGGAGGAGGGCTTTCTCTGTGGTGGTGCCTGTTATGGAATGCGCTCCCCAGAGAGGTCCTCCTGGCGCCGTCATTATTTGTTTTTCGGCACCAGGCGAACACCTTTTTATTTAAGCGGCATTTTAACTGTTAATATTATTGGATTTTATCTGGCCAGGTCGGCTTATTTTATATTGTATTTTTGTATTTTAATCTAATGTTTATATTTTTTAATTTAAGATTATAATTATTTTAATTTATTGTTGTAAGCCGCCCTGAGGCTTCGGCGAATGGGGCGGCATAAAAATGTTTTAATAAATAAATAAGTAAGTAAGTAAGTAAGTAAGGCCGAGGTTTGGGGGTCCAAAGCTGAGCCCCCTGAGGCTCCAGGGGAGAGAAAGGAAACCATGCTTCTGCTAGAGATGAGCAGGCAGATCCCTCCAGCCCCAAGCCTCTGCTTCCGCTGACATATCCAGGGGTCCTACGAACGATCAAACCTAGGACATCGCAAGCAGGATAAAAAGTATTGCCACATCCAGGTGAAAGGTGCCAGCCGGGTCTACTCACCAGTGACTGGTCCTTGGCAATCTTGCTGCTTGCATCAGCTGCGAGTAAAGAGAGCGACACCAGCGTTAGGCGGGAGAAAGGCCCACGCCAACAGCACTCCTCCCGCAGTAACAGACGCACGTACTACTGGACGTATTCAAGCACCTCTCTGAGCTGTTTATATATCTGTGACAGTGCAAGACTAGGCGAGTTTAGATTTAAAAAGTCCTACCAGGTGGACTCTTTTCTATGTGGACATGCACAGAGCTGCACCTGAAGTGAATGACATGTTGTCATTACCTGCCACAGTCGTAACAGGTGGGTGTGATTTTGGAGGCCATCTAGTCCAACCACCCCGACCAATGCAGGAACTGTGGTGCTTTCAGGATTTTGGAGGCCATCTAGTCCAATCACCCCGACCAATGCAGGAACTGCAGTGCTTTCGGCCGCAGCATCCCCCGAGGACTGCTTGAATGCCTCCAGGGAGGGAGAGCCCGCACCCCGAGGCAGCCCAAACACTCTACCATTAGGAAGCTTCTGCTGAGATGCAGTGTCTCCCTATTACTAATCAAAATCATTAATATAGGACTAAAACGTTCATTCTGCGTAGAAACCACAGTTTTTCACATAGTGCACACAAAAATCCATCAGTCTAAAGTTTCCAGGCAGGCAGCCTGTTGCAGCAAGAGAAAGACCCACACACACCGCAAAGATCGAACTCATTGTGGTATATGCTTTTGCAGACTTCATCAGCCGTGTGATGTGTTGTCCAAAGTGGCAATGATTCTACACTGGTGGCCCACATTCTCCCGGAGGGACAAGCCTGACCGAGTCCCACCAAGTACGGGGAGGTGGAACAGGGCACCAGCCACGGTGCCATGCCTGGAAGTTGCACCCGGAAAGAACGGCCATGTTTGTTGAGTCACGCCGGCACCATCTCCTTCGAGCAGGTGCCACTGAAGCTGATCGAACAGTTAAAACTGAAAGGCTTGGCTGACAGCAACCAGCAAGAACAACGAGGCCCCGTCCGACCGCCTGTCTTTATCCACTGAGGCACAAGACCTTTTCAAAAAAATTCCTGGCCCAATCCAGCAAAGTCTGCTGTACCTACGCTGCTGCTTATGATGCATAAATGGCCCTGCTTGCTGGGGATGATGGGAAAGGACATCCAGAGCGTGCCAGGTTGGGGGAGACAGCTTTAGGCAGTCTCTGGATCCACATACGTAGCTTTTAACCCAGGAGACTCCTTTGCCTGAGATGCTTCCAGTTTGATCCTGATCTTGGATCTACTGGACGGCTCTTGTATTTTACCCAACGTTTCAGCATGAGTGGCCTCCGGGATGGGAAGGGGAGACTGACTGGCAGCCTGCACAGTTTGACAAGTGCAGTGAAGGTTGCTGGCCGGGGTGGAGAGGAGAACAGCACAGGATCAGGCCACCAGCACCGCCTGCCACATGGCTTAGCTGCCTCGCCCGGTGGAGACAGCATGCTGGGTCAGATGGGCACACAGCCAGGGACCCAACCTGAGTCGATGCTCATAACTTCGTCTTCATCCTCATCAGGGATCTCGATCACCTCCATGGGCTTGCTGGAGGCCTCCTCCTCCTCCGAGTCCGTCTCTCGGTACTCCAGCCCCAAGTTTGCATAGACATCTTTCACCAGCACCTCACATTTATCTACAGCTCTGCAGCATATAAAGCAAAAAAAAGAATTCCAAGTTTAAGTTTTGGAGACACCATTTCAGAGATTTCTACAGGCTGTAACTTAATTTTAACCCTCAAACCTGGCCTCATAATATGGTGCATGCAGGGGATAAAATACAGCCAGTTCTTTTGAAGGAGAAAATTTCAGTATTTATATCTTGAGACCAAGGACTCAAGCCCATGCATTTTTCGACAGACAGACCCTTGCAACTGCCAGCACTCCTTGGCCAGGAAGGTTGTGGGCTACACTATGGACTAGTAGCTTTGGGCGGGCATTGGTCCCAATCCTTGCTTACTTCACTGCATTGTCCAGGAGCTGGTCTACATGAGCTACTTCAGCCTCCTTCTGCTTCACACATTCCTCCAGCTGCTCCAGCTCCTGCTTCCGCTGTCTGATGCACTCTGATTTTTCCAGCTCTTCCTCAATTAACTGCTTGAGATCCTCCAGGGAGATGCCCAGCTCTTCCATGACCTCTCGCTGCAGCTCCACCATCTCTTGGGACTCTGCCATGGTGGCAGAAACTGAAGTAGTTCGAAAAGAAACAAATGTCAAACACACAGTACCCAAAACTTTGCAAATGCTGGCAACCTCTAGAATCTGAGAGAAGATATGTGCAGATCTAATTTTTAAGCAAGAAGACAAGCAAGCAGAAAGCTGCTGCATACTGAGTCAGATCTATTTAGCTCAGTAAACAGCTCAGCATTTCAGGCAGACCTATTTCCAAAACCTACCTGAAGATGCCAGAGACTGAACCTGGGCCATGCTGCATGCAGAGCAGGGGTTCTATTGCTTTGTTATGGCTCCTCCAAGCTACGGTAAATTGAGAAGGACATAAAACAATGTTTTGAAACCCTCCTTCCTCCACTGCAATTCCAGCCTCCCGGCCATGCAAGTCTTACAAGTCTCATTAAAGACTATGAAAACTCTACAGGTCACCATTCGTGATCAGATCTCATGTACCCCATGGGATCAGAGTAAGCATTCAACAGCCCCCCTACAGGTATGCTCCCCCACAAAGGGTCCAACAACTCCTTTCCACATTCGTGCTCCTTGCCCCCCACCCCACATCCACCCCACAGTTGCCTCTCTGGTCTTTTAAAAATATCTCTTCTTGTAAGCAGCCTGTGCCTCTATCCCTCCCACATCTCACAGCCCCATTTATCTTTTAGGCATGTAAAAGCTTTACCGGCAAACCTCTTTCCGAAAGAAATGCTGCCGCCATGCCCCCTTCAGCCGTCCCCAAAGGCTCTCTACCCTATCCGTCCCTCCGAGAGACCCCTCCCCAAGGCCGGACCCTTCCTCCTGTGCCGGCTCTTCGCCTCGACATCTGGCAATACCTTGACCCCTCAATCACAGCAGCCCTGGCCAAAGCGCCCTTCGCGCCTCGCCCTGAGAGGGGAGCATCCTCGAGAGAGGCAGCAGGCCTGACCCGCCAATCCCCGCAAGAGAGAGGCGCGCCCCGCATCCCGCCTCCCCCAGCAAGAGCATCGCCCCAGGCACGCCTCCCGCAGCTGCAGCCCCCTCCGCATGCGGCCCCTTCCCCCAAATCCCGCCCCAGGCACGCCACAGCCCCGCCCCCACCCCCCCCGCCGCCCCCGCCCCCCGATCCCCGCCTGGCCCCCTCCCCGCCACGCTCACCTCTCCCCCGGCGGGGGGGGAGGTATTTTGCCTGGAACCGACTCAGGCTGTCGGAGGGAAGCAGTTCAAGCAACACCGGAAACCCGCGCAACGTGCTTCCGTGGGCGGGGCCAGGGAACGGACCTTCCCCCGCCCCGCTCGGGAGCTTTGCGCATGCGCCTCTGGAAAACGAGGCGACAAGACGGCGCCCGCCCGCCTACTACGTACGCCTGTCTGGTCGGAGGCCGGCCTCGTTCTCCGTGCGCACGCGCACAACTAGGACGCTCGCTGGAGTGAGACTCCCCGCGACATTCTCTTGCATTAGGAGGGTAAGGTGCGCATGCGCCCCGCTCGGCGGGGGGGGGGGTTGTTTTTAAAGGGCCCGTTGCCTCAGTTGTGTGTGGGCTTCAACGCAAAGCTTGCCTTTAACGTTTTTGCCGGGCTGTTTGGTTTCGTTATTTAAAAAAAACACACAAAAAGCAAAAAGGGTTTTCTGCCCTGGTATCTCAGATTTAATGCAGTTGTACAGATTTTTAGCCTGCAAGAAATATACTCTTTTTTAATGGGGAGCTATAGGAGGGGCAGTGTAGACAAAAATGCATCAGTCAGCAGGTTCAGGGAAGAGGAGATGTAAATGATGCACAAGCTACAGTCAAAAGATATTTTTCTTAAAAGATGTCGTGACATGCAATGTGATGGCTCAGAGCTGCAATCCCATACAGCTTTTCCGCGATCTCAGTGGGTCTTAGTTCTGAGCAGACATTCCTAGGCCTGAGTTTCTTCTAACGCACATTTTGGACAAATCGAATGTTTCTTCTCCCCACCCGCCCATGCCACACGAAAGGCAGATAGTCCAAATAATGCTGCCACTTTTCTCCACTGCTCTCCCCATCCCAGTCAAATCCAGGAGTGCCCAAATGCAAAAAGAACCCAGCTCCTATGCTTGAATCATTGTGTAGAAGGAGGCATTTCAGCAGGTGCGACATTGAATGGGGTGCATTTTGTCTGTAACATATTCCTAGCGAAAGCGCTAAATGCACAATCCTATGCATTTAAGACAGAAAAAAGTCCCTTAACTCCCAGCCTATCCCAGCAAGTTGGGCTTCTTTCCTCCATCAGTATGCAAAGGATTATGTCCGGTCCCAATGTCATCAAGGCCTTTTCAATTTTGTTATTTAGTTATTTAAGTTTTGAGAGCCATTTTAGCTCTGAAAATGTAACATGAAAGTGTATTAAATAAAGAAATAAACACACCAAGCATTAGGCACTCTCAGCATGTTCTCTCCCCATTCCTCAAAAGGATATTAATGCAATCATATTTGCCCTGAGCTTCCCACTGATGAGAGAAAAGGGAGAAAGCAATAATTATCACAGGAATAATAAAGCTTGTTTCTTTCTGTCCCAGTTCACCCCAGTCATTTCCTGCCATTGTCACAGGTGAAGGCAGGGCAGTCATGGGCATCAGTCCAGCTGCTCCTCCTCCCATGTAGAGGTCGGGATGGCAGTGTAAGGATCCACAATCAGCTTCGCACACCTCACCATCATCAACATCAGGAAAAAGCACATCAGGGAGAGGAAACCAATACAGATGCCTTTGTCCACATCCACGAAGGTCTCTGCACTTGGGCTCTCCATGAGTTGTTCTTCTCATCAGCCAGGTGAAAACATTTCCGTCACCTGCAGGGACAAACAGAGCCATCAGGCAGTTAGGATCTCTTATTTATTTATTTATTAAAACATTTCTATGCCGCCCCTTGCCGAAGCCTCAGGGCGGCTCACAACATACAATAAAATGCACAATAAATTGAAACAATAACAATTAAAATATATATATTAGAATAAAATAAGCCGCCCTGGCCAAATAAAATTTCCATGGTATTAACATTTAAAATGCTGCTTAAATAAAAAGGTCTTCGCCTGGCGCCGAAAAGCAAATAACGATGGCGCCAGGCGGACCTCTCTGGGGAGCGCATTCCATAACTTAGGCGCCACCGCTGAGAAAGCCCTCCTCCGAGTAACCACCCTCCTAATTTCCTTCATTGGAGGCTCCCGGAGGAGGGCCTCTCCTCCTCCGGGAGCCTCCTCCGGGAGCTGATCTCAGGGGGCGGCTGGGCATATATGGATGTAAGCGCTCCTTCAGGTAACCAGGTCCCAAGCCGTTTAGGGCTTTATAGGTCATCACCAACACCTTGAATTGGGCCCAGACTTCAATGGGGAGCCAGTGAAGCTGTCGGAGAACTGGAGTCATGTGAACATAACGCCCAGTCCCCGTCGGCAGCCTGGCAGCTCTATTCTGAACCAATTGAAGTATCCGGACCGTCTTCAAGGGTAGCCCCACGTAGAGCGCGTTACAGAAGTCAAGACGGGAAGTCACCAGTGCATGAGTCACTGTTGCGAGGCAGTCGTACGCGTGATAGGAATGGGAACTGCAACCAAATGTTGCAGCGCAGAGTGCTTCAGCTCAGTTCCCTAGTCAGTTGTGCCGTGTTGATTACATTCCATTCGATCCCCCATGCAATTTTCCCCTTTCCGTCCATCCATTCTGAAGTCAGACTGCATGCTCCCTGTCCGGGGGGGGGGGGGGGTTCCACTACATAGATTGCAGGACTGTTTCCGCACAAGGTGTGCTTCCTTTTCTGACTGAACAAAGTGGTACCTGTCTCTCGAGATGGAACTGAGAGGGCAGAGTTAAAAGGATGAAGCCAGAGACAGACTTGCTCTTGGGCTCTTGGGTCCAAGACTGAATGGGGAGTCACTGTGAAAGATGGAAAGTGATTTGATTTCTCAAACAAAAGGCATTTGTTTTTAAAGAAATAGCCAATCCGTACAAAAGAGTAAAAGTTGCTGACGGAGTTTGGGCCTTACCAGATAGCTGGATCCAGATTTCCGATATCTTTAGAGGATCTCCGACCTTCACACTTCCAAGCCAGAGGGCCAAATGTGTCTTAACCGCTGAAGGTTTCAGATCCCCTTTCTTGTCACTGAGCGTATCATTAATACTTCACCAGCCATGGCCTCATTGCATTTCCTCCAGTGCCAACCATGAGGGAGAAATGATCCCTTACGGATTACATTGTGCATCTTCAGTCACCCAGAAAATATTTCCATTGGTTTTGTTTCTTCCACACTATGCCAGAAGAGCTCTGGTTTCATGAGTGTCAGGCAAGGAGCAGGTCAACCAGCTGGAGCTGGACTTGGCTTTGAAACGTGTAAAAGCTTCACATGAGTGCGCCGCCAAGCACATGCCGAGCGCATTCTGGGCATCACCAACAAAGGGGATTTTCTCATTGCAGCTATCCCCAACCTGGTGCCCCAGAGAGCACAGCTCCCCACGTTGACAGCCATGATAAGTTCTGAATTCTGTATATATTTTGTTATTGTTTTAATGTATTTTGTATTTTATTTGATGTTGTAAGCCGCCCCGAGGCCTCGGCAAGGGGCGGCATAGAAATGCTTTAATAAATAAATAAATAAAATAAATTCAAGCCTTCCCGATTCACGCCTTTGCTAGTATTGCTCGGCTGTTATGAGGCCTGGACATGCTGCCACAATTTCGGGGCAGGAGTGTGAGGGCAGGGCAGGCTCTCCCATCAGCAACCTGGCTTGGCAAAGTCCCTTGTGGAGAAGAGGTGATTGATAGCTTTAAAAAAAGTCCATGCCTCTTAAACGTCACAGGCACTTGTATGCGCAAAATTCAGATTCATTTTGGAGCCATTTAGTGTACTCAAGTCCTTATTTTTTTTTCTTTAGTTATACATGTAGTTTCTTGCAAGGCTGGGTGAGACAGCCTGTTAAATCCATTTGCCACACCTATGACCTCCTCCTCAGCCCCAGTGGAAGGACAGCTCCAGCCACACCAGCACCACGCTTCGGACGCCGCTTCCCACGTTCGGTCTTCCTCAGGGGCCCTGCCCGCGACTTCACCCGCGGGCCTCCTTTCCTCGTTGACGTTACATAAGCCAGCTAGGAGGATAACGCTACACTGAAGCAGGCCTTGGAGGGCTCCTCCGCTCATCCACGCCAGGCGAGCGGGACTCGCCGCAGGCCGCCTTCCCACGACCCTCGAGGCCCCACTTCAGCGGCAGCGCGCTTTTTTTAAACCTCCCAACCACGCCGATGACGTCACCGCAGCGTGGCGGGGCCCTTTAAGCGCGCCTCGCCGACCACGCCGCTGACGTCACTTCGGGGCAACGCGCCGCACGGGAAACCCTCGCGCTCGGGCCACGCCCCCTTCGGGCCACGCCCCCGCACACGACGCTGGCTTCTCGCCCCGCCCTCAAGGCCGCCCTGCACCAATGGCAGCGCTCCTCCCGGCCCCTTGGCGTTTCGGCCCCGCCCCTTCTCGGGGCTCGCCCGCTTGTTGAGCCGACGCCATCTTGGAGCTGGCGCTTAGCGAGAGGGGGGGACTGAGGTCGGGCTGGAGGTGCGGGGCTGCCTCCTCTTCTCCCCTCGGCCTGTCGTCATGGCAACCACCGCAGCCAGCCAAGGTGAGTGGGGTGGAGTGGGGGGGGGCGAAGAATTGGGCCTGGTTCCGGGGGGCTCGGGCGGGAGGCAGGGGCTGAATGAGGGAATGTTGAGTGGTGCGTGGTGGAGCGAATTGGGGGTGGCCAGAGGGTCTGGGGTCCCTGGAAGTGGGGTTAGGGTGACAGGAGGGGGGCAGTTGTGGGGAGGGAGTGACGGTGAAGGGGAGCAAGGGGAGTTATGGGTAGCTGGTGCTGTGTGGTGTGGGGCCTGGAGTGACCTGTGGGGAAATTGTGAGGGGTAGGTTGGCAGCTGGGGAAATGGTTTCCTTGGGCTCGTGAGGCACATGGCTGAATGTGGGAGTGGCGGGGGGGGGGGGGGGGCCGGGGTTGGGGGGGGTTTTTAGCGTTAAGAACCGGGGGGGGGTTCTAGTAAAAAATGGTGCCTGTAGGGAAAGTGTGGGGAGAAGGGGAAAAGTGGCTGGAATAAGGGGTGGGCCAAGGAGAGACCATTGTGGGGGTGATGGGGAAATGGGGCTTAGAGGGAGTTAAAGATTAAAGGGGGTTGACTTATAGGAACTGGGAAAACAGCCAAGGGGGGGCTGTTCTATGTTAAGGACAGCTACTTTTTTTGGTGTTTAATTTCATGCGCCAGGTGCTATTCCCTTGGAAGTTCAGAAAGGAATCATGTAAAGTCAGGATTGTGGGGACTGTCCAAAGGCATGGAGGGGGATCTTTTTACTGGCATTTATTTCAATAGGTATCCCTTCTTTCAGAAAGATTCCAATTGCCAGCAATAATGAAATATATGAAAATATGCTTGAAATAAGGAGAAGTTTACAGTGCAGCTAAAACCACAGGAAAGAGCTGAGGGGAATGCAAGACTTGGCCAAGGTAGTTGGGTGCCACAGGAGGTAGGAAATCCCTATTGGCACCTACAGTCCAAATACATGGTATACTAAAAGTATGGCAACTAACTGAATAGCTGACATTTGATTGGTTGGTGGCTTTTGTCTTTGATTCATATATAGTAAAACGGGACAGGAGAGATGTTTGGCTTGCTGGATTTTTTAAAATGAAACTGCATGATTCACAAGCCATGGCAAGGTGCAAATACAGTAGCTGGAGAACATATAAAGTTTGTTTTCAGTAGGACTACTCAGTTTTTCTTTTCAGTCCTGAGGGATCCATGTTCTGGGTGGCAGCCAATTGCAGACCTGACCTACGTAGATAGAGCATTATAAATATGGGGTCTGCCCTAATTCATGTGTGGGATCATTCTCTTGGATTTGTGGCTTCATGAGAAGAGATAAGTTAGGGTTTATTGAGCCGTCTTTGCCATTGGCAGTACAGGTTGCCTTCTGCTCTCTGGTTGCTGCAGCTGCAACACCACCTCTATAGAGGAAGCCTGGTCTTAGTGATCTATGCCTTGGTAGCATCTCTATTCGAATACTGTGTTGCATTGCGTGTGAGGCTGTCTTTGAAAAAGGTTCAGCAGCTAAAGCTAACTGGGGCTGAGCATTATGCTCACACCACACTGTTCTTCACCAGCTTGGGCACCTGGTTCATTTTTCTGGGTTCAGTTCAAAGTGCTGGTTTTGACTTCTTAAAACCCTTCGCTGCTTGGGAGCAGGCAGTTGAGAGCATTTTTCATTTCTGTATGTGACTGCCTGTTCACCAATTTTTACTGGACGTCCTTCCTTGGGCACCTTTGCCACTTGAGGGGAAAGGAGCTCTTTGGTGTTGGCACCCCAGCTGTAGAATGCTACCCAGAAGAAGACTTATGGATTTAGCACCTAGTTTAGTGTGATTTCAGCATCAGACAGAAACTTTTTATTTCCTCAGGCTTTTTAATCTCGCTTGTATCTGTTTATTTCTCTGCTTTAATACCGAGTGCTTTATTTTTGTATTGTGGTGTGTTAATCTTATTTGTACTAATATTGCTTACTCTGTTTTAGTTCTAATACTTTTTAGGAAGCTGTGCTTGGAGCCTGCTGAAAGACATGTTCATATACATACGCATGTACATGATGATATATACATCAGATTAGTAAATAGTATATTGAAAGGGTGGATCAGTGTATGTGTAAATGGCAACCTTCATTCCAGTTTATTCTAGATTATGTACCTTTTATTCCCTGTTTGAGTACACGAATCCACTTATAGCACTTAATGGATGGAGATGGGATAGAAAGATCGCTTTCTGACTCAAAAACATTTCTATTATAATGCAGATTTTAAAATTCCATTTTGCTATCCATCCAGAGGAAGCATTTACTGCTCCTGTTCTTTAACCATCCAGTTTGTAAGTCTTTGAGTTCAGTACAACTATACCAAATCCTTGCCATCTTTTATTTTGAAAGGTATTGACATTTGTCCCAGTCTCTTTGGATCCATACTCAACATCCCGAGAGAGAAAACAAGTAAAAAATTTCCCCCGACAACAACTGTTTCTGGACCTTTTAACTCCCACTGCTGCTTCGGATTCTTACCTTTGGCTCGTTTCAAATAAGGTCACACAGTTCTGCACATCCTGTGTCTCAATAGAGATGATGTCACCAGAGATCATTACATCAGAGCGTGTGACGCAATGCCACTGATAGATGGAACATGCTTTGTGTGTGAATGGGGTGCTTCCCAATTTGGAAAAGGGCAAAAGCAAGTTGAGGGGTTTCTAGATAGGCTGCACAAAGTACCTCCTGAAAGGGAGATAGGTCTTAGTTGTAAGTGAAGTGGAAATGTGCAAGAGGTTATGTCTTGGCCTTTCTGGGTTAAAGTGGTTTAAGGTCGCTAACCATTTCTGCTAAGAGTGGCATCTGAAGGCAGCTGTGCTTCTCTTTAGGAACTTAGTCACAACACAGGAAGTGACCAGAGAAATGCCAAATAGCTGTGTGGTGTAGTGGTTGAGAGCATGGGACTGGGACTCAGACGATCTGGGTTCTAGTCCCCACTCAGCCATGGAGCCAACTGGGTGACTTTGGGCCAGTCACAGACTCTCACAGGGTTGTTGTGGGGATAAGATGGAGGAGGAGAATGATGTAAGCTGCCTTGAACCCTTTGTAGGAAAAAGGCAGGCTATAAATCGAAAAATAAATAAATTGTTGTGAGTTCCGAAAGGCAAATGACGGGACCCTGTCAGTTCTGAGACAATTTAGCCCACCTTAATTTAGTGTATTAGAAACACGGAAACAGAGCAAGTCAGAAGGGTCTCCCAGGCCATCTAGTCTGACCCCTGGCTCCAGCCAGCTCTGCTCAGGACATACCTACCTGGCAACTCACCTTGGCAATAAGCCCAGGTGAGCTGGTAGTTGCACAGACGGCCTACGATGTGCCTGTAAATTGTGTCCCCCTTCCCCGTTTCCCACTTGCTCATTCCATGGCAATCCCAGGGGCCCCACAGCAGGACTGACCTGCTGCCACGAGCCTGTTTGCACTTGCTCCAGCCTTGTTGCCCCCCGTGCCCTTTTTTTTTTCTTTCGAAAATTGCAAAAAGTAATATCTGAGTCGACAGCCAGTGATAAACCTTCCCAAAATGTCCAAAAGGCGCACTGGACGGGCTCTCAGTGGTTGGCAGACTGCTTTTAAATCAATCAATAAATTTGTACCCCAAACGGACATACATATTTGTATTTTTCAAACTGAATTGCTGCATTTGCACACTTACGTACTTCCATGGTTTTGCAAAGATACGCCTTGCCTAGGCAACGTCTAGGAGGGCGTCTGCTGCAGCAGGGCAGTCTTCAGAGGCTCCGCAGCCAGGCATTGCGGAGGTTCTCTTTGCTTCTGGTCTGGCTTTTGAAACCGGCCCACAGGATACTTTCCACTTGCTGGTATGAAGTATTTAGAGCGGTCACTGCCATCCTGGCGCTCTAGCTATTTTCTGTACCAACCTGCCTATTGGCCAAACTGGCTTCGGGTCATGTGAGTGGGAGTCCGGAAAGTGCCAGGTCTTGCCCCTGATTCTAAGTGTCTTTCAGGAGCCCATTGAAGAAGCTGGAAGATCAGATCTTCTTGCAGTTTAACTCCAGGCATTATGTGGGTTTGCAATATCTGACATTCTCAGAAGTCAGTGCTGGAGATTGGGCTGCTTTCAGACAATCGTTACACAGCCATTCTGACTTGTCCTTAATAGATGTGTGTGTGCAGAAAAATGCAGGGAAAGTGCTGGGAAGTACAGGAAGGTTGTAAATGGAAGAGAATTATACTTCAACCCTGGGTCAAGATCCCTGAGTATGCAGAGCAATGACAGAATTAAAACCTTGTCTGGAAGTACCTTTCAACTAAGTAATGGATCTTTGTGCGAGGCAGCAGTGTTTGGGAGGGCTGACCAGAGGGACCGTTCGTACAGTCAGTGCTCGGTAAAATCTCTTAGTCCCCTCTATTTCCAAGCAGAAAACCAGCACCAACCCTTTTCAGTCCTGTGCCCTCTCAAATGGGAGTTTTCTTTGCCCTGTCTGAGCAGGCACTTTGCATGTTCTAGCTTGAGTGTTTGGCATTTCCAGTTTAAAAGCATCTTGGGGCTCTGCCTGAAATCTTGGACAGCGTCTCTGCCACCCGGGTGAGACAATAATGGGCTAGATGGGCTCAACACAGTGCTTCAGATGTTGGAATTCATCATGCCTTTGGAGTTTTGAGGAGTGTTCGCTGCTTAGCATTTTGTTATCCAAGACAGCTGGGACTCTTAAGAGTCTAACCAGGGTTTGTGATAGAGGCCAAGTGCCGTACCTGAGATAAAACTTCTAGTTTCATGCAGTGTTCAAATCATGTCGTGAGCGGGGGGGGGGGGGGTGTGCCTGAAAATGGTTTCCATTATTAACTTTAACAGAAAAGCGTTTGTTCCCTTTTTTGCAAAAGAGGAGTGGATACAGCTTTTCATCTTAGTGCTGCAGTTTTCTGCTAGAAAACATTTCCTCATGACGTAAGCTCCTTCCCTGCTGCCTGCAATGGAAAGAAATTGATTTTCCATTCATAAATGATAGAAGAAACAACTTAGTATTACACTGTTTCACCCATGTTCTTTTTCTACCTTCTCTCTGCTCTAGATGGTCTCTGCAGATTTTGTACATGAATATGATCTTATTAACTTTTTTAAAAAGGAAGGAGAAGAGAGAGAAAGCACTGCCAAGAGCACTTCAGATGGTTTATAGCTTGTTCCTCTGCATTTCCCAGTCTTGTGGTATTAATTAGATTGGGCCTGCTGCAGTGGGAATGCTTGCAGGAGGATTTTAAATTCCGTTTGTGGGTGTTTTTCCATGAGCACCACAGTCTAAAACATGTCTTGCCTGTGATGTGTTTTCATTAGTGCACAGTTCTTCCATCTGTGCTACATGATTTAGTAGCATGTTTCAGGCAATGGCAGACCTTCTGCTGTTCAGGTTTTCTTCTTGCCTCTATGCACTTTCCTTTCTACCATGGTCTGAATGTTAAGGCACAGCAGCCCCGTTGTGGCTACTGAAACACCCACACTCCCCCAGGGTCTGTTAGCAGAGCGCCCAAACTTTTTTTCCTGAATGGACATCGGATACGCTGCAACGTGCTACTTGTATGCCTCAAAGATGCAAGAGCAACCCACCTTCTGTGGAGTTGCTCCCGAATCCATATTTTATAGATAAATATTTAAACCTTCTATCTTGCATCCATAACCGTAAGCCAGGATTCTGGTTTGGCTTCTCTTCTTAGTGTAAGATGCTAAGCCTAAGACCTTTTCATTCTGCTCAGACACTGCACAAAAGGAAAAAGGTGTCACAGAAAAGGTAAAGGGAGAGAGAAGGAAGGAAAGCCAAGCCAAGTATTCATTTTTTTGGTTTCCAGTTTCTTTTAATAAGCTGCTGATCCAGGAATGGCTGATCTTCCCTTCTCTTCAGCAGTCTGAGGGAATGGCCATTCCTGGATAACAGCTGAGGGAGGTGAAAAGAAAAGCTGGTATTTTAGCACAGGGGCAGGCAGCAGGTATAGCTGGATCTACAGGTAGTTCTCTAGGTGATTTGCAGGGAATCTGTGAGGGTTTTTAGTTTCCTGCGGAGAAGATTAAAAGCAACTCTGCCTCCCCCTCCCCCGGCCCCCAAAAATGAGGCGGCAGAAATCAGGATACCATGGAAGGGAGTGAAAATAGGACTAGATTTTTGTGTGAAGGAGTTGGCTTGTGAGTTTCAGTTACTGTGCTGAAAACAGTCCTAGGCTGAGGGTGTGCATATCCTCTTATTCCAGATCTGCCTTTTGAGCCGTAGTTGGCACCTAGCCCTGGTTAACGGCCCTTCAGATTCTAGTGAGAGAGAGAATAGACCCCTGCAAGCTTAAAGTCTCTCCTCTTGTTCTAAAGCTCATGTGCCAACTAGGTGAACGGCTGTTCCTCAGAAGTTTCTTTCGCCCCCCAAAGAATCAGATTGAAGGTGGAGACGGAACCAGGCCACAGGCCCACCCGGCCCGTTCAATGATTCAGCCAGGGAGGGTGAGCCTCATTCAGCCTGAGGACCAAATCTAATTTAGAGGTGCTTGCGGGGCCTGCAGTCCGGTGGTGCTTTAGGGCCGAGGGCAAAAGGTCGAGACCAAAGCAGCCAGTCTGTTCCAGCTTCAAACTCTTTATTGCTGGGCCTTCACAGAATAATTCCACCCTCTTGGAATGGGGGAAAACAGTGCCAAAGCCAAGAAACAGCCCGGGGGTTAGGGGAAAGAGAGCAGGACTCTGGGCAGCCTGGGGCAGGTTGCACGTGGTCTGCCAGAGTGAGGTAGGTTCAGCACCCCTGCTCTGAACTGCCTGCGGCTGCTTCCTGGGCTTCGGGCACTGCTCTTTCCAGACCTCCCAGGAGATGCTGAGGGCTGAACCGAGGGCCTTCTGCACACAAACCATGTGATTTGACTAAAGCGGGATGTACACAAGAATTATTTATTTCATGTAGGAATGAAATAAATTCCTACAGACCTCTCATGGAGGAAAACATGTTGAGGGCTTTGTGTATGTGTTTTTGGTAGATGTTATAGTATCCTTTGGGTTGGCTTCAGCCCGACATATTTAGTGCTCAAGGCCAGAGAATTTGGCAGATCAACCCACAGCAAAGCCTTCCCAGATTAGAATGCTTAATGCTCCAGTGGGGGTGAGCTTCACAGCCCAGCAGAGATGCGGACCACTCCTCTTAAATAGCAAGCTCGGGCTCTGGATGGAGGCGGAGGAGGTTCACTGAGCCGCTTTGATTCCACCTCAGCCTCCCTTCCTTCCTACCCTCCCTCTGTGTAAAAGCCATTCATGTGTTTCTCCTCCGTGTGTTTTTAAGCAAGCATGCCAAAGCAATCTGTTCCTTGGCCTACAGTGCGCTCTCTCTGCCGTGATGCGCCACAGAGTCTGGCATCTCCAGCGCAGAATGTGTGCATTATTCCCTCCCTCCCCCCCCCCGCCTCACTTCAGTGGAAGGATTGACTCTGCCCAGGCTCTGCTCAGAGCAATCCAAAGCAGATGTTGTGCTAGGAGGTCATCATGATCGTTCTCTTTTTCCTCCAAGAAATGGCATCAGACGTTCCTTCCTTGGGTGCTGCTTCAGGGGCGTCCGGACCTGGTGCTCATTCTGGAGGAAGTGTGGTCCCGAGAACGAGCAAGCGGAGACCAGGGTAAGATGGCTCTCGGGGGCGGTGCTCCCTGGGTGTGTGGGACTGCAGCTGCGCTCGTGCCTGAGCAGCCATGCTTGCTGCAGGAGTCTTGGTCTCGCTCACCTGAGGGTGCCCTGTTGGGGAAGGCTGCTGCAAAGGTGCCAGTTGCTCACTGAGCCAGATCTGGTAGGAAGACCCCCAGTCAACCTCGCATCTCAGTCGCAGCCTTTTAGGAGCTCTCTGAGGGTGTTTACAAACTCACCCAGCCTGACGTGTTCCAGTACTACAAGCTGTGGTATAAGAGGGATGCACCTGGGATTAACAGCTCTTTCTGTCATGGTTCTCTAGGCTCGATTTTGATGATGATGGCGAAGGGAACAATAAATTTCTCAGGTAAGTCAAGCTTCTATTGGCAAGAAGTGGGGACGCTGCAAGGTTTGTGCCGAGCTGAAATGCTGGGCGAGTAAAAGCAGGGAAACTTTTCACAGCCTTGTGGGGGGGTAGGGGTGTTCTGCAAGGTCTGAGAAAATACTAATCTCCCTGAGTGGCTAGGCAGGAAAGGTTGCCCTCCATCTTGCCCCAGTGCTGCCGACACCCATCTTCTCTGATAGGTGATGCATAGCTGCAGCATCGTCAGCTCCAGGATGGGGTCCATGATTGTCTTTTGCATGGAAAGCGTCACCGTTGACATGGCTTTCCTTCGTAATGTCTCCCTGTTCTGGTGCGTTTGTTCTCAGGAGAAATGCTTACTGTCCAGGATGTAAATCTCTGACCATCTCACCTGAACTTTCATTTCGGGTTGTGATTTTGGCACTTTGATGCAATATATTTCCCCTTCTGGTACTGCTGCCCGTCTTTGGCACTGAGTGACCCCAACCTTTAGCATAACTGAGGGAGTGAGCAATCCTTTTTTCTTGGGATTGCAGATCTGGCTGTGGGATTAGGAACGGTTTCTTGGGCTGGCCTGCCCTGCAGGGTCATTGTGCCATAAACTGGTAGAAGAGGGCAGAGACGTAGGTGTGGCAACCAGGTTTTAAAAAATGAAGAATCCAGGCACTGGCATGGTGAACTCGTTCCCTTTTTGAGTCATGGATTCTGAAGGAAAATATCTTTTCTAGGCCTTTTTTACAGAAAGCCACAGTTTTATATATGCTATATTTGCTCCCATCTTTGTATTTGGTCTTTCCATTTTGTAGGCTAGGTTTTCATTTACAGTTGGCTAAGGAAAAGGTTATGGAGCACCTTTTTTATGTCTCTTCCCCCTGCCTCCCCCACCTCAATTGTTTTCCTAGATGTGATGAAGACCAGCTCCCAAATGATAAGGAAAGGTTTGCAAGGTAAGATTTTCTGCCCCCCTGCCTTGGGGAAATGTCAAGGCACAGCACTGCCTTGAAAACAGGTATTGTTGAAGTGCAGGCTTCAGGTGGCGTATATTCCAATTTTAGCATCCGGGCTGGCCCGGCTCCCTCCTCTTCCATGCCTTGGAGGTCCCAGCAGCATCAGCATAAAAGGCCCCATCCCGCAATTCCTAATCTGCCTTGAAAGCACTTGTGCAAACTTATTTTTGTGCAGAGATACTCAGCTGTATTTTCTCACAGATTCTGCTGCATGGAATGACATTCAGCATCAGGGGCACTGGGGAGTAGGGGGGGTTTGTCTGCCCTCTTGGAACGCTTGGAAGTCTGCAAGGAGTTTGGTTTGAAGGGGGGTTGTTTCACAGTTCAAATGTCAAAATTGGCATTTAGGAAAAGAAAGACTTCTGTTGCCTTCTATGTCTGTCGGAAAAAGGAAATCTGTCCCGTTCCCTCACGTTTGCTCACTCTAACTAATGGGGGGAAATGCACCGTGTTATGGTAGTGGCAGGCAGCCGTCAACTCTGGGGCTCATCTGCCCCTCAAAAGCTCAGGCTTGACTTCTGCAGGTTGCAGCCCCATGGGATTCCCTGGCTCCTCCTGTGAATTCCGGTAGTCCATGGTCCACACCCTCCTCATGATGTGGACCGCCTTCGTGGCCAAGCCGGTCTTCCCCTCCTCCCATGCACCTCAGCCTCCAATTCACCGTCTCTTGGCTTGTGCATAAGGGTCAGTGGCTGATATGCCTCAGAAAGGAAAGCCTCAGCTAGCGCTGTGTGTGTGAGAGGGAGGGAGGGAGAATGAGAACCCCTTGGGCATCTCGTCTAGAAGCTGTGAGCAGCCGGTGTCATTCTGTCCTTTGCCTGTCTTGAATTTTGCTTTTCAAGTTGGCAGGAGCTGGAATGCTTCTTTTTTCCTAGACAGAACTGGTAGAGAACTTGGAAAGTGCAGGAAATAATCAGAGTGCAGGAGTCCATTTCGTGACAATTTCAGCTTTAACTTTTGCTTCTTGTACCATTTCAGCTTCTAGTTCTTGGGTGAAAATGTTCTGCCATGGGTCAGAAGCCAGGAGCGTGGTGGAATCGGGGTTCCCTTCAGAGGGTGGGGGTGGGGTGCCAGTACCTTTCAGAGTCCCTCCTTATTCTTTGTGACTAGCAGAAAGTGAATAAATTATGGAATGCTGATTAAATTGTATGAAAAAAGAAGGTGCACATTTACATAGGTTGGAAACGTTGGTCGGATGGAACGTTCTATTTTTAATTTTTTAAGCCCCATCGGTAGATCTAGCATTCGGTCTGTAATTTGAGTTGGTTGCAGATTCTCTCAGCATTATCAGTTCTCAGTTTCAGGGGGGCAGTTGGATTTTGAGAAGGGCCAGTATTCATTCTTTTCCCCTCGTTCTGTATTGCTGGACTAGTCAATCATGAGAGAATTTTCTCAAGATAGCTTTTATAACTGTTGTCATGAAGCCTCTTTTAAAAATCGGTATGTTAAGTTTTATTGACATTAATCTCAATGTATGAGTCGCCTGTTAAACTAGTCCTCTCCTAGCCACCTTTATCCCCATCAGCTTATATACTGCTCCCTTTAGCAGACAAATAGGTTCCAGGCAGCATATAAAAATGAGGTAAAACAATACTAAAAAACAACGGGTAGAGAGGGAAAAACAATAAATAGACCATAGGGCAGTAGTGGTCCTCCAAAATGTTTCTGCCATAGCTTAAGAATTAGAAGCCTGGAGAATTAATAGTTGCTTTACTTGGGTTGGAAAGATGTTGGAGTTGATGCCAAGTGAATTAGAGAGTTCCCCTCCATAATGGCATAGGGACTTTTCTCTGTGGAATTCGTGAGCAGTGCATAAGGGAGCCGATTACTTTCTCTTGCATTCCCACCACCCCCGTGAGGGTGGGTAAACTGCAAGAGAATGACAGGCCCAGGGCCGCCCTGTTGTCTGTGGGGCAGAGCGCAGACCTGCTTGCTGAAGCCCAGCACCCCAGCCGCCGAGCCACGCGGGCTCCCCACGTCCCTTTCTGAACCGCTGGCCTTGGCCTTTCTGCAGGGCTGTGGTTAATCAGTGCCTTCAGAGACCCTCGCCCCGGCATCTTTAGACTTTGTGGGGGCCACTTCTCCTAGCATTGGAAAACGACAGGCCTGAACTCTTGCTAGCCTCGGCTAAAACAAAGCCACCGTTGTGCAGCCTCGCTCATCCTTCCTGCATCATGCTGCCATCTTGTCGCCTTCGTTCTGTCCCTCTGTTCCCTTCCCTTCTCTCCATCCATCACCGTTTCCTCCCTCCTCAAGCCGCTTAAGTGTCTGTCGTGCAGTTGGTCAGTCCTTCTGGGCAGAGACTTGTTCTTTTTTTAGATGTGTACTTACAACATTTTGACCCCAGTTTTCAGCCAAATAAGAGTTCCAGGAGCCGCTAACAAATAAGAATAATGAGGCAGTCCCAATACTCTAACAGGCATGAAAAGGAAACGGACTGTGGGGGAGGAGGAAGATGGCAAAACTCAGGTGCCAGTGCTTAGTTTTGCTGTTCATTCTAGTGGAGAAAATGTATGCAAACCTAACAGTCTCATGCCACATACGTTTGGTAACGCAGGCAAAGCTGAACATCTCCTTTCACTTCTTGATTCAAGTGCAACCCAGACCAGTTGGGTTTTCTACTATGTTCCCCCTTCTTTTCCCCCCATTTTCTTCCCTCTTAGTTTAAGTCCTTTTTTAATTTTTAGCTTAGCTCACCAATTTTATTTCTAGGTCTGATGATGAGCAGAGTTCAGCGGATAAGGAAAGACTGGCCAGGTAGGAGAACGGAGTTGTTGTTTTTCAAAGCATGGCAAAGCAGAGTTTGTTCGCCAGTTCCCTCGCCTATTCGTACCACCCACCTGCCTCCTCTTGATATATCGACTCTCCTTCCCCATTTCCTCCTGATTTGAGGACTTGAGATTGGGCTGTGAGCACTGGAGGTCGCCTTCTTGATGGTTGGTGTGACGGGGCGCCCCTTGGCACCAGCCTTGGAAGAGTGGGGTGAACAGTGATAGAGAAGAAAGCATAGGTGCGGCTCTGGAAAGGTGCCCCTAGGAGAGGAAGTGCAGGGGTGTTTGCGACACACAAGCCGCACGTGTGAGTGCCTGTTTCTGGCCTCCTTGCAGTGCACCAGGTGCCTCTTAAGTAAAAGAAGGGGCTGGCGGCTGGCCTGCCCCGTGGCGATCAAGCCGCCCAGGCAGTGCCGGATGCCCCCTTGCCCCGAAAACGCTCCTCTGCTGAGGCCCGTTGGCCGCCGTGGGGCTGTCTGCCAGGTGTGCACACGAAAGTCACTTACCTCTTCGCTCTCGAAGGCCCAGGAGGTGAAGGGAACGTTCAGCCTGCACTGAGGACGATGCTGTGGTCATTGCAACAAAGCCGTTTCGAAATGCAGATTTTCTTTTTTACGACTGCATCCTGTCTGTGTTCCAAGGGCTGGCATCGAGCGTTGTTGGGAACGCTGCCTCCATCCCTGCCTCTCCTCGGGACTCGGAAGGGCATTCGCTTTTATTTAAGGTGTGGGGGTCTCTGAGTCCACCTGTGATTTTGGGTCTCCCTTGGGAGAACTGCTAGCCAGGTATTTGGAGGTGGAGGACAGGGCTTGGGGAATCAGTGGGTCTTTCTGCGTGAACTGACCCCGTGCAGGCCACGGATGGTGGTATGTGCGCCAGGCAGCAGGTCCCTTATTCTTCCGGTGCAGGGAGCTCTCCGTGAAGGACCCCTAAATAGGACCTCAGGGCCTGGGGAGGTACGTGCCGTACTTCAGGTAACCTGGCCCCAAGCTGTTCAGGGCTTTAAATGTTAGAACTAGCACTGTGAGTCGGGCCCAGACTTCAACCGGCAGCCCAAGCAGCTGGGAGAGGACTGGCGTAATATGTCGCCGTGAGCCAGTCCCTGTCTTTCACCTCCCTTGCAATTCGCTTGCAAGTTTTATTATTATTATTATTATAACGTTTCTATGCCGCCCCTTGCCGAAGCCTCGGGCGGCTTACAACACAATAAGATACATTGAAATACAGTAGAGATACATTGAAATACAGTAGTTTTAGGTGCAGTCCAGGGAGCAGAGGATCATGGCTATAGAAACATAAAATAAGCAGAAAGCGATTTGTTTTCCCCTAAGCCTTTTGATACTTTAAATGCACAAGCGTGTGCTTTTCCTCGTTCCTTCTGTCATCCGTCAGTCCATTTCCCATTCTGCGCTTCCCATGTACCGGCCTCATCCCATAAACTGCAGCTTGTTCATTCCTCCGTGTAGGCAATGCAGCACAACTTTGTGGGAGCGAGGGGGCAGTTTTCACAATGCGGGCTGCAGGTGTCGGCTGTTAAGGGGCATCTTCTGGGCCCCGCGCTAAAAGTCAAAGGCCCCTCTCGGTGCAGGGGCTGAGAGCAGCCGTCCCTGCGGGAGGGCACGTGGCCACGGTTCCCCTGCGGATGCTGCAGTGAGGGCTTGGGCGTCCGGCTCGCCTTCTCGAGTGTGGGTTGCTGCACGCTTGCCGAAGGAGCTCAGAGCCCTTCCTTGGTGTTGCCTCCCAGAATGCCTCAGGAGGGAGCCGTGACGGGAACAGGGTGAAAAGAGCGGCATGGGCATGCGCCGAGTTGCACTTGCTGTGCCGCACCTGGGATTCGGAAGCACACGGCCTCTGGGTGCGGCAGTCTTGTTTCGCCACTTCGTGCCCCTCTGGTGAGCTTGCCAGAAGGTGGCCGCGGTTTGGAGGCATAACGCTGGGCTGTGGTGGGGCTGAGCTGGCGTCCAGCGGAGCCACGCCTGAGTTTGCAAGCCTTTGGACCATGACTGACCGCCCTCTTTTCTCCTCTCCCCATTGCATGTCCAGCATGAGTCTTTTTCAAGCCCTAACAATTCCAGGTCCGTGTCCCCCCCCACGCCCCACCGCTTCTCTCCCCCGTTTTGCAGCCGTATGCCAGACTGGCCACCGGTGCCCCTCTTGGCTCGCCTCTGAAGCCCACTCCTCCCTTCTCTGTTTTGCTCCTGGTCCCCAGGGAGAACCACAGTGAAATCGAGCGGCGGCGGCGGAATAAGATGACGGCCTACATCACGGAGCTGTCCGACATGGTGCCCAGCTGCAGCGCCCTGGCCCGCAAGCCGGACAAGCTCACCATCCTGCGGATGGCGGTCTCGCACATGAAGTCACTCCGGGGCACCGGCAACACCTCGGCGGACGGGAGCTACAAGCCGTCCTTCCTCACCGACCAGGTCTGTGTCCGCGGCTCGGCTGTAGGAGCCGCTGGGCGAGCGAAAGCCCATGGGCCGCTGCGACACGGCACGGGGGAACCGGGCCGGGCTCTCGGTCGGCCACATCCGCCTTGCGTTGCTGCTTGCGCCGGAGGCAGGAGCATCAGGATTGGGCCGAGGCGCCCGCTGATCCACCGCAGGCCAGAGGATCCCAGCGGCGGGATGTGAGCGCCGCAGCTCCCTCCTGCCCATGCTCCACAGCAGCCAGCACACATGGGCCGCTTCATCGGCACCAAGCTCACAGCAGAGGGAAGGCAAGACCCCCCCCACACACACACACACACGAGCACGCATCTCCGGGCAGGCAGCGCTTGGCATAGCGGACCCCAAAGTCCTTCCTTGCGTGCCCGCTTGCTCCTCGTGCTTTCCCTCCTGGAGGGCCACTTGGAAGGGAGGCAGAGGGGTGCCTTTCCCTGGCCGGCGTCCTCAGGCCGACCAAAAGACCAGCGCTTCCACACATGCAGCGGCCCAGGGCAGCTCCTGCTGGGCGGCCAGCCCAGCAGCCAGCATAGAGCCTCCTGTTGGAGGGGGTGAGGATTGCAAGTGGCAAGGAGCGGGGCCCGCAGTTGCTCGCTGACGCTGGAGCAGCCGGTGGCAGCAAATCATGTCATTTAGTGAATGTATCCCCTGCTCGGAACTGAAGGCAGCTCGTTAGGTCCTCCTCCTGTTCCTTTCTCCTCACTACTACGGTCCTGGGAAGGAGGGTCGGGCTGAGAGCGAGCGACTGGCCCAGAATCACCCAGGGGGCTCCATGGCCGAGTGGGCACTGAACCCAGATCCCCTCGTCCCAGCCCCGCACTCCCCCCGCTGCACCATGCAGGCCCCTCAGCAGCACGCCGCTCCCTCTCTCACGCACTCGGCAGGAGCTCAAGCATTTGATCCTGGAGGCAGCGGACGGGTTCCTCTTCATTGTGTCGTGCGAGACCGGCCGGGTGGTCTATGTTTCCGACTCGGTGACGCCCGTCCTGAACCAGCCCCAGTCGGAGTGGTTTGGCAGCACCCTCTACGACCAGGTGCACCCCGACGACGTGGAGAAGCTGCGGGAACAGCTGTCCACATCGGAGAACGCGCTTTCAGGTGCGCCGTGCCGCTCTGTGTCGCTGCCTCCTGGGATGGAACACGCTGAGAGACGGGGAGGGGGCGCCCGCGTGCCCAGCAGTGCGGGGGAGGAGCCAAGTTCCCTCCCCTGGCTTTGTCAGGACGTTGCACAGGGGACCGCGGGCAAGGGGAAACTCTGCTGAGACCATAAAAGCCGGAAGCCAGGCAGCCCTGCACCTCACTGAGGTTTCGCCCTGGCATGGCAGGAGGAGAGGGGCTCTTGGTGGCAGTTCAGTCGTTAAGCTTCTTCGGGGACAGAAACCTCCTCCCTCTGTAGAAAGAAAATGTTCCAAGATCGGAGAAGCCTCGGGCACCCAAGAACGAGATGCCACAGGCGGGGCTCTTGGATTGCTGGGGGCTGCTGTCCCCTCTGCCCCCCCTTCCCCAGGCTTGGCACTTGGGTTGAAAAGTGGGCACCAGTGAGCTGCAGCCCCTCCCGTCAGTGGGGCGGCTTCCAAGGTGGCCTCCCTTGGCCTCTCCTCCTCTTCCTCAGGTCGCATCCTGGATCTGAAGACGGGGACTGTCAAGAAGGAAGGTCAGCAGTCCATGAGGATGTGCATGGGCTCCCGGCGGTCCTTCATATGCCGAATGAGGTGAGGACCAGCCCCTCAGAGGGCTCACCTCCAGGCCCCCGCTGGGCTTCCTGGCCTTTGCCAGCTGTCCTGGTTTCTGGGTGGTGGCAGTCCCAGAAACACGAGGGCCCTCCCACTGAGCGCACTGGATGTGCTGAAACGCGGCTGAGATGGCGCACCCAAGTAGGGTTTGTTTATGAGGCTGGTTTAGGGCCGAAGAGTTGAAGGAGAGCCCTGCTGGATCCCGCCTGGGCCGTCTCGTCCAGCATTCTGTCCATGTCCTTTCCTGCTCGTGGACTTCCCATCACAGCACATGGTCACAGGCCGCCGGGCTCCTTGAATTCCGACTGGACTCCCCCGTTCCCCAGCAGGCACTCGCACGGGCCCACAGGATGCCTCCCCTCCCACTTTGCTGGCTTCGTAGCCCAGGTGCCCTGTGGCTGGGGGGACGCTCATTTCCAGAAGGCCGCTCTGCCCAGAGCAAGGAGGCTGCCCAGTATTGGCCCAGGCGGCTGGCTGGAAGCCCCTTGTATGTGGGAGGCAGCAGAAGCTCCAGTCGGCCCGGGCACAGGTGGAGTGACCAAATCCTGTTCTGGGTGTTCTCTGCACAGGTGCGGCAACACCACGGTTGATCCCGTCTCCATGAACCGCCTCAGTTTCATGAGGAACAGGTGCAGGTAACGTGGGGACAGCGTGCACGGGGGAGCTGAGCTGAGACTGTGAAGGCTGGAATATTTTTTTAAAAATGGAAGGCACAGTCCTCTGCCTCCTTAGACGGGACAACTGTCCTGCAGCAGCTGGCTTCCCCCCGCTGAGGAAGAGCAAAAACCGCTCATGGACAGTTGCTGCCGAAAATGCCTTTCAAGGAAAACATTGGCCAGAAAGGAAACGGTTTCTTTCCAGAGGGGGATCTTGCCCAGTGTCCCCCCCCCCCATCCTTCTCCTGGGCTGGCTTGCACGTCCCGCAGTGTTGGGTTGTTATCCGACTTCCAGCACTGATGATCGTGCTTGAGGAAGGCTCTGCGGCTCTTGACTACGTTGCCAATCCCGTCGCGTAGGGATGACGACTCTAAGATTGTAGCAACAGTGTTCGCTTCCTGGCCAGGAGGGGTTGAGAAGGGGCAGCAGAAGTGGCTGCCAGTGGGCTTGGGTGACCGATGGCCATGATGAAAGCTGCAGGAGCAGCCCCTCTGCCGACGGGCGGATCCAGCACTTTGAGCCACGGGCAGCATCTGCCGGGGCTGCGGCTGCCTGGCCTGCCAGCGGCTGCCTGCTGCCTCTCGTCCAGAAAGGAGTTCCACCCGGAGGCAGTGCAGGCTCCCAGGTGTCCGTGAGCAGGGATGCAGGTTGCAGAAGCGGCTCTCTGGGTGGAGAATCTGGGTTTCTTCAGGGTGAAGCCATTCTCTCCTCATGCCAGAGCTCTGTTGACTCGTAGGTCCGCATCAATCTGTTTCTCCCACTTTTCCCCAGGAACGGGTTGGGCACCATAAAAGAGGGCGAACCTCCTTTCGTTGTGGTCCACTGTACAGGCTACATCAAAGCCTGGCCACCAGCAGGTAAACAGCACATGTGCTACTCCAGGAGTTCTCTGGGGCTTCACGGTCCTACTTAAATATCCCTGCTCTTTCGTGGCTCAGAAGTGCTTCCCACTCTTGTTCCGCCCATCCTGCCAGCAAAGTGGGGTTGATCTCAATTCTGCCAGATGATATATGATGCTTTCTGTATAGCCAGAAAGTGATGGGGGGCGGGGGGGATGGAGCAACCAGGATAATCCTGTCTCAGCTGAAAGGTGGGTTTATAAAGAGTAACCGGGCTGGCATTTTCTGGTTCCCTTCCCCTTTGCTTTTCCCTCGAGCAGTAGATTTTCCCGGGTTGCAGGGTAGGGCAGAGGCAGAAGCATTAGTGGTTCTGCAGGGAGAGAAACGAGGAGAAATAAAAAGCTGGAGCCAGCCAGTCACTCGTTTCTCTCCCTGTGACTTGACTTTCGGCCAGGAGGCCCTGCGAGTGAAACAAGAAGATCCAGGTGGCTTTTGTTCTTTAACTTCTAAATTTGTATCCTGCTTGCCACTGATGCGTCAAGGCGGCTTACAGCACCTGCAATAGAAAAATGCTGAAACCGCTAAATACGGAATACGGAGCTGGGAAGAACGCTGCCTGGGTCTGAGCTCACCTCTGCCTCCTCGCATTTCAGGGGTTTCGCTGCCAGAGGATGAACCCGATGCTGGCCAGGGAAGCAAATTCTGCCTTGTGGCCATCGGCAGGCTGCAGGTAAGCCAGCTGCCTGTTCCGGCGTGGACGTGGGGCAGTCCCCAGAGCTGCGCAGAGCGTCCGTCACGTTGGGATCCCTGGGGCCCCGGGGCCAGAGTCACAGTCCTCATTTCTGCTGGGTCCGGGGCAGCTAAGGCAAGGGGACGGTCACTTGCTCGATGCCGCTCTGTCGGCTGGTGGCAGAGGTCAGGTGCGGAGCAGGGCGCTTCTCCTGGCTCGCTCGGTTTTGGCTTCCAGGAGAAGTCCAGCACGAAGGAGAGAGACTGACAGGGAAAGCAGGCTGGTTGCTCTTCCTGCCGTGTGTGTGCGTGCGCGTGCGCGAGAGAGCGCACGAGCGAGCAACCTGCTTCCAAGTATTTTTTTCAGCCCTGTAAGCCCCTTACTCGAGCAGTAAACAAATGTCAGCATTAGGAGCAGTGTCAAAACATAGATTTTTCCAGAGACTGGGAGGGCTTTGAAAGACCCAACCGATGTGGAGAGGGTCTTTCCTCAGGGGCCACTTATGCTACTACATATTTTAAAAACCTCCCTTCCTGGGGAGGACCATGGCTCGCTGCATCTCGCCCTCCCCCCGCTCGTCCTTCCCTTTCTGCTGGAGTGCCAGGCTCCAACGCATCTGTCGCTCGTCCGGCCGCCGGCCTCGTCCCCGTCCCTGTCCCAGGCGGCTGCCTAACCCAGTGGTGTTATCCCCACCCTGCAGGTCACAAGCTCACCGAGCTGCGCAGACATGAACACCGTGTGTCAGCCGACCGAGTTCATCTCCCGACACAACACCGAAGGGATCTTCACCTTTGTCGACCACCGCTGTGTCGCCACAGTCAGCTACCAGCCCCAGGTGGGGCAGCCCGAGCCAGAGCTGGCTGCTTCCGCACAGGCGCCCCCTCGCCCTTTCTCTTTTCACTTCCTGGGCAGCTTCTTGGCACACCTCACCATCCCAGCGGGCAGCAGCCGTTCAGGGGAAGGTCGGTTAAGTGTATGCAAAAGCAGGCAAAGATGCTTGCAGGGTTTTCTTCAGGGCGCAGGATCATGTCCTCGGGAGTTAATCTGGACTGCTTGGATACAGCATAAAATGCATTCGCCCTGACCACACACGTAACTGACTTAAAGCATTGAGGAACTTAAGTGCGACTCGGTGTTCTGCCGGGGTTTTCCAGCAGCAAAAACTGAGTGCCAGGACTTGCTATTTTCCTCATCTGTCGCAATCCCCTTTCCTTTCCTGTCATGCCTTTTCGAGTGTCGGCCTGTGGGCAAGGTCTGTCTCGTCTTTGCAAACCACCCGGGAGCCTTTTTCTCTGAAGGTGTGGTGTAAATGCTGCACTTCTGTAAAGCAGTGGTGCAGCATTGCTCAAGGGACCAGATGCAGATGCCAGGAATGGAGGGGAGAGGCACCTACACAGGCCGTGCTGCTTGGGAACCAAAAGCGGCGGCGGCGGGGAGGTGGCTCGCTCGCTCGCTCGCTCGCTCAAGTCAGGCTTTTGACGTTGGGCCTCTTTTCCACATCAGGATCTGCTCGGGAAGGACATTGTGGACTTCTGCCACCCTGAGGACCAGCAGCTTTTGAGGGACAGCTTCCAGCAGGTAACCCCCTTGAGCGGCCAGTCACAGGCGCCCAGATGGCCCCAGCCAGGGTGCCCTTGGAAGCATCATGTGGCTGCAGCCGGACTGTGGGGTCTCTTCTCTCCCTCGAGTCAGCGATGTTTTTGCAAGGTTGGGAGCCTGCTTGAGGGGTGGGCGCAAAGATTCCCAGAGGTTCATGAAGCTGCATTCCACCCTGCATACCCATTCCACTCTCTGAAGCTGCACACCGAAGACGCGAATAGAAGCCCAGTTTCCTCCTCCTCGAAAGCCCTCACAGGAAGGCAGAGAGGGCCCTGGAAAGCCACGGGGGGTTCGCCCGGGGTGTGGCCGGCATGCTCGATCCCACTGAGGCCTCCCTGCCCGCCCCAGCCCCGGGCATAAGGACCGCGCACGGCAGCTTTCCCAGGACGCTGGGGGCCCAGCAGGGGCTCTCCAGGCTGCCTTTCCTCCGCTGCAGCTGTTGACGGCGTTCAAAACGTTTTTCCAGGTGGTGAAGTTAAAAGGCCAGGTTCTGTCAGTCATGTTCCGTTTCCGGTCCAAGAACCGAGAATGGCTCTGGATGAGGACTAGCTCCTTCACCTTCCAGAATCCGTACTCGGATGAGATCGAGTACATCATCTGTACCAACACGAACGTGAAGTACGTACTCGAGAGCTCCTCCTGCCCCTCGGCCCTGAGAGGGTAGCAGCCAGAGGGTTGCTTCGGGGGCTTAGCAGTCTCTCCTCCCCCTCACCCCAGCTTCAGGCTTCTCAGGCTAGAAGGGCTTAAGGCGAAATTTCCAGCTGAAATGGTGTGGAAGGCTGTGGACCAGCCCCTCTGAGGGCAGGGCATGTGGGCGTTCTGGCTGGCACGGGCTGGAGGCTGGGATGCCCGAGGCCAACAGGGACGCGCCCGATGCCTGGCCTCCCCCGTGTCGCCACGTGTAGCATCGCCTCACACAGGTGGGGCGTTGTGCCAGCAGAGCGCCGGCGCCCCAAGTAGCCGCGGGAGAACCGGATGCTCTCCTCCCGCGTCTTGCTCAGAGCACACGCACATGTCCATTCCATTTCCATGTGTCAGCTTCAGAGGGACGGTCACTCGGATGAAAACCAGGTTTCCCGCGGGGCTGGTTTTCAATTCTGCGCTGGTCCTCACGGAGGAGAAGTCCTGCTGTGTGCCTGCAGCACAGGAGGATGGGCAGGGGGCCTCCAGTGCTTTGGCCCGAGCGGTTTTTTTACGTCTGGTTTCACTGGATTTGATTTGGTGGGCTTCTGTGTGAGGGCTGGCTCTCGGGTGAGAGGGGGCTTGGAAAGGAAAACCACCCACGTCACTTGAATGGGCTGGCTGGTCATGCTGGGGCTCTCTCCCTCTGACTCCCCCACTTCCCAATGACCCTACAGGAATGCCAGCCAGGACTCGCGGCCTGCCTTGCCCAGCTCGATGCAGAGGCCCCAGCTGGGCCCAAATGTTAGCTTGCCTTTGGAGATGGGTCCCACACAGCTTGCGGTGAGGTAAGATTTGGGGCTGGCAGGGCCCCCCTCGAAGAGCTGGTGCAAGCCGCTTCAACGGGCTTTGCTCCGCACACCCAGAGTGGCCCTTAAACTGATCCCCTGCCCCCCGTTTCCCCACACTGGTGTGCGCCTCCTCAGGAACTCAATTGGCCCCCCTCCTCCTGGCTTTTTGAAGGAGTGTGAAGGTGTACCTTCTAAATTTAGGCTTCATTGATCTGTAGTTCAAAGTTCTTAATTTATAATGGACTTGTTCTTACTGTTTTACCATTGATATTACATTAAGCTGTAGAATCTGTCTTGCAGGCAGCCGCCGGCTCAGCCTTCGGAACTCGATGTGGTCCCTGGCAGGGAGAGCTTGGCCAGCTATGAGCACACGCAGGTAAATGTGGGGGGGCGGGCAGGGGAGGGCCATTCCACAGCAGCCGTGGATGCGGGCCTGGCCTGGGCCTCTTTTGTCCCGGCCCACCCTGACAGGGTGGGAACGTGCAGGGCAGTGTCCGCTGTGGGTCCTCAGTGCCAGGCGCTGAGAGGTCCATGCCGCTCCTCCTGGACGTGGGTCTTTCCCTGTTTTGGCGCTAGACCCGCAAGAGCGTCACTAGGAGGAGCCAGGTACTCCTCCTCCTCCTCCCACAGGCTGGAGGGAACACTTTGCGCAGGGAAAAGCCCATGTGCAAAGGCTTCCCCCCCGCCTCTGCTCAGGTTCCAGGGGCTTTGGCAGCCCCTGCCGCCCCCAGAGGCATATTTAGCAGGGTGATGAAGCGGGGCCTGCCTTGTCTTTCCCACCCTTTGCCTTCTGGCAGGCAAAACACGTCTTTATTCAGGCGGTTCTTTGGCCTGTCGGCTGAGGGCCGCCTGCTCTGTTTCGGTCATTGTGTTCTTGTGGCTCTGGCTTTGTCCTGTTTGGCAGTTAGGAGTCTGTTTTAATCTGTGATCATTGGCCACCGTGGACGCAATTTTGGGTCTGAAGGCAAGACATAGCTCAGTTCTAACAGGTGTGTGGTTGGTATCTCTTTCCAGACGGCTGTTCAGGCAGGGACTGCCACTGGCCCGGAGCAGAGCAAACCTCTGGAAAAGACAGAGACCCTCTTCAGTCAGGAGCGGGACCCTCGCTTCGGTGAAATTTACAGTGGCATCAGCACAGGTGGGTACAGGGGCCCGTGGGAAAAGGGCCGCCTGCTTCTCTGGCGCCTTTGCAGAGTTGGCTGGGTTTGGAAGCCGGACCTCCTGCTAGTGGTGTTAGAACTTGCATTGTGGCCATCCGAATGCGCTTCGCATTGGCCATCAATGCACGGAATTTAACCCGCGTGTTGAGGGCGTTCCAGGCCCGCCTTCTCAAGGTGCTCCATGCTTTCAGAAAGCCTCTGGCCACTGCAACACGCGAGCTTGTTTTCCTTGACCTCGGCTTGCCCAAATGCTTAACATGAAGGTGGGCTACAAACCCGGGGATTTTAGCAGCTTTGCAAACCACGGGGGTTGCCTGTGGAAAATCTCAAAAGCCAAAGTGGCTGAATAAGTTTTCCGGCTGCTTCTGTTCACTGACAAAAGCTTTTTTGCATGAGAAGTGCACATTTGCATAAATTCCCCCTGCAAAAAAATTGGGGGCTTCTGCAAAACAAACCCCCCAAACAAGCAAATAAACTGCAGGCTCACAGGACCTGCACAGCTTGGAAGTTGCCGGTCCACCGTAGCATGTACAGGCTGGATCTCTCTGGCACCCCAACTAGAGCACAGTGTTTTCAGTGCCCAGCATTTCTGGGTCGGAACCACTGGCGATGGGATCAAACTCTGCCGGGTTAGACGGGCAACAGAAGCTGCCCCGGCAGGATGCAGCTTCCTCCGTTCTACCTCGGAGTCCTGTGCAAGTGTCCAGAACATTTCCTTCAAGGATCCCTCCGGCTTCTCTCTCGCAGGCTAAACCAGCTGCTCTTCTGAATGCAGTTCCTGGGAGATGCTTGCAGAGAGGCGTCTTCTGACCCCCATCTCTGTTCCCCTTTTGCAGACCAGACAAAAGCCATTTCTGCCGGCGGCGTGCCTGCCAACCAGTCCCTGTTCTCCCAGGGAAACACCTTTGTCGCCTCACGCCCCACGGAGAACTTCAGGTGATGCCCACGTGCTTCGCGCCTCCTGGCTAGCGGCGGCTTGATTTGGCCATATATAAGGGAGTTCTCCCTGCTTTTTAAAAAAAATGTAAAATACTGCTCATGGTAAAACCCTCCTAGCAAAGCTACCACATTTCAGGCACAATCCTGTGCACATTTAGACAGAAGCAGCTGCTGCTGCTCCCAGTTGTTCACCCCAACATAGGATGATGCTGTTAGTTGGCAGACCAATTTAAAATCTTTGGATTGATTGGAAAGCTGGAGACGGTAGGTCTTGAGATGTAACCATGCTGAGCAGGAGAGCTTTCAGAAGCAGCAGGTGGTAGGCGAGCCCTTAAAGAACCGCGCTCTCTTGTGCCTCACAGTGGGAGGTGCCGCCCGCTTCAGCATGCGCACCTGTCTCAAATATTACCTTCCGGAGGGTTGTTTGCGTTCCTACTCAGAGTGGGTTGGAAGGAAGCCCTGGCACGTGGGCTTGCTTTCCGGCTTCCTCCTCCGTCGCGTGAGGCGGACGAGGATGCGTTTTCACACGCCGGGGCGGCAGCTGCCGTCACCACCTCGTTGACGAGGACCCTCCTGCCCCTTTGCAGGAGCAGCGCCATGGGGCCTCCGGTGAGCGTCCTTCAGCCGCAGCAGCCACCCCCGCACTCCGCCTCAGCTGGCCAGATCCTGGCCCAGATCTCGCGCCACTCCAACCCCGATCAGGTCAGCGGAACCACGTGGCCTTCGGGAACACGCCCGTCCTTCACGGCCCAAGTAAGTTGGCCTTCTGACTTTGTCCCCCAAGGCCCTCTTCCCTCCCCCGCTCCTGTCAGCGGGTCGCGGTGCTTTGTCCTGATCGGTCACGGGAAGCTCTGCCGCTGGAGAGGAGAGGAGAGGCCTTTGGCCGAGGCCGAGTCCAGTGCCGCACGGGACACTCTGGCACCGCCTGGTCCTGCTGTGCCGCCGTGAGCGGCATGCGCTTCCTCCGTCTCTCTCCTCAGGAGTCGGCGCTGCGGGCCCATTCCCTCTTAGCCCTGCTTTTCTTCCCCCTTCATTTTCATCAGCCTCTCGACAAGCTGCGTGAAACTATCGGGTGGGGAAGGGGTCCTCTGAAAAACCCCAGACCTCGCAAATGCAGCAGTGGCTGGTTCCAAATGGAACAAGCTTCTTTGCTTTTCTTCTTCACCTTTTGGCGGGCCGCACATCCGCTGGGTGTTTTTACGCAGAGGCATTTCAGCTTGTGAATCTGGCTCTTCCTGGTGGAGAATTTGGGCTTCCCTCTTGCTGGCCCACTGCTGTGCACTGCTCTCCCGAAACCCACACGCGGCTTTACATCTTCTGTCTGTTTTATTTTTGACCGTTCTCCAGCAAGTAGCCTCACAGGCAGTTAAGACTCAGCCCCCATCCTTTGCTGTGGGTACCTTCCAGGCCACCTCATCCTCCTTCAGCCCCATGTCGACCTCCAGTTCCTCAGCCTCGCCGGGCAGGGCGACCTACCCAAGCCTCGCTGGTCGGAACACCAACTTCAGTAAGTCTCTGGTTACATTCTCGGGGGGGGGGGGGGGTCCTGGTGCCTGAGAGTCAAGCCACGTGGCCTGGCAAGGCCAAGCTCTGGCAGAACTCCCGCCCAGCGTGCAGAACCTCTGCTTTACTGCCTCTTCGTGAAGCGGAGGGTTGCTGGACAGAAGCGCCACCGAGAGTCTCCTGATGTGGAGTCACTCCCGCAAGAGGGGCACCGAAGGGCAGCGGGAGGCTGGTCCTTTGCAAGCCCTCACGCGTGCGTCCCTTTGGGCACAGCTGGAGAGAGTGGGCAGGCCCCGGCCCAGTTCCAGGCACGCACCGCAGAGGGTGTCGGAGTTTGGCCGCAGTGGCAGGGCCAGCACCACGGGCAGACCGCCGGAGAATCCCACGTCCAGCCGCCGCCGAACCAAGCAGAAGTCTTCCCGGTAAGCCCACTGGGCAACGCTTCCCTCGGTCCCGATTTTTGAAGTGCAAGCTGCTGCGCCCGATGATGCACAGGGGCCCCTCTTAAGCAGTAGGCGCGTAGGGCTCCGTTTCTGGCGAGCACCACGCAGGCGCCAGAAAGTCCACACCGGGAGCTTGGACTCGCGGCTGTGGCGAAGCTGACCGGAGCCTGAGGAGGCAAGCCCAGGGAGTCGGGTGGATTCCTCGCCCCAGAGAGAAGTCCCCACCCCCCTTCGCGTCAGCGGCCGCTTTCCGTGGGCAAATGAGGTCAGGTGTGGCAGAGCTCTCCTCAAGGCAAGCGTGGACAATTTGCGTCGTAGATTGTGTCATAAATGTACCCTTTCCCTTGGGGCAGTAATCTCCCTAAATACATGTATTTTATTGGTTGATAGGATATGTTATCAATGCTGGGAGAACAGGGAACTAACTACAACAATGAAGAATTTCCCGAGTTGAACATGTTCCCTTCCTTTTCGGAATGAGAGAGGGGACCGGTCCGTGTGGACGTCCGCGTGTCCCGTGCGGCTGCCTGGAATGGAAGGAGCAGCGGTGTGCCTCGCTCGCGCACGTGCGCTCCGACGTCTTTCAGAGACTGCCACAGTCTTCCCCCCTGTCCGAAGCTGGCGCGCCCACCGAGGTGCCGCGAACGGCGGGCAGCCCGTTCCCCACGCAGGCGGGGACTCCGACGCGGCCCCGGCTTGGCCTGCTGTGGAAAAGGTTGGGCTTGGGGAGAGCAAGCCTGAGCTGAACGGGGGTGTGGTGGCGCCTTCCCCGTGCCAGACAAGAGTGGAGAGACTCGGAGAGCTCATCAGGGATTTTTAAAAGATCCGCAGGTGGGTTGTTTTTTTTTTATAAAAAAACCCCACACTTATATGCCATAGCCTTTATACATACATACATTTATATATATATATATAAATATATATTGTATTCTTGTTTATACATGTCAGGGAGCGGCGGCAGAATTCGTAGCCGGGCGATGCTAACCCTTCTCCAACTGTCTGTGAACATGTAGCCAAACACTTTCTCACGCGTGCGTCTGCGCATGTGCACTCATGCGTGCTGTCTTGCACAGATCTCCCTCAAGCAGTGTTAATGAAATACGGGGAGGCACTTTGTTGGCTGGTGCCGTTTCCACGCTCGACCTGCCCCCGCCGGTGGTGCTGGCGCGATTGCGCGGGTGCGGTGGGCAGGCCTGGCGCGGGGGGCCGGCAGCCACCGGGGGCAGCCGGGGTGACTGCCCAGGGGCACCGCGAGAGGAAGAAGGGCTGGTCTTGGGGGAAGCGGAGGCACCGCGTTCGGAAGGGTGTGTCCATGAGGAGATCGGGGCCGGCGCTTCCCTTTCCCTTCCTTCAGGGAGACCCGTTTCCAGCTGTCCACCCTTGGCCGGCAGCTGACTTTGTGGGATGCTGTCACCTGTTCCGTAACTTATGCAATTAAAGTGGGCCCCCGCAAGTGGCAGCCCCCCGTGTTAAGGCTTTTTTCTTGCATGCGCCTTTGGGCAAGTGCGGGGGGAGGCAGTGCCTACAAGCCACAAAAAGCAGAGCTCGTGCAAAACCGTTGTGTCGCTGGGATCGGCCGATTGCACAGGAACGTGTGTACTGACGGCGCAGTCGGATGTGAAATGGACAGTGCATAAAAGACGGTGTGTCCGCATATGCAACTGTGCAGATTCGGATTCGTCGCACAAGATTCCAGCGTGGGATAAAAGGCCTCCTCTCCACCCAGATGCCTGACCAGGACTTGAGGGAACAGGCAAGGAAAGTGAAGTAAAAAGCAACAGAAACCTCATTTTGGGGGAGACACAAGCTTGATCAACCCGCATAAATGAGGACTTCCATGCCATGAAACAGAGTTTCTTGTATATCAGCTGCTGCCTTCCGAAATCGCTAGCATGGGGTGGCTGTGCCCCGTCCCTGTTGGAAGAAGAATGCTTTAAAAGATTTCCCTCCAGCTCCTGCCCTCATATTCTAGCTACAGTGCATGTGAAAAGAACAATTGAACGATACAACGCAATACCAACTTCTCTTAAAAGAAAGGGTGTGTTCAGGAATCTCACTTGTCCAAAATCATGCCCCACCAGAGGTTTTCACGTCTTCCTTGCCAAACTCTGATGTTGCAAAGATCCCCGGACTCCTTCAATGTGTGTGCCCACATTAAAAATGCTCCTGCTTGAGGAAGGAATGCTGAATTTAGCACCCTGAAAAACATCTCTAGATTAAAAAAACCAAATTTCTAGCCTCTGTGGTCCAAGGGATAAGCTCACACATGTGTGGACAAAATCAAGCTCGGTTGTTTGAGCTTTTGCCCTGGCTGGTGGTTCCTTGCCCCGTCTTGCAGACGTAGACTCCATTATGCAAAACTAGCTATGTGCAATCCTAGAAATGGGGGGAAGCCACAGAATCCTGCACCGCACTTGATTACGTGGGCCTGATGTGTCGAATTCCAGCCCAGGAGCAGAGAGAGGATGGCTCTGTCCTTCTGAGGCTGCCGCGCCTAGAAGGCCACTCCTTCCGGCTTGAGACAGACACCCTTTGCCTGGGCCGTTGGGGTCCAGGCCAGACTCCAGCTAGGCCATGTTTTGCCTCTGGTTTTCTGATCTCAGCCGGCAAATGGCCGTTGTCGCAGGCTGGAGCAGCACCCACCGCACGGACGCGATCCTGAACGGCTGCGGGAGCCACACCGAACGGGGGTGGCCGTGCTCGTAACGTGCCTGTCTGCGAGCGAGGCGTGCCCCATGCTCTCCCTGTGGCGCTAAGAGCCCGCTCCAGCTTCTTGGCCCCCCATGGATAGCGCACCCCAGGAACTGCGGGGGGGGGCGGTTCCTTAAAATGGACAGAATTGCCGCATTTCCTCTTTCTAAAGGAAAGCAGAAGCTCGTTTGAAACTGACACCTGTGCTTGGTTTTGCCGTGGATGTGCTCACAGCCACCTGCAGGGGAGGCGACTCTGGGGGCATCAGGATTCTCCGCGAGGGGCTGTCAAAGCGCAGGGCCTTGTTTCCAGCAGCAGGCTGGGGGGCACCCAGGAAGGTGGCAGCCGGGAACACGGTCGCTGTGGGACGTCTTCTTCTAGTGTGTCGAGAGTTTTCCCTTATCCTGCATACATGCCTGTGGTAGACGGACTCTCGCCATTTAAATAAGAGCTGGAGGCAGAAAGGGGAAGATTTGGCCTGAGGTGCATCTCGGGCAGACGCGCTGCCCGCGCCAGTCGGCTGGGTGGAAGGGTGGCTCTCCTGGGGCCTTTCCCAGCCCTGCCTGGACGTGCCCAGGACCTTCTGCAGGGGCCAAGTACAGGCGCTGCCCGTCCTCCAAACAGGAGGTGACTGGGCCACTCTCTCCCAAAGGGGGTTACGGGGAGCACTTCCAGGAGCGGGACGGGAGCTGTGGCCCGGGTCCGGCGGGACCTTTGCCTCCCCCTCTGAGGGGACCCCAGATGCTCCTGGCCTGCGTACGCACATCACTGGCCTTCCTCTGGCTACTGCTGCTGCGGTGGATGCCGCCACCTGGCCGTCGCTGCAGCCGCTGCAGGTTCCACACACGCTCCAGCCTTGCTTACTGGACAGGGGCTCAGTTCCTCATGGAGAGCCAGAGCCTCTTGGGGGGGCGGGGGGCACCTGGATCTATTTACCAATGTGCGTGTTGCGCATCAGTGGAGGCGGAGGGCAGAGTCCCCCGGCCTGGAAGAAAATGTCGCATGCCGCAGCAAGCCACCCGATTCCCCAGGCGTGCGTTGCCGTTGCCACGCCGAGCTCACACAAGCCTTTTGCCAAACTGCCGTTTCCCGGTGTAGCTCCGTGTGGACCCAGGGTGTCCCACCCAAGCCCCGCCCTGGGCACAGCAGCCCCTCCGAGATGGCCACAATCCACTCCTCCTCTGGCACGTCTCACCCACTGCGCACGTCTTTCCTAACTCCGTTTGGGCCAAGTTGTTCCTTCTTTCTATATTGCCCAATAGTCCAAAGAGCTGCAGATGGTTTGCAAGAATAGAAAGTAGCATCATGCCAAGCAGTGCAGTAACATTTCAACATTTTCAGAACAACCGCAATAAAACATAGCGGACGTGCCAAGATTTAAAACACTCCAGCAGATTCGAGCCACCCCAAGCCAAGTGAAAGCGTAAAATGACCCAGAAGATAACCCCGTGCTGAGGAGAATCTCTCTCCATTTCGCTTGCTGGCAACACAGACCCATTGAAGCTGGAATATGCTGCCATTCCTGGATGGTGAGCAGAAAAGCAGCCCTCCCAGGCAAGACCCCCTTCCCCCCCACCTGTGCTCAGTCCCCCTCCTTCCCTCCCAGCACCCCCAGCTATGCAGCTCCCCATGCAAGGCGCACGGTCCGGTTTAGTCGCTGCAAAATGCCTGGTGGATCCAAAGTGATGGAAATGCCCACAGTTCCAGCCAGAAGGCGTCCTGCGTGCTTGTCCCTTCCCTCTTCTGTCCACCTTCCCCTTTGCTTTCGTTGTTCCTATTCTCTTTCCCCCCTCGTCCAGCCCCTCCCCTAGCTGTTTCCTCTCTCTCCCTCGCAATTTGCACACCTGTGCCCTGCACAGAGGCCAGCTGCCCCACTGCCACGTGCAGCGTGTGTGGGAACCTCCTGCCGCAGCCACGCCACTTCCTGCCTCTTGATCTGTGCAAGATCGTTCCGCAAACAGGGTGCCTCCTAATCCTATGTTTCACTTCCCATTATCATCTTAAAGTAAAAACTTCCACCAGCTTGGCAAATATCGCTAGTATGACCCTAAGTGCCCCCCTGTTCTGTTTTCCCCTTCCTTGCACAGCACCAACAGCACATGATGATAAAATGCACAGAAAAACTAAAAGCCATGAAATATAACAGGAGGGAGGACTTCTGCTCTGTGCCCGATGCAACAAAACCAATCCAAAGACACATTTTTCCAGGAACTTTCACAGTAATTATGGGAGAGTCACAATAACCTCTGTAGGACAGGTATGAAGCCCACGCATGCCAGGGAGTTATGGCTACCAGCATGTCGTGTTTTGTATTCACAGTCTCCCATTCAAGTCCAAGTTAATTCACCGGGATGTTGGATCATTCCATTTCTTGCTTTGCGATTGCCGGTTTGCCCTGATTCAGTTGTGTCTGTTGTGTAGCATCCAACTCCCCTTTCAACTCGGCATGTTGGCCACTGGACTTCCTTTCAGCTTTGCTCTCGTATCCTTGGCAGCTGTGGTTGCCGTGTTGCCTTTGACTCCTTCCCGGTAGCTCCTTGTGTGCCTTCCAGCGTGGGAGCCGCATCTGGCACAGGACTGTTTACAGGTAAGAAGGCGCAGAAATAAGACGGCGCAGAAATAATTTAAAGCTGCCTTCGGCAAGGTACTAGTGCCACCTTCAACTGCAGCTATGGCTCCAGAGCTGCCCTTCACCGCCACAGGTGTCCCTCTCTTCTGATGGATTGTCCTTTGGAGGGTGTCCTCTTTGACCCTCCCACTTCGGGTAGCCCTGGCCTCCTGGCTCAGCTTATCTGGCCCCTCAGTCCCCTTCCCTGCTTTAAGGGATGCACCCAAAAGGAGCCAGTTCTAGAACTGGACTCAGAATTTCTTAGTTCAGAAATGTCCATCTTTTGCGTCAGGATCCAGCTGGGGTGGACCTGGGGGCTCTACTGGAAGACAAAAGGGTTCCTATAACCCCGGTGTTCACCCACCACTGATCTTTTTGCTTCCCACACTGGTCCACCAGGCGCTTCTGAGAGCCGGCAAAACCTTCCCTGCTCGGTGACCCCGATCTTCCTCGGAAGGCTGCCCCGTGTGCCTTGGGAAGAGGCTGCTCGCCCGCTTGGCGACGTGGTTGTGCGCCCGCTTGCCTTGCCCGGGTTCATGTTGCGGTGAGCCTTCATTGCCTTCCTGTGTGTCCATACGCCCAAAAACAGGCCAGGGCTTGTGCTCAGCTGCTTATGCTGACTCATTTTTTCTTTCCATCCCATTTGATTGCAAGGATGTTTTGTTTGAACTTTCAGGCTCTAACCTCAGACTTAAACAAATCCAGAAGTTTATGATTCTGGTAAGCTTTGTGCGTAAAGTTTGACTAGGGCTGGTTTGCCAATCGAATTTGCTTTGTCTCCAGCAAGCGAGGATTGTGCTTTATTTTGTTTTGCTTTTGGAAAATAACTTTGTGAGCAAATTCCTTATCCTGAAGTAAGAATCTTATGATCTTGTCACATGCTTTCACTTAGTGGTGTGAGAGACTCGCTTTTCCTGTACTTATTTTTCCCATTAAATTTCCCCACCTGATAGGAGAGCTTCTCCATCCCCTTAAACTGGACACACAAACACATGCACACCTCTTCGAATATTGTTGTATTCTGGTGGGGGTGCAGTGTGAAAAGAACCCTGGCCCATGGGCTGTAGTGGAGCATCAGAGTGGAACATGGAAATGGGAGTTACCAACTCTCAGCCTAATCCGCCTCACAGGGCTCTTGTAAGGACGGAATGGGGAGAAGGGGCCATCCTGTGTCCCTTACAAGAAGGAAACAGGCGGGGTATCCGTGTAATAATGAAGAAAGGCGAAATGAGCGGGCTGCAGCTGGTGTGAGCTGCGCTTAGGCATTGCAAGTGTGACCTCCTCCGGCATTCTGAGGAATAAGGTGTGCTTCAGCCTATCCTAAGGCTCCATATCCTTAAAAACTGACTATTGCTAGACCAAGAAGCTTCCGATGATCTCCTTCCCGAAGGAACCCAACACAGGTAACCTCCATGACCCTAAAATGTTTCATCCATCGTAAAAATGCAGCGAGCATAACAAGCTCAAACGCAGCCTTTCCTCGAATCCATCGCATGACAGCTCTTGTTTGATGAACTCTTATTTTTATATATGGGCCAAAGGGACTCGCTCAGCGGTTTTGGTAGTAGGTAGATTTATTTAAATATGCCTGCTGGCCTCTGCTGGACTGCACATTTCGGGCTGGATCGGTGCTTTGTACAAGGCAGCTTTTCAAAGAACCGTGTGTATAACAAAGGCATGTGCTTCCCAGCCCTTGAGTTCCAAAATTCAAAGTGGAATTTCTCTAAGGCTCTGGCCTCATCGATGTCATGACCTGACAGCCCCTTCCTTCCATCCTTCCTGCTGTCCTTCCACTCCCCACCTCAACCTGCCATGTGTAATATTTTGCCCGATGAAGAGGCCTGCATATCTCAAAAGCTTGCACTTAAAGCAAAAATCAAAGTGTTACCCCCAATATGAGTTTTGGCATTTTCTCACAGCCAACATGGCCATCTTTGCCTTGAGGGTGACTTGGGTAATGCTGAATTCAGTCGTTCGACTGTGGGCTTGTGCATGGGATAACAAGGAATGTATGCCACCAGTAGCTGGGATCCTATTCTTTCATTCCTTGTGGTGATACAGCTTAGTGCATTATCTAAAATTATCTGCAGCTTTGTTTATAAGAAAGCTTCTTTTTTCTCTGCTTCCTGTTTTCCATCTCTCAAGCAACTTGTGGTTTTTGCCTAAGGATGGAGCTGGTTTGAGTAAAGGCTACAGAGGGGCAGTTGCTTTATTTCTTCATTTCCAGACCATCTCGGGCTGGCCGCACGCACAACCGGAAAGCCTCACAGCAGCTGCCCAGGCGTCGCTTGAATGCTGAGCCTTCCCGCAGTTTGTCTTAAGAGTCCGATGAGCCGACCTCCCCCATCTGGTTCTTCCCGCCCACCCTTTTGGCAGTATTTTTTCTGGGGGAGAGTCCGGCGGCTCTCAGAAGGGATGCTTTTTTGTGATCTCCGCTGCTTTGTTACTTTCCTCTCAGGGACGGGCAAAATCACAGCTTACAGGTACCTGTGTGGGACATCCTTTTGGGTGCCTCTGGGGTGCCTCAGCCCTCTGACTTTTACATCTATTTATGCACACTGACTGCTACCCAGAATCCCCGTGAGGCAGACTCTGCTCTTTGCTGGCAGCCTGAGGTTCAAATGAGCGGCTTATGATGACACTGAACCTTTTGTGCAGGTGGCCCCTCCTTGGCCAGGTCTCTCATGGCAGCCATGTTTGGGTGGTACCCAGAAGGGTTTCCCAGATTTGTAAATGTGCCCCGGCCCCCAGAAGTTCCCTCTGTGATTTCTGTCCTTCAACAGCTAACAGGAACACCTTACCTGGGAATTTTCCTAATGTGAATTTTTGAGCGCTCCAAAAACGCGCCGCGACAGGCCCCGGGCCCTCTTCACTCGCCTGGAACATGTCTGGTGGTGGCTGTTGAGTCTTGCCTTTGTCATCAAGTTGCTTCCGCATCCCACTCAGAAATTCCCCATTATTCAGAAGCAGAAGTGCCGGCTTGTGAGAGGGGTCAAAGCAAACACAAGGTCATTGGCCGGCTTGTGACAGTCACCAGCTTGCTCTCTGCACCAGTCCAAAATAGGGGCAGCCTGCAAAGGGGCAGAGGGGCAGTTAAGTGCAGCCCCCTGAGGTTGGAGCCCCAGACCTCCAGCAGGCCAAGTGCCCCATCGCCCTGCTGCCCGGGGGCCCTTGCAGAAGGAGCCGATGTAAAACCATCATGCAGGTATGTCCACTGCCTTTGCTCTGTGGCCTGAGGCCTGGATCTTTCTGGTACCTGCCCCTGCCCCCCTGGATGTACTGTGGAATGCCAACGTGGCCTTTCTGGAATTCTATCCCACCTTGCTGCCAAAAATCGCCTTCGGAATGGCTGGCAGGAACTGCACACAGGTAAAAAGCAAGATCTGTATGTGGAACTTCCCAAAAACAGAGCCATCAAGATTCGAATAAAGCACAACTGAAGCCTCGGGAGAAGGAAGCCCCGCGCATCCATGCTGGGCTCCGAGGCTGATGTGTTCTCAAACCATCAAGGCTGTAGCTCAGGGACCAAAAGGGTGCCAAAGAGCCATTGTAACCACACACACACACACACACACACACACACACACACACACACACACACACACACACACACACAACTGCCACACTGTGCATTCAGAAAAAAATGCTTTCGCAATTCCACGAAACGGTACAGATCCCAAGACCCACGGAAAGCGGGCAAATGTTACGTCTTGCCATTTCTCACTCTCCTTCCTTTGTTGATAAGTCTGCAGGTGGGGCCTCTATCATGCTTCATACTTGCAGGGATTACAGCAAGACAAAAAGGAGAACTGCAACCACAAAACCCATAAAAACACAAAACTGAGTCCCCAAATGACCAAGCCAAACATACTTTCTGTTCATGTAACAACATGGTTAAATGTAACAAGGCAAATCAAAGAATAGAATCGGGCTCAAAAGGAAGAACCAGGGCTAGTATCTGCCCTAAGTATAGCGACAGAGAACTCAAAACGGTCTTGTGGAACACAACCCAGGGATGCTGGAGTCGGGGGTCAGACTAGATGGCTCAGGAGACCCCTTCTCTCTCACTCTGTTTCTCTGTTTCTATGCTCTCAGATCCCAGGACGGGGTAGGTTTTTCTGGTCACCACCACGATAGGCAGACTCTGAAGGGTTCGATCGTGCGCTTGTCTAGGCAGTCCTACAACTCCAAATTGCTGGACTCTTCTTGGTTAGGATTGTGTCAAAATCAGCTTTCCAGGTGAGCTGACAGCCAAGAATTCAGCCTGGCCCCAAACCCAAGAGAGGGATGCCCAGTGCTTTTGGAAGGAGGAAAACTCTCCTTCCCTGGGGGCCACTTAACTTTCCCCAGAAACCTTTCCAGCGCTTTTCCTGTTTTAGGATGTCCCCAAGGAAAGAAAGTAAAGCTTGTACTGAAAAGCATTTTTTCAGGCATCTGCAGATAGTTTCCCTTCTGTTTGGGACATGTTAGAGCCTCCGCCTCTTTGCTTCCTAAAGAATTCGGTTAACCCCTGGGAAAGTTTCCTCCTGTTGTTATTCCTGTCATGCTTCTCGTTACTGTTTTATTGACGATGGCCGGACAGAGTTTGCTTCATGCAGAGAGAGCAGAAGAGCCTTCGCCAAAAGCCAGATCCCAGCAGCTGGAAGCACATTCCGGGCCGGGCCGAGGCTCAGCTCGGAGGCTGATGTGATTTTGCCAATGGATCATGTGAGGAACTTGGATCTCCGGCGTGAAGCCCTGCCTGCTCACCCCCCTCCAGCCCCTTCCCGCCACCCCCCCCCCCCTCGTAGGCCTGGCCGCTCTGCAGATCTGAGTAAAGCTTGCATGAGATTTTCCACTGCCGGCCAGACTTCCTCCGAGTCAGCACAGCATAAAAACAAACGGCCCACCGGTGTTCATCCATTCGTGCCAAAGAGTGCCGACCTCGCTCAGGCCTCGTTCGTCTCAGGCCTCGTTTGTCTCTGCTCGGCCAGCCGCTGCCGCAGGGCCCCTTTGATTCCAGGTGAGTACAACTTTTGCCGAAGAAGGGGAACTGGCCCGGGGGAGGGGGGGCTTCGGAAACGGCCGCCCTCCGCTTGTGCTGTGTGAGGACGCCGTCTGTGAACGGAGGCTTCTTGATCCAGCGGGATCCCCCTCCCGTGGATGCACGGACTTCCGCCTCTTGATGCTGGTCCCTGGGAGTCCTGCTTGGGCGCACGGCGCATGGGCTAGCCACGCACGGGGCCCTGAATTGCACTTGGGCCGTAGGGATTTGCCTGGGAAGCGGTGCAGCGATTCCAAGCAGCCAAACGGTGCTGCAGACCAGGCCTTTTCCGGGGAAAGGGGGACCGAACCAGCCCTGGTGTGATGCTTCCCTGTGTCCCTGAAGTGTCCCTGAAGCAGGTGGAGCTGGGGCGTGTTGCACTGCCAGCTGGACACAAGCGGGTGCAAGGTGGCGGCGTCACAGCAGACGTCAGCTCCGGGGGTGTTGGCTCCTTAAGACTTTGGCCCGGTTTGCTGCCGATGCCCCTGGGAGAAGAATGAAGCAGGAGAACGTCTCAGCCTCGGATACACGTGTAATAGCAAACACAGGCTGTGTGATACCACACTAGACAGACAGAGAGAGGGCGGCACGCTGGACTAGCTCCTCCTCGCTGGAGCCAAGGCCCTGCTGCAGCATCTTGGGACTACGGCTTGCTATAGCTCCTTTGTGGTGAAGGGAAGGCAATCTGCATGCACTCAGAGGCACCCCTGCCTTGTGGCTTCAGTCACACCTTCAAAGGTCACATTTTTATTTCATGTGTGGTGGGAACTTGTTGTGATGAGTTTCAGGAAGGGGAGCTGGGTGGATTTCCCATACTCAAAATGTATCTGTGTTCCTAAGTTTTATTCTTGACCGTCCTTCCCCCCGAGAGTGTATTTTATGGGGGATTATTTGAAATTTGCATTAAACTAAAGCATTAAAATACAGCTCCCAGGTTTGGGGCTACTTTTTCAATCATCTGAGGCACCAGGAGAAAGGAGCAGGGATTCTTTAGCTGACTTGGTAGCTGGAAGTGCATCTTGCTGAAACCACGAGGTCTTGCGTTGTTTGGTCAGCTAATGAGAACCAGCTGAGGCTTTAGCATGTGACTTAACCCGAGGAGGGATTTCTCAGAGTGCCGCGCTGGGGGAAGCAGAGGGGAGACGCAGAAGTCAGCGCTTCAGGCAGAATTCGGGAAACTTAATTGCAGACTCTTTCCTTGTTTGAAGTCCCCTAGTTCAGAGGATCACCAAACACTCCACCTCACCGCCAGGACCCACAAGACAAAAGACACAAGTTAGACACATGCTCTCAAGTCTTTGTATGTGTGTGTCTCGAAAGGGCCCTGTGCATTTGAAAAAGGGATGTACGAACCAGGAGAGGCAGGCATTTGATTGCAGGGAAAAAAGGGAAAAAGACTCCAGTGGGGGGAGGTCAAGCTGCTCTGGTGCAACGGAGGCCGCGGCTGTTGCCCAGATCACCTCTGCGCTTCTCCTAAATCCAGTCTCCCTGCCACTCCCAAGTCTTGCTCCTTTGCCTCACCAACTCTTTCCTGCATCCTGACGTCTGCTGAAGAACGTCTGCATTTGCACTCAGGAGCCTGGCGGACCGGGAGTTGCGCGAGGACGAACACCGGCCCTGCGCCTGGCCGGGAAAGGGACCCGAAGCTCTCTTCGGGCCACACGCTGGCGGAGGAGCAGCGGGAATCTGTGCATCATCGGCCGGCCGGCCGGGTGAACCCCAGAGGGGTCCGAGGTGCCCCTGGCCAGCGATCCTCAGGGACCGCTGAGCTCACTCTGCAATCAGATCAGTCGATTCTTCCCGGCCCGTCCTGGCCTTGGCTGCTTTTCTGAAGGCGCCACTTGATTGCGGGGCGAACATCTCCACGGGCAGCCGTGAGACATCTGTGGGATGTAATCTTACGAACGCGCATGCTTTTGATGTTTTTGGTTGTGGACAACTGCAGCTGACGGGGCTTTTTTGTCATGATGCCACAAGTCTTCAGCTGACAAAAGCCAGCTTTGCTGCACCTGGAAAGGTGGCCTCGAAATCTTTTCAATAAAAAAACCCAAGAGAGAAGTTTTTCTAGCCGATCTGGGGCTCAATTCTATGTGGAGAAAGTCTTACAGCTCCTAGCACACCTCAATTACTTCTCATTATTACTCAGTTTCATATCCCGCTCTTCCACAAAGGCATTCAGGGGAGTATACATGGCTCTTCTCAGCCCATTCTTTTATGTTCACAACAGCCCTGTGAAGTAGGACACTGAGGGATGAGGCTCAGGCCAGTGAGCTCTGGGGCTGAGCAGGGAGCTGAGCGTGGGTCTCGCCAGGGCTGCTTTGACACTATCAGGCCTGGGAGTGTCAGTCCAGCCCTCTGCAATTTTTCCGGTGTTTCCACCCCTTTCCCCACAATCCACTAAATCATCCAGTGGATACCCAACTTGTAAAGTTCCCCACACCCAGTTTAAAAGAACAGAATTCTCCTCCTCTCCATACGCTTCTCCTGAGGCTTAATTTCAGGCAGGAAGGCTTTGCAATAAAATATGTGGGGGGGGGGGCGTTTTTGGCCACGCGGTTTTTGCTTGGGTCAGGCCCCCTTCACCCTGAGCTCCCCAGACCCCTAGATGGGAGCTTCTCTGGAATGGAATTTGGCCCTCGGGCCGAAAAAGTCCACCCCCTTCCACTTCTGCCCGTCCGTCTCTCCCGCACGTGCCTTTGTCTCTTTTCCGGCTCCAGGATGTGGGGTCCCACCCTTCTGCTTGTCGCCTTGCTCCCGGTCTTGGAGGCTACCGGCTACCCGGATGAAACGCTGGACTCTCAGTGGGAGCTCTGGAAGAGAACCCACAGGAAGGAGTATAACGGCAAGGTACGGCCACAGCACGGAGGGGCGGTCGGCATGCACGCATTACGCCTGAAGCCAGCGAGCGGCATGCTCCGGACAGGCTCCGGCTCAGTGGCAGAGGCCTTGCTTGGTGTGGGGAGCTTCCCGAGTTCTGTGCCAGGCCCTGCTAAAGCGGGCTGGGGAAACCTCCAGCCTGAGACCCTGGAAAGTGCAGCTGGAAAGCCCCAGCGTCTCATGCCCGATGCTCCTGCTTAAAGCAGCTCTTTATTCAGAACCCTGAGGTCTAGACTGTTAGTTCCTATTTAGTGGAAATAATGCTTTGCACACCGGAAGGCCCAGACTATCGCTCTGGAAGGATGTTAAAAACTGCTGGGCCATCAGGGGTTTCTGTTTCGTATCCTGAACGATCTTCTCTCTCTCTCATGGACAGATGGAAGAGGTCTCCCGGAGGCTCGTATGGGAGAAAAACCTTAAGTACATCAACACCCACAACCTGGAATTCTCTCTGGGCAGACACACCTTCGAACTGGCCATGAACCACCTGGGAGATATGGTAGGCAGGGGTGACTCCTCCAGAGAAGAATCCCAGCGGACGAAGCAGGGTAGGGGGCTTGGGACGGGGATCGAACCGCAGCACCTTTAGCGGCGCAGGCTGCGATCCTGCGCAGGTGCAAATGGAACAACAGCCTGTGATAAGGAGTTGCCGGGCCCCTCTGGCTGGAAAGGCTGAGCTGTGCCGTCGGGGGACTCCTGGATGAGGGTTTCATTGCCGGTGGCACGAGCTCCTGTGCAAAACGTGGCCGGTCCGGGCACCATGGTCTGCAGCCAGCCGTGTTTCTTCCTACGCCTCGTCCGAAGCCTGGCTGGCACCTGCTGGCGAGGGAGGCAGGCCGGGGGGCGTGTGCCGCCCGTGTGCCGCAGGGGCTCGCTCCCGGGGCCCCTTGGCAGCCCAGGCCAGCCCTCCAGGTTCCACGGCCTCCCGGGCCCTCTGGCTCCTGCCCCTTCTGCGGGGTGGCCAGCACCGCCAAGTGCTGCACGGGGCCCTGAGTGGAAAGGTGGTGGGCGCACTGGTTCTGCTGGGGAGCAGCACCAGATCCGAGGGACATCCGGACGGCGGCAACGCGTGAGCTGGGGGTGTCGGTGGGCAGAGTGTGCCCACGTTCCTTGCCTGCCTTTGCGGGGAGGTGTGGGGTCGGGTGGCACAGGTGCCCCTTTCCCCGCCACGTGCCCCCCACTTCCTCCCCCTGCTCGTTCCCCAGACCAGCGAGGAGGTCGTGCGGAGGATGACGGGGCTCAGGCGCCCCGCGTCTCGCAAGCCCAGCAACGACACCCTCTTCGTCCCGGACTGGGAGGAGCGTGCACCCCCCTCCATCGATTACCGGAAGAAGGGCTATGTTACGCCCGTCAAGAACCAGGTGAGGCTTCCTTGGGCGGCCCTTTGGGCAGTGGACTGGGCGCGTTGCGGAACTTGAACTGGGTGCGTCGCGGAACTTGAACGGCTTTGCAAGCCGTTGGCCCGTGTGTCCCAAGGGCTGAGCCTGAGCTGCCTTTCGAGACTCCCGTGTGACTCGGTGGCACTTCGGGCCAGGTGACTGCCCTCTGACGGCCCCTCCTCCCCTCCAGCTGGGCTCCCGGGGACACTGCGGAGGAGGGGCACTCGGGGCCCCATCATCCCCTTCCCTGCGTTCCCACCAGGCCCTGCACTGCGTGTGAGCGATCCTGGGTGCCCAGCATCCACGGGGGAAGCCCAGGGTGGGAGACAAGAGCTGCCCTGTGCTGGCTTGGGGCTTGGAAGCCAGCGCAAGGCCTCCGTGCTGCCCTCCCGTGCTTGGAGCGGCACAGCTCAGCTGAGCTGCCTTGCAGAAACGCTCAGCACAAGACATCTTCGAAACGATCCTGTCTTTGTCTCACTTTCGTATGTATGGGTGTGTGTGTGACCTCTGTGCTCTGAGCCTAGTTGGGTCACTGGCCATATGGAGCCTGTACAGATATCAGACCGCTTGCCTGGTCCCCTAGGGTGCCCAGAAATTCCTTGCAGGCGAGCACATGTGCTAGAAGAGAGGGCTGGAGCCCTCTATCCCTTTGTGCCCAGCATGGAAACGAAGCAGAGGGAGGAAGGAAGGGCCCTCTTCCATGCCTGGCCTTGGGAGCAGCTGCCAGGACTGACACCCACTCTCTCTCGGCAGGGCCAGTGTGGTTCCTGCTGGGCTTTTAGCTCGGTCGGGGCCTTGGAAGGGCAGCTCAAGAAGAAGACCGGGAAGCTGCTGAATCTCAGCCCGCAGAACCTGGTCGACTGTGTCACCGACAATGACGGCTGCGGAGGGGGCTACATGACGAACGCCTTTGAGTATGTGAAGGAGAACCGAGGCATCGATTCGGACGATTCCTATCCATACATCGGCCAGGTAAAAGATGTCGCGCGTTGGGCTGAGCCTTGGTGAGCCTTCAGCACAGCAGGTGTTAGCTGGTCTCTTTTTTAGGTCTTGTGTCCCACAGAAGGTCACCAGTGTGGAGCATAGCTAAGAATCGAGTCCATCCAACCACCCACATTATCGAATCACCTCGAAAAAGCTCCCTTTGATGCTGTCCAGACGTTTTGGACTGCAGATCTTAGAATGCCTGGCCATCGGCCATTCTGGCCTGGGGCTGATGGGAGTTGTAGTAAAAGTGTCCAAAGGGCACTGGGTTGAGAAAAGGTGCCATAAAGGACCGTGTTGTCCCAGAACTTGACTCAGAAGGTGGAAAGTTCCCCCAGAGGGCCCTTCTTTCCCGATCATAGCCCCTCTAAGAGGTCAGGTCATGCAAGCTGCTTTTTCCTGGGAAAGCCCAAGATGCAAGATGGAGTTCTGGGGAGAGGAAGGTCCCCTGTAGCAGCCTGGGAGCGGAAGAGCCGAGCTCCGGATGCAGCATCCGAGGCCTGTCGGTGGAACTGTTGCTGCATCGCGCTTTGCTGTTTTGCAGGACGAAAGCTGCATGTACAACCCCACAGGGAAGGCCGCCAAGTGCCGGGGTTTCAGGGAGATCCCCGAAGGGGATGAGAGGGCCCTGAAGAGAGCTGTGGCCCGGATCGGGCCCGTGGCCGTGGGCATCGACGCCAGCTTGTCCTCCTTCCAGTTCTACAGCCGAGGTGAGTCGGCGCGGACGTGGGCTCTCGAGGAGCTAGTTGCGGACTTGGGAGCAAGAGAAACATGCCTCTCTCTAGCGCGCTCCTGCACATCACTCAGGAAAGCTCAGTCTCTCCAGCGAGATGCGATAAGATGCAGATAAAATTTCTTCATTGTAAAGCTGAAGGGAAGACCATTCTTGAAACACATTTCCGTTTGCCCAGCTGCAGGCCTCGCTACCCAGCTTTCGTTCCTGCTCTGCCTCGCCCTCTTGCGTTGCTTTCTCTGAGATTTATTCGCATCAGGGCTGTGCCCTGCCAGGTGGAACGGCAGCCCCTGGCAGCAGGTTGAGGGTTTCTTGGGGACCGGTGGAGGCAGGCCCGGGGCTGCCGCCCTTCTTTCACGAACAAGCCTCCAGCACGGCATTTCAGGGCTGTTTTCGCGACAACCAGATGGGGCACTTGGAACTCGTGGGCCCAGCCCACAAGACCCCGTTTGGATGTCACAGAAGCCACCTGCAGATTCTGCATGCGAGGACCGTTCAGGGAAGCCAGAGGCGAAACGAGCCGTCCGCTCTGCCGCCTGCAGGTCAGTCAACCTGCACCTGGCCACGACAGGCAGGTGTGGCCGAGTGCTGTCCTTGTTCAGCTTGGTGCAGCATTATTCGCTCTAGAATTTACGGGAGGTGTCTCCATGAAGCGATTCGAATGTGCAAACTGATCATTGGAGTACTGCAGCGTTTCTGTCCTGTCTCGGGACACCCTCCCTGGTGGGGTGTCTTCACCGACCAATTTCGGATTCCCAGCTGGGAATCACAGCAAGCCCATGAAAATAAGAGCGGGGAACCGAGCAGCAAACAGAGCCCACGGGATGGGATTGGAAAGCAACCAAGAACTTTCTCTCTCTGCCTGACCCATTTGTGTGCTCTCCCAGTCGCTCCACTGTGAGAGCAGCTCCCTGGGCAGCCACATCTGGAAGGGCCTTGTCTGCAGTGGCCCCGCATTCCTGGAATGAGTTTTCATCGGGTTCTGAGTGTTCCTGCGGGTTTTAATTGAAGTTTTGTCTCTGTAAATATCAACCAGCTTGATGCGTTTGACTTCTGTATGCTGCTGGCTCAAGGAAAACTCAGCCCCCAAAGTTGGGCAAGAAATATTTTTTTAAAAATAAGTTTTATTATTATTATTATTTCCTACAAACTAAAAAACTAAAAACATCAATCATCAAAGATATCAAGCATACTGGGTCAGCCCCCCATTTTTTATAATAATCCATAGCCATATTCAAATCTATGCATAGTCCCATTTCTCTAGCCAATAGTAAAAAGAGTTCCAAGTTTGATAGAAATATGTATCCTCTTTCTCCGTCAGAGACAAAGTCAGCCTGTCCATTTCAGCGCAATCCAAGATCTTTTTTAAAATCAGTTCATCAATAGGTGGTTCTTCACTCCTCCAATGTTGGGCAAATACAATCCTTGCTGCAGTAATTACGTGTAGAATCAAATACGTTGCTTGTTTGTCGACATCGTCAGACACAATGCCTAATAAAAAAAAAACTTCAGGTTTAAATGTTAAGGATTTTTGTAACATTTCCTCAAGCCATTTATGTATTTTAGTCCAGTATTTTTTTCCCTTATCACAAGTCCACCACATATGATAAAAAGTACCAGGTTTATGTTTGCATTTCCAACATCCATTTGACATATTTGGAAACATTTTTGCTAATCTATTTGGCATCTATGGGCAAGAAATATTTTGCATAAAGGGGGATTGCATTCGAGATGATCTCCTCTGCTGGTTTTCCTAGGTGTGTATTATGATGAGAACTGCAATCCGGAAAACGTCAACCACGCTGTCCTAGCCGTGGGTTATGGGACCCAGAAAGGCACCAAACACTGGATCATCAAAAACAGGTAAAACTCAGTATTTCCTGCTGGCATCCAGGTTTACACCGACACAATTGTTTTTCTTTAAGGTTAGCTTCAAAAAACAAATCAACCCATTGCATTTTTATGTTTACAACCACATAAGCAACTGTGTAAACTCTGTGTAAACAGTCGGCTGTGAAAGAAATAGAAACACAGACGCACCGAAGAGAATTTGAGTAGCAAATGGGCCCAGTGGCAAAAGAGGAAGGGGTTCTGCAGAAGGGGAAACTCGCAGCCTATTTATTGGAAGGGTTGTTCTGTCCCGCTCTGGTTTAGAGAAGTGTTGGGACGGTGCCCACCCACAGGCAGCACCTGGAGAACACACCTGGCTGCAGACTTCCAGGCCGCTGGTGAAATGTGCAGTATTTCAGTTTGCAACCCTAATTTCCAAACTGGGATCTGCAGCTATTCAGAAGCACATGCAAATGTTGGGCTATTCGGCGTCCCCTTCCTGGGGGGCGGCGGCGGGGCAGGGGGAGGTCAGCAGCAGGCTGATAACTGGCGTTTTGACCCACCGGCTTTCCCAGCAGGACCACGTGCGGTCCAAGCCGAAACCAGCCTTAAGGTCTAACCATTCCTCCCTTCTGTCTTTCTGTCTCTCTCCGGACAGCTGGGGAGAAGACTGGGGAGATAAGGGCTACATCCTCATGGCCCGGAATATGGACAACGCCTGTGGAATTGCCAACCTGGCCAGCTTCCCCAAGATGTGACCCCGCTCCCCTCCACCGCACCGGGACTTTCGTCGGCAACAGCTGGATTTCTGTGCTGACCTTGCGGAGCACTAATAAAGGTCTGCCATGACAGCCGTCCTCCTCCCGAGGCGGCCCGGATCACCGATTAAAAGGCTTCCCCCTTTTTCTTATTTTTACAAAGAGGCGTATCTGTTCTTCCTTCACAAAACCAGGGCGCTTGGCAATATTTTCTCTTGCTCTGTTTCAAGACCGAGGCGAGCTGCAAATACGGAAGGCATAAAAGGCAGTTTTTCTTCCCAGCCTGTCTTTTAGTTTCCAACGTCAGAATTTGTGAGAGAGAGCTGTTTCAGTGTTGTGATGTTTGTGGGTGCAGCTAGTCCATTGGGGGAACTGTCCTTCAGCCCTGCCTGGCCCCAGGGAGGAGTGTACCCCATGGGGATCCCACACAGCCCTCAAAGCTCTCCCAGCTACATACGCCCCACTTCTTCCAAGCACTTGGGGCCTTCCTGGCTTCCTGCAAACAACCAAAATGTCTCTCTCAAGACTTAGGTACAGGCAAACGGTTAAGCTACACTAGGCAGTGATCGGTAGAGTGTTTTGGAGCAACCGAGTCCAGTCAGGGCAGCTTCTGGGGTTCTGGTTTGGAAGTCTGGTGCTCAGGGAGTAGGGGGACCCCTTGTCGCCTCAGCTGGGGCCTCCGTTCCCATCTCTCCGTCACAGCCAGAAGCTGGGCTCAGGCCAAAAAGCAGTCAAAGCCAAGCCAACCTTAAGGCCGTGCCCACAAGCTAATAGGGGGGGGGGGGGGGGGGGAAATGCCTTTTGGAGCGGCAGCTGGGGGGGGGGGGGCCGCATGCATCATCCCAGAAGCAAAGCAAAGCAAAGCAAAGCAAAGCAAAGCAAAGCAAAGCAAAGCAAAGCAAAGCAAAACCCTGCAGCCGCCAGTGCCTCCGAAAAGGCAAGCCGGGGACCTCAAGGAATGGGAATTACACCTTGTCCTTCCACCGTGCAGATGAAGAAACCTTGTGCTTCATCTTATGGACGCACAGAGCTTGTTTTGAGAACAAGAAGAGAGGCTGGCAGACAACCACCGGAAAACACCGTCAAAACTTGCCCACGATGTCTTTAAATACATTGAAATAAGAGTTTCCATGCACAAATGCAATCTGTGTGACGACGAAAGAAGGAAGGGGAAGGGTAAAGTGCCACAGGTGTCGGGGGGGTGGCATTTTTGCAGATGTCGGGGGGACATCTTTGCCTCTCAAAGGAGGAAGCCGCGCAAGCGAGGGCAGCCCTTTCTCGGCTGCAGAGGCTCTTGGGCTGTTCTGCTGCTTGAACAGCCAGCTTTGCAAAGAAGCCCGGAGCGGACGCGGGGGCGCCTCTCTTGGAGCCAGTGGCGCTGGCACCCAGCGAGGGAGCTGGTGCAGGGGAGGATGGGCGGCCCCAGGAAAACGGTCCCAGGCCACATGCAGCAAGAAAGGCCAGTGGACCGTTCTCAAACGGTACCGAAGCACGACTTGGCGCTCGTTGTGTTCAAAGCACTTCCTGGAACACCCTTTTGCAGTAGTGTGAACATAATTGCCATGCGCAAGCCAGGCCTTTTCCAGCCTGGCACCTCCAGGTGTCTGGACTACACTTCCCAGGATGCTTGGCCATTGGCTGTGCTGGCTGGGGCTGATGGGGCTTGAAATTCCCAGTGTGGGGAAGGTGTGAGGTTGCACCTTAGCTTTAACTGGTCCATGAGGGCAGTTCATTTGCGGCATCGCAAACATTTAAATGGCCCGGTGGTGATAAGTCTGAGGAAGAGGCTGAGTAATGACATTTCCCCACCGCCGCTGCAACTGAGCACAGGAGAGGAAATGAGTAAGAGGTTTACCAGCCGAGGCGAGAAGGAAAAAGCCTCTCCTGGAGACGGGGGCTGATATTTTCCTTAAAGGGGGTGGCTAAGCAGCACAAGAGGCAATCCCGTCTCTGTAGTTTGTTTCCCCAGAGCCTGATATTCACAGGTATACTGCCTCTGGACAGGGAGGCTCCATTTACAATCCTGGCAAGCAACTGGTCATTGGATCTCCATGAATTCCTTTCCTTAAGTCACCTGAGCCACTGCCCTTTGGCAAACCTCGTGGAAATGCCAGACATGTACAGCGTGTTGTATGACAGCTTCCTTTGTCCTAAAGACACTCGACTTAAGTTCTCCTTTTCCCCGGAAAGAGCAAATTTCTCTCCCAAACTGAGGAACTTCATTCCCCAAGCATCCTTTTCCTAAAGTGCATTCACCTTCCCTTTGTAAGAAAAGGAATCGCTTGGGGGCAGCTGTTTGCAGGCCTGTCCATTCCCAAAGCTGCTGTTAGCCACCGAGGGGAAAGGGACAGGTACGAGGAGCTGCTGAGCAGCAAACAGCCCTGCCGGGAGCTTCTGGAAGAAGCTTCCACCTGCCCTCACCTTGGCCCCCTCCATTCCCAGAATAATGTGGGCTGGCTCAGATGCCACCCCCCAGCGGAAATCGGTTCAGTAAGAAGAGATGGAATCGCTCTGCAGTGTGTTCCACGGATGAGCACGGATCTCCCCATCCGGACGCCCCCAGCGACTCCGCTGGATCGGGGCAGGGGAGCCGCGGCTCAGACTGGCTCCTTTCGAGGGCCCTCAGGCCCTATGTTTTCAATAGTCTGTAAAGGAATTATTTTAAATAGGTTTTCCCCCTCTGTATGAAGAACTGCACCAGCTGCACTGGTGAAAAGGAAGTTAAGAGCAACAGCAGCCCTTCCAGGCCGGGAGCGCTTGTGATGCGGCTCACCGGACTCCGTCCGAGGTAGCGTGGGGCTGGTTTTGCCATGGTGGCTTCATAGAGCAGGGGTTGCTGGATCTGGTCCTTTCTGGAGGTTGCAAGAAGAGCAGCAGTCGATTTCTGCATGCCAGATGAGCAATGATTCCCACAAAAAGGCACATGTCTCTGTGTAAGGGGGCCATCTGCTCAGGCAGGCAGTCTTGGCGTCTTCAGCCCAGCGCTGGGTAGCCTCTTTCAGGCTTCAGTTTTGCTGCGATCTCAGCGTTCTGCTTGTGAATCAGTCTTTTCTTTGTGCAATTTACTTTCACGAGCGTTCTTGGACTCCTCCACCTCGCTGCAGGGAATCCTGCGCTACCGTTTTCCAGAGGGCCGGGCATCTCTTCGAAACCATTTCTCCCATCCTTGCAAAGTCAGTGGATTCTTGCAGAGCTCGGTTTGGGGCCGAAGCCAGGGGGGCGATGAGTCCCAGGGAGCTGCAGGAAAGGGGGGGTGACCCTGGGGAGTGCCAGGGGCCAATTTTGCTTGTGGGCGACAGTATCATTCTGGCTCTTATTTAATGTGTCTCTGGTCAGGAGGTGGGAGCTGTCCAGGTGTGTACATGGTTAGATGCAGATAAATATTGTATTATTTTCAATTTTAAAATATGCTTTCCAACAACAAAACTCCCACCTGTTTAACATCAGGCAAATGCAGCAAGAGCCATTTTTTTACAGGCGGTATGAAGTAAATGGGCGTAAACTGCAAAACTGCAAAGCTCCACATATATATTTTCCTTCCCTTTTTAAAACAAGGGTTACCAAATTGGCTGGCTGGCTGGCTTGTTTGTTTTTTCCCCCTCCAATATCTTTCAGGTCTCTTGTGGCGGGGGGGGGGGGGGGGTGATTCAATGACAGAGTCCCCACTGGGATAGCAGAGAGCTAAATCCTCCCTAAAACACGGGACAGCCGAAGCTGCCTGTCAGTGCTGCCCACACTGGGCTGGATGGACCAAGGGGCTGACTCAGTACTAGGCAACTTCCACTGATCCTGTTTAAATCAGCCCTTGATTCAGAGGCATGAGGACTAGAATCTTTATTTTAGGGAAAGGACTTTAACTCAGTGATAGAGAACTGGCTTTACATGCAGAAGGTCCTGGGTTCAGTCCTGGCTGAATGCCTAGACAGGGCTGGAAAAAATTTGTGTGCTTGAAACACAGGTGTGCCTGCTAGGGCAAAGCAGGGCTCCAAAAGTTAGGTAGGTGCCCCGCACACCATTCATTCATGACCCGTAAGAATGTGAGATGGAGCACATCCTTCTTCCCTCGGTGGCCAAGTGGCCGTCTGAAGAAAGCCCTCGTGGTTTCGAAGCACAATGCACAAAAAATGGGAAATCTCTCCAGTGTGGAGGCAGGTATGGCTCACTGCCGCATGGAGACATTTTGCAATCTTCAGGACAAACCTGACAATGTGACAAATCAATTGCAGCCATTTCAACCCTTCAAAGTTAGAGTGAAAGTGAAAATTGCAGTCGATTTCCTTCTCTAGAGGGCAGACCATGTGATATGCGTAATAAATTGAGTCTCAGATTTATCTCGGGCGAAGAGGAGATTGGAGAGTTGGCAAACGAGTGGGAGAGCTTTTGTGCTGCCTGGGGCAGACGGTTAGCTGTGGAATAGCCAGGCTCCTTTCAGGTGGCCTTCGCCTGCTGAAAGAAAATCCAGGTATGTACAAGGTCATCTTCTCAAGTCCTCACAAGGAGGAAGTTGTTACTTCCAGAAGACTTTGCTGGGGGATTTTTCTCATGTTTACCGGCAGCAGTTGGCTTAGTTTACACCCAACAGGAAACTGTAGCCAAGCCCGTCTCTCTTCACAGCTTTTAAGAATATTTTCACACGTTTTAAACCCACTATTTTTAAAGAGTTGGTTTTAACTTTTGAGGCCCTGCATCCTCGGAAGCAGGTTGTTTTTTCTTTCATTCTTGCCTGTTCAGACCCTGAGGCCATCTTCAGGGTGGCTTTGCCAAAGGCAAGGTAAGTGGCTACCACTTTTTAATGGTGGCACTGTCTCAGAAATGCTCTCCCTTCGTAATGCTGGTCTCTACATTATGGTATTTTCAGTTTCTTATAGTTTTCTAGTCTTTCTTGTATTGGTTATGGCGCTTTTAGATCTGACCACTTTGATTTTGCTGCTGGTTTTAGTTTGGCTTTCTGTGCTGAAGTGTTTTCAATCTTTGCTGCTCAGTTTACCTGGGTTTTATTATGTGTTTATTCTTCATTTATGGATTCTATTTCATGTTTTAATGCACTTGCTGCCGCTCAGAGAAATTAGTTTATTTGGTAATGAACAAAAACATTTCCCCCTTATTGCTGACCTGGTTTGCATGCTGAACCTTCACAACTGGTAAAAGATCCATTTTGCTAAGCTATCTGCTATTCTTCCTGGGTTTTTTCTTTGTTTGATTGTTTGTTTGGGGTTTTTTGTTTTGTTTTTGGTTTGGTGCTACTCACATTTTTAGGAAATACATACATTTTCACTATCCAAGGACCAGACAGGAAGATCAGAAGCAGTATAAGAGCCATCTTGGTTTGCCTATTTTGATATTAAGGAGAGCTGGAGTTCTTGTATTTTGTTTGTGTGGGTTGTCTCTGCTTGTGCCCTATACCAGACCTGAGTGGAGAGTAGCTCTCTAGGTGTTTTGAACTTCATCTCCCAGAAGTCCCTACCAGATCGGACCGTGGCCAGGAGTGTTGGGAGCTGAAGTCCAAAACATACGAAGATCTATTTTTTCCATCCCTGCAAACTTAGCTTGTTTGTTACTAAAGAACCCTCTGGGTTTCATGGTGAGTTAACCTCTAAACAGGTGGAAGTGGGACAGAACATGGGCAGATATCCGAATGGAAAATCAGGGAATGCCAAAACCTCTCCAGAAGGTGGTTCCTTCTGCCCTCTCCACTTGAGAGAGTGGAGAGTCCAAGGCAGCTTCCAAGGCAGCTTCGGGAAAACATTCATGAAGAAGCCTGGCCTCTTCGGACAAACAAATACCAGGAATGAATGGGAAAGTTTGGGGTTCGCTGCATTTCAGAGCAGAGATTCTGCCTCGGCTATGGTTTTCGATATGCTCTAATGTTTATATCTTGCCCGGTAGGATGAAAATTAATAGACTAGCACTGCCCACAAATTTGTGCGTATCCACACCCTAAATGTCATGTCCTATGATGCTCTCATGCCTTCGGAGCTCCCTCCTTGAAGAGGGACAGATTCCTTAAGCTGAAACTTAAGGGATCCTTGAGTTCGGAAACTGAAGCTAGGACCAGTGTCCGTTTTCCTCCTTGGCCCCAGCGCCAGCTGTCACAGCCTTCCGTGTCTCCCGGCAGGATGGGACTGTGGCCTTGTCTTCTCCTGCTGTCTGTTGCCGCTGCATCTACACACTGGCAGAAGGATTCCCTTCTCAATCAGCACTGGGACCTTTGGAAGAAGAAGTACGGCAAGGACTATCCAAATGAGGTTTGATGCTGCCATCGTTGAACTCTGGGAGGGAGGAATCCCTTTACCCTGTGGTCTGCTCATCTTTATCCACCCGAGGAGCAAAACTATGGGATGGCCCTGCCATGAGATGTCATGGGTTGGCTTCCTTAGGGGGCAGAGGCAGGGAAGAAGCAAGTGGCAGACTTAGAGGAAAGAGGTTTGTGTGTGAGAAAGAGAGGGAGAGGGAGAGAGATAGCAAGAGAGAGAGAGCTGCTTTCAGCTGTAGTCAAGGAAGACCTTTTATCACCAGTTTTGAAATTAGGTTTGATTCGGCCTTGTTGGCTTCTGTTCATGAAATACAGAGGCCTGCCAGCTTGTCCTTCTCTGCAGTCAGCAAAACGTCTTGCTCCAGTGTCACTGGAGAGAAACCAAGACATGTCATCATGGGGCCATCAAGGGCCTGTGTGGGAGAGAAATGGACTGAGTCTGGGGGAGACGCTTGGTGGCACCGCATCTGGACCAAATGAGCTTTAGCAGAGGGCTTTCTGGATTTGATTAGACAGAGTGGATTGCCGAGGGGGCCAGGAAAGGGTTGTAAAGGGCGCGAGCCGGGCATAATCAAATGTCAGATGGATAAAAGAGCAAATATGCAAGATAAGCCCCCTGCCAGGTGATTTGGGGGGGATCAGGCAAGGTCTGTAGACAAGGCTAGGTAGAAAAGGCGACCAGAGCAAGTGCAGGTGCCAAGGAACACGGCTGGAGAGAAAACAGCCAGAATGAAGCCGGCAGAGAATCATCTGTCTAATTAGAAAACAAGACTGGAGGCTAACCCAAGTCCTGCAGAAAGTTCACGATAAGCAAAAGCTTCTACGAAACCTTCCTCAGATGGGCGCTTGACTCGTGCCTGTAGATTTCAGTCAGCAGCTGGGATGCAATGGAAGGCAAGGTGCAGGGGCTGAATTTGGCTCTCTTTCTATAAATAAGACAAAACTGCCCCACAGTGTCAAGTTCCGGAGTATTTTAAAACAATTCCCTTAATAAACTGTGCTTGTTTTCATGGTAAGCCGTCTCGAGATGCTAGTGGTGGATGGGTTACAAAAGCTTTAAATAAATAAATATATTCCATCTGTTATAATCTAAACTTCTGCTTTGATTTTTAGGAAGCAGAAGAAAATCGTCGCATGACTTGGGAGAAGAATCTACGGTTGATCACGTTGCACAACCTCGAGCATTCGCTGGGCTTGCATTCGTATGAACTTGGCATGAATCATTTGGGAGACATGGTTAATAAGTCTCTTTCCTTCTTGCTTTCATTGTGCAGCACATGTTGGACATGTCTGGATAATTCTGCCATAATATTAAAATATGCCTTTGTTCAAAGATAAAATATGATAACCGATTAAGGGCACAGGGCTGGACGTTGCAGGATGTTTTTTTATCTAAACATGCATAGGGTACTTTGGGGAGAATCACCACCTTGGAAGAAAAAAAGTAGGGTATAAATATAATCAGTACATTTATTTGCCACTTATAAGAATACATTTCATACTGGTAGGAGATTATTTTATTTCCATGGCTCCCATAAACAGTGAATATTACTGTGAAAATGGAAATAAAATCCAGTGAATGAGTTCACCTACTTCAGTATAACTTTGGCTTTTCGGCAGTAGAGAAGTTCAACAGCAACAAGAAACAAGAATTTCTGGCCAATACAGTTGAGCGCAAATGCGGCACCTTTCTTGCACGCCTTTTGCTGTGGTTCCCACCCTGTTGCTCAAGTAGCCTTTAATATTAAGCAAAACTCGAAATATCTTCCCCTAGAACATGGTTGTTCTCATGGTACTGAATTCAGCATGGAGTCAAGTGAGATGTCCCTGCTGCATTCAGGCAAGACTTATCCTGCAATTGACCTCAAATGTTACGGGGGGGGGGGGTCCAGCTGAAGAGAGTTTCCATTAGAAATCCTTCTGTATTTTCTCTATCTGCTTCTTCTTACCAGAAAAAACGAGGAGGAAAATAAGCAACAGAGGCATATCTGCCCCTGTCTGTGCCTTTTGGTTAGCGGCACGGGGAGCTCCCTAGAGGTGCCTTTGTCCTCATGTTCCCCAAATGTGCAGAGAGATGGTGCAGGATCTTGCCCACGGACCCTGTCCCTGACTCCCACATGCTCAAGAGGACTCTTGCGTGCAGTCCGAAATGTGCTCCATCAGGCTTTCTGAGCACATGCACAGAATCCAGGCACGAACAAAAGCACTTCCTCAGAGCTCCCTTAACGCAGATTCCACTGTGGCCATGCAGACCGCGTTCCAAAACCGAAAACAGACCTGTGTCTAGCATTTGCTATGCTTCTGCACTATGGTCCATAAAAGCACATCTTTGTTTCTCCATGTAGACGAGCGAGGAGGTGTCTGCCTTGATGAGTGGGCTGAAAGTTCCTGACTTGCGGAACCAGAATTCCTCAATTTACAGACCCAGCCGATGGGGCAGCGTCCCTGAATCTGTGGACTGGAGGGAGAAGGGATGTGTCACAGACGTGAAGAACCAGGTGAGAGGCTGGTTCCTTGTCTGTATCCTTCTCACTGAAAGCACCCTTTGCCTTTCTGACCCGTCTCTCTGTATTTTCAGGGTGCCTGCGGTGCCTGCTGGGCGTTTAGTTCTGTTGCGGCACTGGAATGCCAGTTGAAACTCAAAACGGGGAAACTCATCTCGCTCAGCCCGCAAAACCTTGTGGACTGCTCCACCATGTACGGGAATCACGGATGTCACGGAGGCTACATCACTTCTGCCTTTAAGTACATCATAGATAATAACGGTATAGATTCGGAAGCGTTCTACCCTTACAAAGCCCAGGTAGGATTCGATGAACGGGAGCAGAAACGGTGCGCCTTTCTTCCGCGTCTCTCGCTTTCGCGGCAGGGCCTGGCCTTAGGATTGCTTGGATTGGGTTAGAATGGGCACAACCAAGACTGCTAACTTGTGATTAAGTCCTGTTGAACACGGCGGGCTTACTTCCGAGTAAATATACACAGAGCTCTGCTGCAGGAACATTTTGCCTGACTAAACTCCACTGAGCTGCTAAGGAATCATGCAGTCATTTAAGAAATATTCAGCAAATATTTTTAATATATCTTTCAAAACATGGGGTGGAAAACACATTAAAAGAGGCATTGGCCCTTTCTTTTGCTTACAAGAGAGGTTGTCTCTTGTATTTACTAACTGACCACTAAAAATAGTGCTTGAGTATTAGAAGGAGAGCAGAGATGAGGCTTGCTTGGTGTTCTTTGGGAAGGTGGTGTGCCGGAAGGCGGTCTTTGAAACAAATCATGCAGGGCTTTGTATGTCATAAGCAACATTTTGAATTGTAGCCTGTCAAGCTGTTGTAATAAGATTCTCATTCTTCTATAACAATTCTCCCATATGGGATCTTGAAGCAACCATTGCTGCAAATTATAACATTTCTTCACAATTGATATCAATCTATCTGAACTGGGTCAAGCCAAAAAGATGAAGCCTGAAATATCTATGGTATAAATTCTATACACTGCCTGTAAAATCCAGCAGTTAATCTACAAATGAATGAATTGATCAAACTTAACATATGACCTTATTAACTACTTTCTTTCTATGGACAGCATGAGTCACTATACACTTTTAAAAAGTTAGCTACCACCAAATCATAATTTTGCTTGCCAAATGTAGATGGTAAAGAAGGTAAAGATTAAATACGCCGCATGCGTTCAGAGCAGCTTTTTAAAGATACAGGGTTCAACTTGTTTAGGTAGAAATAAGTGCACCGACTTCCAGCATTAAATTTGGGGTTTTTTCCTATTGAAATATGCATAGGATTGCACCTTTCATTATGTTTAATTTCTATTTAAACCACATAAGCTGCTTTTTCACTCTAGAAAGTCCTCTCAAATCGGGAATCCTGGAACTGCTATCTTTCTGCATTCACCAAGGCTGTTCCAATTCCCAGCTAACATTTTAGTAACTTATACATGGATTATTCTGAAACATAATCTCTAGGTTTACCTGTGGTGTAGCTGAATATTGCAAATACACCAGAGGAAATTGCACTTTCTTTCACTTCCAGAATTAAATGCTGCCTTTCCCTGCTCTTAAAAAAGACTCACTGAAAGTGATGATTCGACGCAGGAGCAAAACCAGTGGGTTGCAATATGATCTAAAGAACCTGTAAACAATCATTACTGGGGAATTGTGTGTGCATGGGAAAGGCCTTGTGTAGAAAAGCCCTTTGGCTTCTTTTGGCTCCCTCCAGGATGAAAAATGCCACTATGATGTTGCTGGCAGAGCAGCCACGTGTTCTAACTACGTGATACTTCCAGCTGGAGACGAAAATGCTCTGAAGGATGCTGTCGCCAATGTCGGTCCCGTGTCCGTCGGCATAGACGCAGCTGAGCCCACATTCTTCCTCTTTAAGCATGGTGAGTATGAAGTCTGGGCTGCGAAAAGGGCAGGGGCACTCTGAGACACGACTGATGCTGGTCATTTGGCGCAGGCGAGCTGATCAAACATTCAGGGGGTCCGAAGGGGTGCTGGGGTTTTGCTTTTTGTTTTGCTGTTGCACCTGATAATCTCCTGAAGTCTACTAACAGGCAATTCTATCTTTCCTTCCAAAGTGATGGAACTGGGCTTGAGCCTTGATAATTCCTTGATAGTCACTACTTTAATGACTTTTGATCTCCCCAGACCGATGGCTCATTTTGAACCCTAAACAGCAATATGGGAACCACTTTTGTCATCCTCTGTGTTATTTTAAGCTCAGAGTCTGCCTAGATGAGACAACCTCTGTGCTTCTCTTTCTGTATCATTTCTGCCCATCTCCTCGTCTTCCCAACACCAATTTACCTGGTTAGATGCCAGCCCACTAAGGTGAAAAACAATGGGCTACCTAACTTACTGAAATTACTGAAAGGAAGTCGCTCTGCTTTGCCAACTGCTCTCCAAATAATCAGTACCACAATTGTTTATTTCTTATGCCTTTTGTATATGCTGTTGTTGTTGTTAATTTACTTCATTGCTATGCTGCCCTGGATCCAAAGTTCTCTGGGTGGTTTACACAAAATAGTAAAACATGGGCTACAAAAATAGACCCTTTGAGGCAAATGGTTAGTGAATACAGCTCCATTTTTTAAAGTACCATGAAGGTCAAAAGATCAAAAGAGGAAAGTGACTAAACTTTGGCTGACCTAAACTAGCATGACTCTTGCTTGGCAGAAACAAATTTCCAACCTTGGCTTTCCTTTAAAAAGGCAGGGGCCGCATGATTCTAAATCTTTTTAAAATCTAGGTGTGTACAATGATCCCAAATGTACTGCTGACCATATAAATCATGGAGTTGTCGTAATTGGATATGGAACAGAGAACAGCATGGACTATTGGCTTGTGAAGAACAGGTATGCATCCCCTTAGGGAATTCAGTCATGAAGTCAATGTAAATAATAGCACCCTCCTTTTGAGATGTACTGACTGAATCAATGATCACAGCTGGGCATAGCAGGGAAATGGATTCTGGCACAAGATTTGATTCAAGAAACATTTAATAAGTGGTTAGCTTCCACTGAATTGGAAGGTTCTTTTCAAAAATGGCCATTTTTTCCAGCCTAATGTTCCCCCTGCAAGGATTTGTCCTACTTCAAATCCATGGCAAGATCACACTTGAAATATTGTATACACTTCTGGTTCTGCCCCTCAAACGGATGTGGTAGATCGGAAAAAGGCAACTAAAATGATCAAAGGGCTCTGTAAGGAAAGGCCACACTATTTGGGATGATTTAGCTGAATATGGGGTCATCCGGTGAAAATGGTGGAAGGTTCCAGAGGGATAAAAGGAAGAACCTCAAGCCATGCATAGTTAAGCTATAAATTCTCTGTGCAAAATGCAGTGCTGAATAAAGCTCTCCAAGGTTGCTCGTCCTGATGGCTAGGCATGACCTTCAGTAACAGAGGTTCTTCCCAACTTGACAAAAACAACTTGTCCTTTAGCTGTTTTCAGCTTGACCCAAAACAGTAACTCTATAGAACTGCACTTTCTCGTCAGCCTCTCTTCAGTGCAGTCTTTTTGTGTGCTCGATTTATCTCCGTTAACCATTTCCAAAATAAATCTAGTCTTCAAGTGGCCTAAACATCCACAAGTTGTTTTGTTACTTACTTATTTATTTAAACAGCTTATATGCTGCCCCCTTCACATAAGCCTCGGGGCGGCTTCCAATCATAAGTAAACACCAACATATAAATACATAAAGTACATAAAATAGTGGAGACATCCTGGCAATTTACAATCAATAAATAACATTAACAATTAAAATAACGTTTGAATAAAAAGGCCTTGGCCCGGCACCGAAAAGCAAGTAACGACAGTGCCAAGCGAACCTCTCTGGGGAGCGCGTTCCGTAAGTGGGGCGCCACCGCAGAGAAAGCCCTCCTCCAGGTACTAACCTCCTAATATCCTTCACGGAGGGTTTCCGGAGAAGGGCCTCTGCTGCCGATCTCAAGGGGCGGGAGGGCAAATATGGTACTTTGTGGTGTCTCAGCGACAGCACACCTATTTTGCACACAAAACGTATATTATTTATCAAATTTGTATGCCGTCCATTACTTTCATCTCTGGACGACTTACATTATTTCAAAATACAACAAGTTAACTATTCCACGCTGGCTGTACATCATATAAAATATAAATAAATCTTCACACAGTATTTTTAAAATATATTAAAATGTTGATCGACCTGGTGCTGAATATATACAGTTTGGACATTTCTATGTTCCCAATCTTAGCTTGTCTGCTGGGGGTATAGATTATCTAAAGAACCCAAACACATTAGCAAGAATTTTTAGCCCTGTGCAGAAAGAATTTCTTGCTCATATTGAATGTATTCATTTTGTCTCATTCTTTACTATTTCAACAGCTGGGGTAAATATTTTGGTGACCAAGGATACATTAAAATTGCAAGGAATAACGGGAATCGGTGTGGCATTGCCAGCCAAGCTGTATATCCACTAATTTAGAAAGAATTTCCAGTTCTCAGTGGATTTTTCTTCACTGGAGAAGAAGCCTGTTAGGCAACTAATCTTTGACATTTTTTTTTTATAAATCAAACTGCCGGTGATTGGCCTCCAAGGGGAAGTTCTCCTGTCAGCTCCACCTGGAAGATCAGAGAATCAGCCAAAATGATGGTTTAGCTTGGTATTTGTTAAGTGTCCTGTGGGGTACTATGAGGCTCAGTGACTTAATAACATGAAGACTGCGGTTCTTCTATGAAAAACTGAAGCTTCACGTAATTGCTGCATATTATCACTCGTGCCACCTCAAACTGTGTCTTAATAGAGGCTCTGCCAAGTTTGTAAGAAGCCCTGTGATATCAGAAATTTTAACTGGCTTTACGATTAAGGAGGTGTAACATGAACAGATGGACACAGGGGGTACGCACACGCCCGCGAAAGAAAATGGCATTATCTTGGAATTGTAAGGCTCTCACATGCATTGTAAATAGTACAGGGGGCATATATGGATGCCGCTTTCTCTGACTTCATTTACTTATTTCTGAACTTATGTCACATGGTTGTAATATTCTGAATGCCCAGGCTAATATTCAGCTGAAGTTAAGGAATAAAGCGCATTGAACATGTGTGGTTTTTCTCTACTTCCCAGATAGCCAACCAATATCTGGGATGCGAGGCTGAGGTGGCAATCCTACACACACACTTAGCTGGAAGTAAATCCCATTAAACTTAATGGGGCATTCTTCCAAGCCAGGATGGGCAGAGTTGCGCTTCGAGGGTACAATCTTACACCTGTTTAAGCGGGGAAGGAAAGTCCGGCAACTCCCAGCCTGCATGGCTGGCAGGAAAGTGCCAGAAGTAGGACTTTCTGTTCTCTAAACATGGGTAGGCATGTACCCTGGTTGACATAATCTTTACAGAGCTCTGGGCCTCTGCACTTCCTCCATATTCTTTCCTTATTAGCTCTTATGAACAGGATCTTCTATGCTGCTTCCTTTCCCGTTCGTTCTTGTCTGTGCACATGTTTTAATTCCCCTTTTTGGTTTAGATAGTAACCTTCTCTGTGTGAAAACATCTCTGGAAGAACTTTTTCATAGTCCAGGCTGGCATGAGTAGAAAGAAGGGCTGTGTTTTTATAGCAGCATTCTAGACTGGGCTTTGCCCTGTTTTTATGCCAGGGTTCAAATGTGGAGCTAATAGGGTAATATTAAAAGAAAGGGCCCAAGAAAATGCATCGGGACCTTTGCATATGATCAAGAATGTTTTGCTCAAGTCACCTACCCACCCTTGCATGTCTCTTGAAATGACTTTGTATGCCAGCTCTTGAAAATTTCTCTGCAGCTTTTCCCTGAAAAGCAATATACAGAAATCTGTATCTCCACACCATGGGTCCCCCTAAAGATTTCTGATCATAGAAACACAGAAGCAGAGCGAGTCAGAAGGGGCCTCCCGGACCATCTAGTGTAAGCTCCAGCCGGCTCCGCTCACAACATGCCCACCATGTGGATGTCCAGCCTGTCCTTGAAGACCCTCACCGATGGGGCCTCAGCGACGTCCCATGGAAGCCCAATCCATACCCTGGGGGTCCTGACTGTCAGGAAGTGCTTCCTGGCATCTAAATGGAACCTTGGCTCCCTGAGCTTTGCTCCGTTGGAGCACGTCCTGCCTTCCTCTGCAGGGGGGAACAGGTCTCTCCCCACCATCAAAGGCAGTGGAGGAAGCCACACAGATGCTTTTCTTGCCAGCTGGCAACCACAATCAGATCAGATCGGAGGATGCGAGGGTGGCTGCTCCATGTACTTGGGTCACCAAAGATCACCTTGATCAGGGGGTGGGGGGGTGCTAGAATGACTGCCTTTCTAATAAGCATGCATCTTCTAAGTGGAAATTTCCAACATCTGCATCACTGTAATGACTGTATTAGGCCAATGATCATCATGGCCGTAAAATATTGTATAAGCTTTCACATTCTCCCAAATGCTTCACCAGGCCAAGATAGCCAATAAAGCAAAAGGGGGGAGGGTTGCATCATGCGGGGAATTTTCATCTTTCCTTCTGTCTCTACATGCGTGGGACCCTGTCTTTGTCTTTCGGGTTGAGTTTTCCGGCTGCAACAGACCAGAGCAGCTGCCCTTTGGGGGAAAAAGTTTGCTGGTTTTATCATGTGTTTATTTGCATCTCTCCTTGTGAGGGTAAAGCACTCGGCGTTTGCCCAGATCGGGGAACTTGGACAAAAATACAGCATTTCCTAGCTGAGTAATTGTAACCAGGGTTAAATGCAAATGCACACGAACTGGCTCGCATGCCATCAACACACAAAGAGAACGAACAAGTCCAGCATAAAATCAATAACTCTAAGGAAAGATGAAATGGCCAAAACCGCTGCGGGGGGCTATTCCGTGCCCGGGGGGGGGGGGGGTGCGGGATGTCGCGGGCACTGCGCCCGCCAGGCAGGGCGACGCTGCGGGGGCACCTGGGCCCTTCGCTGGGCCGCGCGGAAGCGGCAGCACACGCGTGTCGCGGGGCTCTGCGTCCTCACGGGCCGCCCGGAGCGGCTGCGGATGCCCCCCGGGGGCAGTGCTTCGATTTTACAAAGCTGGGGGGGGGGCGGAGGGTGGATAAATGAGCGGCGGGGAAGGCGGGCCCAGGAGCAGCACGGACCGTCCCGCGCGGGCGCGCGTGCCCTGATGCCCCGGGGGCGGGGCGGCGGGGTCGCGAGCGCGGGAAAGCGCGGGGGGGGAGAGTCCGCGCGCGCGGGCGAGGCGAGGCGAGCGAAGGCGCGCGCCGGGCGAAAAGGCGGGAAAGCGGCGGCGCGCGGCTGAGGGGCCGGGCGCGCTCCCGCGCCTCCGCCCGCCGGCCGGCAGGTGCCCGCTCGGCCCCGCTCGTTCCCC